GCTTGTTCATGCAATGCAAAAAAATTTTAATAGGACTCCAGGAAAGTCTTGACATAGTTTACCTCCTGCCTTCTTAATCCCTCTCTGCCTTCACTTTCCAAGTGTCCTAGGTGTTTCAAAGGCCAGCAGGACAAGCCAACCCCCGGAGACCTAGTCACCTGACTGCTTGTTGCTGTGGTTCCCTAGCAGCCAGAAAGCTTCAGGGTTAGGTTTGTGGATTGACAGTGCACTGTTCTAATTACTAAATATTTGTTTGACATTATTGACTTTTTTATGGCAGTTAAAAAATAATCTCAGTATTATCAGGATACCTTAGTGTAATGCAATGAAAGTTGAGATTGATAAACATTGTGGCCTTTCATCTATATGACATTAGGATTGACTTCATATTACTTGTCTTTAGGCAATAGAACAATCAGTTTAAATAAGAACATATATTCAAGTCTTAACATGCTTTTAAATATATTAAATAGCTTCCGAAAACATTTACTTAAAAATATGTCAATAATTAGCTTTGTATAAATAAAGCTGCTTTGGAAGTTTCTTTCTCTTGTGATATTTAAACAAAATAGAATAATTAGTGTTCTATTTTAGGGAGTGATTTCTCTTTTTTTCCATTAGAATATTTTTTCCTCTGGAATCGGAAACAATTGGGTTATGGAGTAATGTGTTGCCATGGGAGAATCTTATTTAAATCTCTGTGTTCTTTGGAAGCCCTCAGTTCCTTGCCATGGAAGAATCTTTTTAAAATCTCTGTGCTCTTTGGAAGCCCTCTGTTCCTTTACATCTTGAATCTTCTGGCTCTCTACTTCTTTTATTTTTATTTTTGGCTACGAAGCATTTGCCAGCTCTTTGTGTTGTTGCTGAATTCCTGGCTCCCCGGTTGACCTCTGAGTTCTCAAGCTGCTAAAGATATTTAGCATAAACTTAGAGCGATCACTTAGAGAAAAGTCTTTTATTTCTCCCTGCCAGGAAGGTAGAAAACAGTTCAAAACAACAGGACATCTTCCTGGCTTTAGTGACATTTGAAAAAAGTTTTAAATTTACTTTTATTTGATGTTTATGGAGTGTATATTTTATGTCAGGACCTATGTTAGTTCCTTTTTAAAGAAATGGTGAGAAAACAGGTAGATTATCTGTTTTTTAAACCTGAATCCTGCCTCCTCTTGCCACCTCCCCAGAAAAATTGTCTATCAGATAGGTAGTCCTTCAAGTTCAGAGAAATGTATGTTAATTTTTTAGGTCTAGCAATAACCTTTCAATTGCTCTGAAATCTCCAACTTTTTCATCTTTACTTTTCCATAATTCTTTTATACCTTAAAAATTCTTCCTTGACTCTAAATTTTCCTCTCTATTACTACCACACCCTATTCCTTTATAGTCAAGTTTCTGGGAAGAGTAGTTTATATTCAGCATTTTAATATTTCTCTTTTTTCAATCATGCTTTTCTCAAGTCTATATTTCTGTCCAACCAATGAAATTATTCTAACATACTCTGTTATTTATTTTTGCATTACAAACCATACCAAAACTTAAGGGCCTAAAGCAGAAACAATCATCTGTTATCTCTCTTAATTCTGTGAGTGACTGGGCTCTGCTGGGTGGTTCTTCTGCAGGTGCCATTGGCTGGCTTGCTGTCATCTGTAGGGGAAACTTAGGTTGGAACATCCAAGACAGCTTACTTAGATGGCTGAAAGTTGGTGCTGGAGTCAGCTAGAAGGTCAGAAGGTGCCATTGACCAGAACGTTTTGTTCTCCTCTGTGTGGTCTCCCTACATGACTGAGTTCTGAGGCAACGTTCTAAGTGCAAAGGTAGAAGGTGAAGATCTCTTAAGAACTAGCCTAGGAAATTCCATCTCATTTACCCTCAGATTTTTTTGGTGAAAACTGGCCAGAGGGCTAGCTAAATTCAAGCGGAGGGGGAATACATCTATTTCTTGACAGATTAGTGGCGCAGTCACACTGCAAAAGAGCTATAAGAAGCCACAGCCATCCTGTAAACACAATGCCTAAAGATATCCTAATTAACCCAACCAATCCTGTATAGCATTGTTGCTATTGGTCACTCTCCATGATTTATTGATGCTACGGTTTCTTGGTTTCCTTCCTATCTCTTTGCACATTCATCCTTAGTTTTTTTGTTTGTTTGTTTTTTTGAGGCGGAGTCTTGCTCTGTCACCCAGGCTGGGATGCAGAGGCACAATCTCGGCTCACTGCAGCCTCTGCTTCCTGGGTTCAAGCGATTCTCCTCCCTCATCCTCCAGAGGAGCTGGGATTACAGGCATGTGCCACCTTGCCTGGCTAGTTTTTGTATTTTAATAGAGACAGGGTTTCGCTATGTTGGCCAGGCTGGTCTTGAACTCCTGAACTCAGGTGATCTGCCCACCTTGGCCTCCCAAAGTGCTGGGATTACAGGCATGAGCCACTGCCCCTGGTCTCATCCTTAGCTTTCTTGATTTGCTCTTCTTTTTCTCCTTGCTTCTGGGATACTGGTGGTCCCCAATTTTCTTCACTTTTTTGTGTTTTCATTTCCATACGTTTGTTAGAAAATCATGTCTGCACTCATGGTTTAAACTTTGATTTATTCATTCATTTGACAAATATTTATTGAATGCACATACTGTCTGCTGGTTGAAAGAGCTGTTGATGTACTTTTGCAGGTTCTGTACTGCACAACTGCAACAGGTATCACATTGTTTTCACACCGATTGACATTGTAGCTTTTATATTGACCGTCTTCTCTATGTCTGTGTCTACATGTGCCTGTGTCTATATCTATATATATGTCTGTATCATATCAGTGGTTCTCAACAGGGGAGGTTATTTTGTCTCATAGGCGCCATTTGGCAATGTCTGGAGACATTTTTTATTCTCACGAGTCGGTGGTGGGGGCTACTGGGACCTAGAAGTTGGAGACCAAAGGCACTGCTAAAACTTTACATCTCACAGGACTGCCCCTCACAACAACAATGGACTATCTCATAAAGTCATTGTGCTGAATTGAGAACCTGCATGTTATCTGTATCTGCAGTGCCATTTCCCCTTGAACATTTGCAGTGGCCTGTCTGCCTCGTCCACCTGTGTATTGACTCACCTCAAAATCTTACACATCCAAAAGCTGAACTTATGATTGTGTTGCTTCAACCTGTTCCTCCTGATGAACCCAGTGTCTGGGAATGCCACCATTACCCACCTGACTGCCTCCAGGCGTGCATTGCATCAGCCCACTTTCCACGCTACTGTTAGAATGATGGATTTTTCAATGCTGCACAGGCAGCTAAACACCTGTCTCTTCTGATTTGAAAATCATCAGTGATTCTCCATGGATTTCACATAACAGTTAAACTTTGTAATGTGGTTCAGAAAATATTTGTGATCTGACTTTTTTTTCATTTCCTGTTATGTTTTCCTAGTCCTTTTTAGTTCACCCATCCTGGCTGCCTTGTGGTTTTCAGAATGTGCTTTTGTGTGCCTCTCAGCCTTTGTGTATGCAGAAAGGCAGCTGTCCTAGAAGTATGACCAACCCTCCTTCAATGCTAGGCTTGAGCCACCTCCTCCTGAAAGCTTTCCTGTCATCCCCACCCCCAGCCCTTATCAACTCCAGGCTAGAGTGGGAGATCCTTCTTTTTACTCCTTCTCTGAAGACCCATAAATGCCCCTGCATTTGGAGACCCATAAATCTGATGCCCCTGTGGCAACCGCCATGCCATCTGTCATATTTAAATTTTCAGCTCACATCCTGCCAGCCAGGCCATGAGCTTTTTTGAAGTTACCAGGTAGTGTTGGCCTCTTCAGTGCTGACACATATTAGGGGTTTAACAAATGTTTGCTGATTAAAAGAAGGGATCCAGAGGGTCCACTTTTCCTCTTCCCAGTGGGAGTTACTGGTTGGCATTAAAGGTAATGTATTATTCCAAGAAGGAATTGGAAGCCAAGTGTCTACCATTGTCAAAATAATTAAATAAATTATGGTACATTCATACTGAATATTTTTGCAGCTATTACAGAGGGTGGAATAGCCTGTATTAAACTAGAAAGAAGTCGGTGATGTATTGTTAAGGGAGAAATGCATGAAAACATTTTATAGTATGATGTAAATATAGGTGTGGGCATATGTTTGAATATGATTGTATGAGCATAGAGCATAAGGAAAGACATCCTTCAAACTGCCAACATCGGTTACATTAAGCATGCTTTATTCTCATAATTAACAATTAATAGTTAAAGAGCAAGCCTGTAATCCCAGCACTTTGGGAGGCCGAGATGGGTGGATCACGAGGTCAGGAGATCGAGACCATCCTGGCTAACATGGTGAAACCCCGTCTCTACTAAAAAATACAAAAAACTAGCCGGGCGAGGTGGCGGGCGCCTGTAGTCCCAGCTACTCGGGAGGCTGAGGCAGGAGAATGGCGTGAACCCGGGAGGCAGAGCTTGCAGTGAGCCAAGATCTGGCCACTGCACTCCAGCCTGGGTGACAGAGCAAGACTCCGTCTCAAAAAAAAAAAAAAAAAAAAAAAAAAAAGTTAAAGAGCAAGCAATGGCATTCAGAAGTTAATTTGAAGACCAAATATATGGCTGTAGGTAAACAATAAAGATAGGACATAGTGTAGAAAAATATTACTTTAATAGCTTAGGAAAATGTTTATAAAAATGGAGATCTCTTTTTTTGGTATTCTGTTGAATGCTTATATATGCATAGAAATAAGTGTGTAAAGATTTAGAACAAAATGTTAACAGTAATAATTTCTGGATGGCAGAGGATTTTTCTCTCTTTTGGCTTCTCTGTATTATGCAATTTCAAAACAATGAGCATGCTTTATTTTCATAAGAGAAATAAATTATTTCTAAAAATAGAAGATAGTACATAAAAATTGGTACCATTAAGCTGTCTGTTATCTGGATACCTAAGACTTGAAAAACAACAATTGTATGAAATTATTACAAAATGAATCCACTTGAGAACAGCAGTTTCCATGTAACATTTTTATTCTTTTCTTTTAGCAAAGACTGAAGGAAGAGAAGGAAGCCAAGCGGGCTGTTTTGGATGGGAGGCATAACTACTTATTTGCAATTGTGGCTTCCTGTTTGGACCTGAACAAAACCGAAGTGGAGGATGCCGTTCTTGAAGGGGATCAGGTGGGATGCATTTGACTTCTCAATGACTTGATTATAGAGGGCACAGATGGTCTGTTGATGTGGTCCTGTGGCAGGATCCCATGCTGTGCCCAGAGGGAGGTGCCTGTCTTAACATGGACAGGGCTGCATTCTGACTGTACTGGTGCCTGCAGAATGAGCTTAAGGCTCTCCAGCTTTCCATTGTTGAATAGGGGCACTTCTAATTGTCATTTGAGTTCCGTGATTCTGACGGATTGTCTGCATCTCTCTATGTCCAGTGAAGCTGGGCTCTCGTGCCATTTTGGAAGCTAAAGTCGGGGAACAGAATCTCCTCTCAAGTTGCCAATTCATCTTTTGTGCATTTCTTCTGTTCTAGGCACTGGATTTGTGCCATGATTTTCTGGCTTTTACTTTGGTTTGGCAGCTGAACCTGCTTTCTTTTGTTCCTAACCTTGGTTCCCATCTTCTGCTACAATTTTTCTTTAAAACCGGGCGTATGATTTGCTTTGTGTTTGACCTTGGTTGGGGAAGGCCAAAATATGGGAAGATATAATTTCCTGGGCAGTGAAAAAAGCATATAAACAGCCATATGATGATTCCTAAAGATTTTTTGAAGAAACTAATTTGACATTAGGAAAAAAAAAAAGAAATAAGGCAAGCCCTTTTTGTTGACAGGGTGCCACACTGTTGGGAATTCTTTTCAGTGGTAGGCTTGTAAATGTTAACAACTGACTTTGGGCAAGGATGGAGGAAGTAGGTAGGGAGGTACTGGTTTGAGCATCTGCTAATTTCTGTGGTGTAAATACTCCCACAATGGCTGGTTCCAAACTACTATCATCATGTTATGAAATGCTGAGGTGGAAAGAGTTGTGATCCATTGGATATCCTGGGCCAGTACGAGCCATCTGTGGCACACCACTGGCTTCATTCCTTCTTGCTGGGCTGCTCTGGTGGGGTTAGTAGGAGTTGGGGAACAATTAAGAATGGATAACGCGAAAATGGGTAAACTACAGGATGGATCAAGCAGGAGCTGAGGAAATGTGCTTCTCCTCTTTCTCCTCATAGCTGACACTTATTGAATGTTTACCATGTGTCCATCCCTGTTCTCAATCCCTTTCATCTATGACTTCATTTCCATCTTCATAATACCAGAAGGTAGATAATATTATTCCCAGAATATGGAGGCATAAAAGCAGAGAGGGCCACTTGGGGAGATTGTTCCAGAGGTGAAATGCTTAACTCCACCCTGCTTCCCAATTTAGACATCTTGGATTTGGGAATATGCAAGGGGAAGAAGCAGGCAAAAGTTCAGCTCTCTAGGGATCCCAGGATAAACTGCTGTGTCAAGCTCACAACCCAGGAATCTCAGAACCTGGAGGTTTAAAGAAAGCATCTGGCTCAGGCTGTCAAGCACAGACGAGTGGGATAGGAGCTTCAATACTGGCTGTGATGGAAGCATGCCCTTCACCAATTCTTGGCCTGGAATTGAATCTTGGAGAGTCCTTCCTCCTCTTCCCTGTGGCATCTTCAATCATGGTGGAAATTGAAGGGGACTTATTTTTCACACTTAATTGTTCAGGCTAGATTTTATCCTTTAAAAACATTATTTTAAGACGTAGTTGGCCGGGCGCGGTGGCTCAAGCCTGTAATCCCAGCACTTTGGGAGGCCGAGACGGGCGGATCACGAGGTCAGGAGATCAAGACCATCCTGGCTAACCCGGTGAAACCCCGTCTCTACTAAAAAATACAAAAATCTAGCCGGGCGAGGTGGCGGGCGCCTGTAGTCCCAGCTACTCGGGAGGCTGAGGCAGGAGAATGGCGTGAACCCGGGAGGCGGAGCTTGCAGTGAGCTGAGATCCGGCCACTGCACTCCAGCCTGGGTGACAGAGCGAAACTCCGCCTCAAAAAAAAAAAAAAAAAGACGTAGTAAATGCACATAACAAAATTCACCATCTTATCCATTTTAACTGTACAGTTCATTAGTGTTAAATACATTCACATTACTGTGCAACAGATCAGAACGCCTTTTATCACAAAAACAAACCCTGTACCCATTAAACTACTACTCCACATCCCTCCTTCTCTCCAGCCCCTGGCAATCCCCTTATTCTACTTTTTGTCTCTAGGAATTGGACTATTCCATAGATACCTCGTGCAAGTGGAGGCATGCAGTATTGGTCGTTTTTGTGATTATCTTATTTCACTTAGTGTAAGATTTGCAAGGTTCATCCATGTTGTAATGTGTGCCAGGATTTCCCTCCTTGTTAAGGCTGGATTATATTCCCTTGTATATGTATACCATATTTTGTTTATCCCTTTATCTGTCACTTTCACCTTTTGTGGAAGCTATTGTGAATAATGCTACTATGAACATGGGTATACAAATATCTCTTTGAGACCCCGCTTTCAATTCTTTGGGATATATACCCAGAAGTAGAGTTCCTGGATCATGTGACAATTCTATTTTTAGTTTTTCTAAGGTGCCTTCATACTGTTTTCCACAATGGCTGCACCATTTACATTCCTACCAATAGTGCTCAAGCGTTCCAGTTTCTCCATGTCCTCACCAGCACTTGATATTTTCTGTTTTTTGATGGTAACCATCCTAATGCCTAATGGGTGTGTAGATTTTATCTTTTCATTTTCATATGAGTTCCAAACTGTGCTACTGACTAGACAGACTGGATTAAGAAAATGTGGCACATATACACCATGGAATACTATGCAGTCATAAAAAAGGACGAGTTTGTGTCCTTTGTAGGGACATGGATGCAGCTGGAAACCATCATTCTCAGCAAACTATTGCAAGAACAGAAAACCAAACACCTCATGTTCTCACTCATAGGTGGAAACTGAACAATGAGATCACTTGGACTCGGGAAGGGGAACATCACATACCGGGGCCTATCATGGGGAGGGGGAGGGGGAAGGGATTGCATTGGGAGTTATACCTGATTTAAATGACGAGTTGATGGGTGCTGACGAGTTGATGGGTGTAGCACACCAACATGGCACAGGTATACATATGTAACAAACCTGCATGTTATGCACATGTACCCTAGAACTTAAAGTATTAAAAAAAAAAAAAGTGATCCTTAAACAAAAGACCCACCCCATGAATGGCATCCTATCTTGTGACAACTTGTTAGTGGAAAATAAAATTTATTCATCTCTTTTCTAGAAAAAAAAAAAAAGAAATATTTCTATTGGTAGCAGACCCTTTGTTAGGCTTGTAGATTTAAGTGAGCCTTAGGGATGGGACTGTTAGTCCCAGTTTAGTGCCAGGTTGCTACTGGAAGGTGTGTTCATAGTCAGATATGTTCTCATGGCAGTTTTGGTGATTATTGCAATTTAATATTCATTATCTCTAAGGTGTTAAACTAAGTTTTGAAAGGTTTGTTCTTCCTTATCTGCAGTTGACTGAAGCACTCTTCTCTATTTAAACCTCCCTTCCACAGCTCAACACTTTAGGAAATTTGCAAATATGGATGGACAATGCTTTTCAAATGTGCACAAGTAGCAAATAGTTCTAAGATTCATGAAATTACTTTTTTGAACAGAGTCTTTACCATGGTGAGACATTTATTCTTTTAATATAAATGTTCCCTTTTTTATAGGATACATTAGATGCTGTCCTGTTTGAATATGAAAGATAACAGTACATTTTCCTTTTTTATATTATTAATTCTGATTTAAGTGCAGTTTCTGATTTGGATTGAAAGTCATTATCTTGCCTTTTTCTTTTTCCCAGATTGAAAGAATTGATCAACTTTTTGCTGTTGGAGGTCTCCGACACCTCATGTTTTACTATCAAGATGTGGAGGAAGCAGAAACAGGTATCTGAATTTGATGTGACATGACCCAGAAATGTGTCATTAGATTTATCTGAGAGTAGCTTGAAGAAGAAAACCACTGTGAGAATGGACCAATGGACCTGTTTCACCTTGCGGGCGTGAGGGAGGTGTGTGTGTGGGTCCATGTGGGAAACCATTAGTATGTTGGGTGTGGCCCTGTGGAAAAAGTTCTGTTTCACCTCAAGGATGGAGGACAGATTACAGTTGGTATTTAGCCTAGTTGTTCTAACTTTATTGGAGATGTTTTGTTTTCCTTCTCAGGCTGTACTTGCAATAAAGATAATAAAGTAGATTACATTTGACTTCCTTTTCTTATATTCTAGTTCATTCTGTGTTTTATGGTCTGGAAATTATAATGAGCACCTGTTTTGCAGGTATATAGGCATTCTTTTTTTAAATTTTTTTTGAGACCGAGTCTCGATCTGTTGCCTAGGCTGGAGTGCAGTGGTGTGATCTCGGCTCACTAAAAACTCTACCTATCAGGTTCACCCCATTCTCCTGCCTCAGCCTCCCAAGTAGCTGGGACTACAGGCTACTCGGGATGTTTTGTATTTTTTTTGTATTTTTTAGTAGAGATGGAGTTTCACCATGTTAGCCAGGATGGTCTCGATCTCCTGACCTCGTGATCCACCTGCCTTGGCCTCCCAAAGTGCTGGGATTATAGGCATTATTTCTTTTTAGCATAGGAATTGTTGCCAGTATGTGTAACACCCCTGTTTAGTTAGATATCACATTTTGTTTATTTTCTACTGACTGCTTTAAGTAGGTAATATTGGATGACAGTTTTCATTGTTCTCATTTATGAAAAATTTGCAAATCTTTTTTTCTTTGTTGTTGTTATTTTGTTGTTTGTTTGTTTTGAGACAGAGTCTCACTCTGTCACCAGGCTGGAGTACAGTGGTGCGATCTTGGCTCCCTGCAACCTCCACCTCCCGGGGTTCAAGCAGTTCTCCTGCCTCAGCCTCCCAAAGTACAGTCCTAGCCTGCAGCTGGGACTACAGGTGTGCACCACCACGCCCACCTAATTTTTGTATTTTTAGTAGAGATGGGGTTTCAGCATGTTGCCTAGGATGGTCTCAATCTCTTGACCTCGTGATCTGCCCTCCTCAGCCTCCTAAAGTGCTGGGATCATAGGTGCAAGCCACTGTGCCTGGCCCAGATTTGCAAATCTTTCTATGGATTCAACTGGCATAGTGTAATCTATTTTTAAGTGGATTAATGTAATTTTAAATGCCTACCTAGAAACATAAGTCAATATCTGATTAAATGTATTATTTGATATATTAAACTATTATATACATACTTTTTATGACCCATTTGATAAAAGGGAAAATAGTTATCGCTCTTGGCATATAGTAAGACTATACTTCTTTGTTTAAAAACTGAAGAAATTATGCATGCAAATTCGAACTGGCATTTTCTCAAAGCTGTCAGTTTGATATTTTAGAAAGCTTAGAAAACTTACTACATTTTGAGTGAAAAAGCAAGAGATAGAAGTTTTGGTTTCTACACCAGATTGCGAAACATAAGCTCAAATGAAAGATCAAGTTTATCCATGAACGGAGCACTGGATGAAACTGACCTTCTGTGTAAATTTTGCTTGGACCAAGAAGTGTTCATAGGATGTAAACATAAAAGCAAATTTAACCTTTAAATCTTCTCACTGGTGATAGTTCTTCTGAACTTGGATTAGAATGCAGGCAATCTCATGACTTTCCTGGACATTCTTAGATTACAAAAATGTCTATAGTCATTTCAAATTACAAACACAATGTCAACTCAAAAAGAAAAACTGTCCAGTTGATGGAAAGTGAAATATTCTTCCCTCCTCACCCTTGAGTCCCCTATTTCTCTGAAGGTTGAAGTTCCCAGTAGGAGAAGAGGGAGGACCATGTGCTCTTCTCCATACCTTCATCTTCTACCCCTTGTCCACATCAGCTTAACTAAAGGGCCTGACTGTGTGAGGCCAGAGGCAGGGCAGAGGTAAGAGGGAAGGGGGTCAGGAAAGTTTTTACTGGACTGGCACTGCCGTGAGCTGCTAATCTTGCACTCTTACCTTGCTCTTGTGGGCACAGTGGTGGGTTCTCCTGAGGTGACAGGCTGTCCTGATGATGATAGCCTCTGAAATTTGGTAGTGTAAGTCTCGCTCACTCTGTCCCATCCTCCCTCAGGTGCTCCTTTTGAGTAAGATTTAAGGTGGCTTCAGTCTGGATCTTTTCAGCAGTGCCCCCACCTGGGTTCCTAGGTCCCTGCCCTCCATGGTCGTGCTGTTAGCTCCCAGTACAGTCCAGTTTCTCTCTATATGCCTTATTGAGCACTGTGCTTAGATTTCTTGGTCAGGTGTCATATCACAGTCATTTTGTTCCTAAACTCCAGGAGACATAAATCAAGCTCTTTAGGTGGTTGGGTTGAACACCTTGTTTCTTGACTGGAGTGACTGACTCCGGATTGTTACACTGAAAGTCCTGCATCCCAGGAAACCCCCCTGTCCTGGGCAAGCTGGGACAGTTGCAATCTCATTCTTGACCTGAGGTAAAAGTAGGAACACTTTATAACCTCACCCTTTGCATAGCATGATATGGTTTGGCTTCGTGTCCCCACCCAAATCTCATCTTGAATTGTAACTCCCACAATTCCCATGTGTCATGGTAGGAAGCTTGTGGGAGGTGATTGAATTATGGGGGCAGGTCTTTCCTGTGCTGTTCTGGTGATAGTGAATATGTCTCACAAGATGTGATAGTTTGATAAGGGGAAACACATTTCGCTTGGGTCTTATCCTCTCTTTGCCTGCTGCCATTCATGTAAGACGTGACTTGCTCCTCCTTGCCTTCCACTATGATTGTGAGGCTTCCCCAGCCATGTGGAACTGTAAGTCCAATTAAACCTTTTCTTTTGTAAATTGTCCAGTCTCAGGTATGTCTCCATCAGCAGCATGAAAACGGACTAATACTTAGCATAACTGTCCTCACAAAATCCTTCCTTAGTCTACATGCTCTTGACCTTTTTGCATTCTGATGGGGGCCAGGGAGAAGATGTCTAATCAGTTCTAGGACAACCACTTTGAAATTTCTGCAGAATTTTCTTTTTCCTTTGAAACTCTGTTTTCTGATGTCTGTCATGCCTTGGTGCCTTGGTTGAAACTTGTTGCCTAACATCTTATTACTCATGAGACCCAGGTGGTATTAGCCAGGAGTGGGATGCAATTTTGAATGAGGGGAAGATTGATCTACTAGTTACCTTTAATGAGGGCTCACTTTCCAAGCTCATGTCAAGGTCTCTAGCCTAGCACCATGGGAGGATGATCCCTGAGGGAGGGTTACTCCAAGAGGTTCCAATCCCAGGATTTTAGGATTCAACTTCTGGTCCACTCCCCATCCCAAAGTCCACCATTAGCACCATCCTCCCACCCCAGTGATCCTGATTGAGCTACCAGTCCATTTGGAGATCTAAACACTTCTTAGACAGGTTAGAACATAAAGGAATAGCTCAGAGTATATTCTGTGTACTGAAATTATCTACTCAATGAGCCACATGCTTGGATAATCAAAGATGACTGTTAAATACTACTAATAATAAGGCTTACAGAGGCTAATATTCTTATATGCTTTTCTAAGGGCTTTATACAGTGTGTTGATTTTCACAACAATTTCAGATGCTGAGTTCTAGAAGTTCTAGTATTATTCTTTTTTTTTTTTTTTGAGATGGAGTTTCACTCTTGTTGCTCAGGCTGGAGTACAATGGCATGATCTTGGCTCACCATAACCTCCAGCTCCCGGGTTCAAGTGATTCTTCTGCCTCAGTCTCCTGAGTAGCTGCGATTACAGGCATGCACCACCACACTGGCTAATTTTGTATTTTTAGTAGATACGGGGTTTCTCATGTTGATCAGGCTGGTCTCGAACTCCCGACCTTAGGTGATTCCCCCACCTTGGCCTCCCAAAGTGCTGGGATTACAAGCCTGAGCCACCACACCTGGCCATATTGTTCTCATTTTTAAGATAAGAAGATGAGAAAACGGAGGCACAGAAAGATAAAGTAACTTGCCAAGGTCACACGGCTGGGAGCGCAGCCTGAGATTGAAGTTCTGAGAGTCTGACTCTAGAGCCCACGCTGTTAATCCTACCTCTACAAGACCCTGACTCCAGCAGTATTTGAAAGATAACCTAGTATGCTGACTATAACAGAGTAGGGACAGCATGGGGAAGTGGGGTCCCGAGTTTTGTAGTCAGAGCAGGTTTTTGACCTTGGCTCTGCCACCTATTGGCTGTTTGACTTGGAACATGTCACAGCTGCCTCAGAGCTGTTTTGTTTTTGTTTTTGAGACTGAGTTTCGCTCTGTTGCCCAGGCTGAAGTGCAGTGGCGTGATCTCTGCCCACTGCAACTTCCGCCTCCTGGGTTCAAGTGATTCTCCTGCCTCAGCCTCCCAAGAATCTGGGATTACTGGTGCCAACTACCACACCCAGCTAATTTTTGTATTTTTAGTAGAGACAGGGTTTCATCACATTGGACAGGCTGGTCTTGAACTCCTGACCTCAGGCGATCCGCCTGCCTCGGCCTCCCAAAGTGCTGGGATTATAGACGTGAGCCACTGCACCCAGCTGGGTTGTGAGTTTTAATAATGTACACAGCGTACCTAGCAGAGGGTCTGGAACACAGTACATGCCAGTAGATACTTTGTCCTCCTTCCCTCTTTTCACTGCCCTCAAACAACAATTTTGAAGTGAACCTGTGATCTGGAATCAAACAGACTTTTTTAGATCCCTGTAGGGCTCATGCTAGAGATTGTTCAAGAGGTGGACCCACCTAAGGCACATGGACAAGTCAACAGTGGCAATATTTTAACAAGAAAATTCATTCCAAAGGCAACCACATGGACTGTAAAAAGCATTTGTGAAACTAAAATTATTTTGCTTTTGTAGGACAACTTGGCTCTCTAGGAGGGGTAAATCTTGTTTCTGGAAAGATTAAAAAACCTAAGGTGTTCGTGACCGAGGGAAAAGATGTGGCTCTTACTGGGGTATGTGTGTTCTTCATCAGGACTGACCCTTCCAAAGCCATCACCCCTGACAACATCCACCGGGTAAGGGGCAAGAGCCATTGTTTACTCCGAATTACCAAAAAACACACAACTTGCACACAAATATTCCTCCGGTGGAGACAATCATAGTATATTCACTACAGTATCTAAAACTACTTTCAGAGAAGTATTTTTTAAAATTTTAAAGCAAGAAATTAAGAGGACATTCCCTTTAAATCTTTTGAGTAAGAGGACTTAATATTCAATTTATTAACACCAGTTGATATAACCTTCTGGGTGTGTGTATAACAGTGAAGGCTTTCTTTTTCTAAAGAATTCCCCATGCATAATTTACTTAATGGCAAATTTTATACATTGAAGTTAAGATTTCTGAAAGTGGATATATCACTTTATTTTTTTTGTGCAAAATGAAGTGCATCTGTACAAGTTTTCCCCTTCCCTCTGATGGGTATACTATCTTCTTGGAGCAAATAAACTGATAAACATCTGGTATTTTATTTATTTCATGCTTTTATTTTGATGATTACAATTTAGAATAGTGTAAAGCTTATTTCTTAACAAGGTTGTCAAACTAATTTTTTTTTTTTTTCTGAGACAGGGTCTTGCTCTGTCACCTGGGTTGGAGTGCAGTGGCACCATCTTGGCTCACTGCAGCCTCTGCCTCCTGGGTTCAAGTGATTCTCCTACCTCAGCCTCCTGAGTAGCTGGGACTACAGGTGCACACCACCAAGGCTGGATAATTTTTGTATTTTTAATAGAGATGGGGTTTCATCATATTGCCCAGGCTGGTCTTGAATGCCTGACCTCAAGTGATCCCCCCGCCTCAACCTCCTAAAGTGCTGAGATTACAGGTGTGAGCCACCACACCCGTCACAAACTAATAATTTACTGGATATTTGGTAAAGTGACAACATTTAAGAAATGACTTAGTAGCTGTGTTGCATTTGAGGATCGTTTTTACAATAGAAGATCTCCTGCTTGTTTTCCAGGAGGTGAGTTTTAACATGTTAGATGCGGCAGATGGAGGTCTGCTCAACAGCGTGAGACGTTTGCTGTCCGACATCTTCATTCCCGCTCTCAGAGCCACGAGCCATGGCTGGGGCGAGCTCGAGGGCCTTCAGGACGCAGCTAACATTCGGCAGGAGTTCTTGAGCTCCCTGGAAGGCTTTGTGAACGTCCTGTCGGGTGCACAGGAGAGTTTGAAGGAAAAGGTGAGGACGAATAAGCTGTTCCTTTAAAAATGATCAGGTGGTCAACAAGCACAGTACCTAAGTGTGTAATGCTTCTCTTGGATGGTCTTAATTCCTCCATGTTGCAGTTCTTCAAAAATTTTGGTAGGCAATTTTATTGCTCCTTCAAGACGTGGTAGTGATTAGATTTAAATTTCTGCAGTTTGTAATGATCAACACATTCAGGGGTTCCATAAAAACGTTGGCAGTGATGTAGGGCTTTACCCTGTCAATCAGATGAGTGACTCCAAAGGCGAGAGTCAGAAATGCTTGTGGCATTGCTGTGCATCCTAGAATGAAAGGAATTTGGAACCGAAGTGTCTGTGTGTGTGTGGTGGGCAGCAGATGGAGGTGGGAAGAGATCCTGAAGAAACAGAAGAAGGAAAGAGGAACTGATATATTTGGAGAGAGCAAGTTGGATCCTCAGGTTCAGTCAATGATCAAAAGGGCCTTTAAGAATAATTTTGGCAAATGTGAGATTTAGCTTCTGTATGATTTGTACTGTTTATAATAAGTCTGTGTTTGTGATTTCTTGGGGCAGAGGTTGATGGATGCATGCATGCGTGTGTGTGTGTGTGTGTGTGTGTGTGTGTGTGTGAGAGAGAGATAAAGATAGAGTGAGAGCGCGAGAGATTGAGAGAGAGAGAGAAAGAGAGAGAGAGAGAGAAGATAAGGGAATAACAGAGACGACAGAGCCCAGATCAGGCATGTAGGGGCAGGAAGGGAAATGGATCCTATGGTCATGATGACAGTGTGACACTCTGCCCTCCTTTCCCGGGAATGCTGATCCTGCTGGGATTGGGGAAGGGGCATTATGCTTTCCAAAGGATGTGGAATGGGGGAGTTAAGCAAATTTTATCCAGACAGACACAGGATGACTCCAGCTAACACCCAAATTATATTTGTGATTCACTGTGATGGAGGGCAGACCAAAATGCAGGTTGGACCAAATAAAATTGTTGACATTCTGTGGAAAAAAGCAGTGTTTTTTCTCATATGGGTCCACTTCATACTGCAATAAAAGTATTAACAAAATAGGATGGGTCCCCAAGTGGGAGGAGGCATTCTTTCTGAGTGGGAGAGGGCAGCGGGCTTTGGGTTGAATTGTGAAGGTGTGTAGGATCACAGGGAAGTGTTGGAAGGTTCCATCAGTCTCGTGGCAGTGTGGACAAAGGCACATGGGAGTGGAGAGGAGGTATGTGCTACCCGATGGGCGTTCCAGAGCGCTGTCAGAGTGCAGCAAAGTGGAAAACACAGGGCCCATGGTCTGTGTGTTTTACAAAAGCATCATCTTGTTATTTAATTTTCATTCTAATTAGGTGAATCTTCAAAAGTGTGACATACTTGAACTGAAAAACCTAAAGGAACCTACGGACTACTTGACTCTAGCAAATAACCCTGAGACCTTGGCAAAAATAGAGGATTGTATGAAAGTATGGATCAAACAGACAGAACAGGTAATTTTGAGAAACCAAACATCAATTTCAGGTGCCACGTTACTTCACTAGACAGTGGAAGAAGGTGTACTCACATACGACGTTCCATTTGTTAAGAGTTTTACTGTAAATCCTTGAGGAGGTGAGAGGTCCAATGTGGTTTTCATTTACTGTCATGAATTAAGAAGAGGTAGTAAGAATTCTAAGAAATGAAAGAAAATGGCTGTATGTACTTACACCACTCAAAGGCTGCACTTTGCCACTTTCTTTTCTCAAGGTCTAATTTACTTTGGAGAGAACTCTTGTAGAAGCATGAGGAGTTTTCTCATTTAGTATGTCCTCCAAAAGGGAGCTTGAGACTTAACGATAAAATAAAAATTCAAAAAAGTTCTCAATGAAGGAATGAAGGTGGACATTACATTGAAAAGTAAGCACAATTAAAATCCACTAGCCTGAACCATGCAGTTTAACAAGGCCATGTTCCTCCAAGGTTATGGAGTAAATGAATAGCCAAGAAAAATTCCTGAGGTCAAGGCCTTCAGAAGCTCATTACAGCTCATTAAATTGGTAGTTTTCCATTGCAGGTTGGGTGACCGTAGTTAGCAATGGTATACTGTATATTTCAAAGTGTTAGGTTGGTGCAAAAGTAACTGTGGTTTTTGCCATTACTTTCAATGGCTAATTACTTTTGCACCAATCGAATACCTAGAATAGAGGACTTGAAATGTTACCCACACATAGAAATGTTAAGTACGCAAGGTGATGATACCCCAAATACTCTGACCTGATCATGACACTTTCTACACATGTAACAAATACTCACACGTGCCCCATAAATATGTAAAATAAGCATTAATAAAAGAAAAAAGTACAAATCAAAAATCTTAAAAAAACCCCCAAAATATAAGCTATTTTCATATGAGGAAAGCATAAGTGGTTTTCAGTTAAAACAGGTCAAAGAAATTTTCACTGAAGTTTTAAAAATGGATACATGCTAAGTTAGTAAAAGATTGTTATTGGCAGCATGGAATACGCATACATCATGATCCAGATAGGATAATTGATTTCCTTATTTTTTTTGCTTGCCTATAAGTTTAGTATCTCCAGCCCCATGCAATGGCTCATGTTTTCCCCGTGCATTTGCAGGTTCTTGCTGAAAACGATCAGCTGCGGAAGGAAGCAGATGACGTTGGGCCACGAGCGGAGCTGGAGCACTGGAAAAAAAGACTCTCCAAGTTTAACTACCTTTTGGAACAACTGAAAAGCCCAGATGTGAAGGCTGTGCTGGCGGTGCTTGCGGCAGCCAAGTCAAAACTGCTGAAGGTCGTCAGCCATTTCATTTTGCCTTGTGAAAAGGGAATAAGAGTTCTCTATGCATATTTTCAAGTTATGGAGTGATTAGGAGCAAAGAATGTTATTATACCTTGAGGAAAAATATTTAAAATTACATAATATTTCCCTCATATAACTTTGGAGGCTGTGGCAATAGTCTTTGAATTAAAGACATTTGTTAGCTGGTGTACACGTATGTATATATGTTATTAGAGGGCATTGCATGTAATTAAGACAGAACATGATAGCATGTTTATATACATATATCTATATATTATGATTTCAGACAAGCTAGAAATAAAAATAATGAAAACTCACCCAATCCATATTTATTTTTTAGTCCTTGTATATTAGTTTTATATTGCAAAACAAACAACCCCCAAACTTAGCAGCTTAAAACAGCCAGTAGTCCAGGTGCGGTGCCTCACACCTGTAATCCCAGCACTTTGGGAGGCTGAGGCAGGCAGTTCACAAGGTTAGGAGTTTGATACCAGCCTGGCCAATATGGTGAAACCCCATCTCTACTAAAAGTACAAAAATTAGCTGGGCACGGTGGCGTGTGCCTGTAGTCCCAGCTACTTGGGAGGCTGAGGCAGAAGAATCGCTTGAATCTGGGAGGTGGAAGTTTGCAGTGAGCCAAGGTCGTGCCACTGCACTCCAGCCTGGGTGACAGAGTGAGACTCTGTCTCAAAAAAACAAACAACAACAACAAAAAAACCAGCCAATATTCTAATCTCGGAGTCTATGGGCCAGGAATCTGGGTGCAGCTTAGCTGGGTGCCTCTGACTCTGGGTATCTTATGAGGCTGCAGCTGTGATGTGGGTTCATCTTAGGGCTCAACTCGGGGAAGATCTGCTTCCGGGTTCACTCATCTGGTTATTGCTGCCTTCAGCGTCTTGCTGGCTGTTGGTAGAGGCTTCCTTCAGTTCCTTCCCACATGGGCCTCTCTGTAGAACAGCTTAGAACATAGCAGCTGGCTTCCCTTAAAGGGAGCAAGTGAGGGAGGGCAAGAGAGCACCCAACCTAGAAGCCACAGTCTTTATGTGAATTAATTCTGGAAGTGACATCCTATCACTTTAGCCATATTCTCCTTATTAGAAGCAAGTCACTAGATTCAGTCCACGATCAAGGAGAAGGGACGAATACAAGAGCTTGAATACAGGGAGTTTGTGGTCATTGGGGACCATCATAGAGGCTGCCTAACTCACCTGGCATTGGTGCTGGAAAGACTATTTGTTAACTATTTGCATGGGTGTTATTAGCTATTTGCATGTTTTGATACATGCAAATAATCTAAATAATCAATAATAATTTGTTACAATAAACATGCTATAGATTTACTTTATTTTATTCCTCAATGAAATAGCAGAGGTAAGCCTTGCAAAACAGTTCAGAAATACTATCAGTCGGACTTCCATGAAGTCAATGGAATGTATTGACATGCTAAATAATTTCCTTTTACTTCTCTCACTTTTAGATTATTTTTCCATTTCTAAGTTCCTAGCTCATAGCACAGTACTGGCATATGGTTGGCAGATAATAAACAATTACTACATTAATGGATAAATGTATAGGGATATAGGAAGGGAGTTCAGGTTAGAATAGAGGAAAGATAGAAAATATGGTAGTGAGGTATCAAATGGGTCTGGTGCAGGGGAAAAGGTGTGAGTTTAAAGGGAGGTGCTGTCCTCTTGGTGCTCTGGGATAGTCATGGCACAGATTTTATATGAGAAGCCCTGGAAGATATGCTTTAAAAAATTTAGTCAAAAATTTTAAATTGCTTTCCAGCATAGCAATATCTCTCGCCTCTCTGGATTCAGTTTTATGTGAGATGCACAGAAAGTCTGGCCTAATGGACTTGTGGTGACTGTTAGCAGCGGTTATGTTGGAAGTTCCTCTATGAATAATTGCGTTAAAATTGGTTTTCCGTATTGTGCTTAGATTTGGCGGGAGATGGATATTCGAATCACTGATGCAACTAATGAAGCGAAGGACAATGTGAAATACTTGTATACACTTGAAAAATGTTGTGACCCTTTGTACAGCAGTGATCCAGTGAGTTAAGGATTTCTACTCTTTTAGTCTATAGATAATTCTTTTTGCACTAGCTGAACTGAATATTGAATTTTGGTTCATCGATATTACAGTTCATTGGAAAGGTCTTAGAAACTTTATTTTCAAGAAAATTTTATATGTGTGTGTATATATATACATAAATATGTATATACACATACACACAGATACCTATATTTCTATATCTATTTCTCTAAACAGTCTATCTCCTATCTATTGAAGATGTATATGAGATGTTATATTTTAAAACATTTAGTGCACATTACATTTTCCATTAAATATTGCAAAGGGCATTCTGAACTATATATCTCAAAGAACTGTAGGAAAAATCATTAGCTGGTGATTTTTCTTTTAATCTTTTAGCTTTAGGAAGTGCCTGCTTTTACTTATTACAACATTAACTGTTATTAACAGTTCATCCTTATTAATAGTTAACAGGTAACTTGCTGTTGCTTCTCATTAACAGCAGGTCAATGTTTCTTCCATTGAAATAAAATTTGATTAACCATATATGACTAATATAATAAAATTCATATTAAATATATTATTTTCATGTAAAGCATTAGATAGTATTTTAAAATCTTTAATAGAAATCTCTTAAACTTTATTTTAATGCAGATGGAATGGTTGGTCTATTAGAATTTTGCTGAATTTGATGATTTTTTCCTGAAAACTTTGATGGTATCTTTCAGCTATCCATGATGGATGCTATTCCTACACTTCTAAATGCAATTAAAATGATCTATAATATCTCTCATTACTATAACACCTCTGAGAAGATCACATCTCTGTTTGTAAAGGTAAGTGCATGATGTAGAGTTCATGTTCATTTATATTTCTTTGCCAATGACCAATTTTTTGATAATTAAAAATTACCATATTGGCTCAGTTCAATATATATGTATCTTAAAATTTTAAAAAGGCTTAGGCTATCAATAGAGATAGAATTAAATTTATGTCAGAGGTTGATTCTAGCAAATCATAAAGCATTATTTCCCAAAGTAATTATTATGATAAATATTTTATTTACATAATACAAATGAAAAAAGATTTCTTTCCCTATGTGGTTTAGCACATCATGTATTCCTACTGGGTAAATTTTAATTAAGAAAAGCTATATTTAACTGACTATCTCTTGTTTCATATTTCATATGCCACTGTTCCAAATTTATTTGATGCCACAGTTGTTTACTTGGTGTTATTAGAACAGTAATCATGGTAATAAAAGCCACTTGCAATGTTCTAGGAATCTATAAAGCAATTATAATGATTCTGCCAAAAAACATAACGATGCTTAAACCTTATGTCCTAACTCGTAAGTGTTTATGGTAAGCACTGTTGCTATTCTCATTCCGAATAGTCTCTAAGAAGTAAATGACTTTTTCATTATCAAAGCAAAAATCTTAAATGTTGTATTAAAATAGAAGAGTTTTTGACTCATGAAGGTTTGTGTTCTGAATACTAACGCAGTAGGAAGCACAGTTCTTCCTGGGAATAAAGGCATCTGGCCTTAAGAGCTCAATGGGAAACTTTTTCCTTCTCTCATATAGGTAGTTCAGGTAGACAGGAGGAATGACTGCAAAATTCCCTCCCAACTTCCTTATACTTTAAAATTATATGTTAGGGTTGCAGGAGTATTCCCTGAGTAAATGACACCCAAAAGTAAATTTGTGTTATTAATTTAGATTTTATACATATTATTTACAAAACATGATTTAGCATAAAATAATGAAACCACCATTTAATTATGGAAAACCTTTCATTATGGAAATGTTGAATTAGGTACAAAAGGAAAGAGAATTGTATACTATAATGCCATGTACATATCACCTAGATTCAGCAGATATCCACGCATGGCTGATCTTGTTTCACCTATGCCCCCACCCCTTGTACTGTAAATCCTGGGCATCATATCATTCCATGGATACAGCATAGTCATTTTAATTTTCCTTGTGCTTTATGCAAAAAATTAACATATTTCTGAGGATTTTTGTAAAGTTTGGAGAGATGAATAAAATGTTAGTGGTTTTGTACATTAGCTTTCCTTCTCTCTGTGGCCTTCTCCTTTTGACATTTCCATTGCTGATCTTGGTCACATGAAAAGATCAGGATTGGCAGTACTTTACATGGTGCTAATAAACTGTGAGTTAGATATTTAGAGCAGGCTACCTAAGGAGATTTGTGGAAACTCATCAGTTTTTAGGGAAGGAAATGAATCATTCCGTAGTTGGTTAAGACATTCATCCTGCATAAACAAGGTGGCCCAAATTGTTGATTTTCCATGGTGCTTCCAACTCTGTGATTTCACAAATGATTTTGACAATATCAAAGGGTTATTGGTTGATTGCATCTGTGATGGAAAAAGAAATAAACCCAAGCTCAAGTTAGAAGATGGTGAACTCTGAGAAGCAGAAGAGTTAAGGACCTTCTAGTTCAGTTTACAATCCATGGCTGTTTTATGTGCTTAACATCATTTTATTGGAAAATCCCAGGTGACAAATCAGATTATATCTGCATGTAAAGCCTATATTACCAATAATGGAACCGCTTCCATCTGGACCCAGCCACAGGATGTTGTTGTAGAAAAAATACTATCTGCGATTAAACTGAAACAGGTAATGGTTAGTTTAGTATTTAGAGGTTCTATTATTTTTGTCTTATTTTTGCTGAGACCATCTTAAATCATTTTGTAATTATTATATCATTGGTTGCTAAAAAGAACAGTGATTCTTAACTATTAAGAAAATGGAATGTTAATATACCTTCCCAGGAAATTTATTCACTTTTTTTTTTACCCTTCTTGGGAGCCTACTATGTCCTGATACCACAGTAAGTACTAGAGATACAAAGACAACTAATATGAGGTAGTTTTCCTTAAGCATCTTAAAGATGAATGGAGAGTCACAGAAGGATGCTATTACCAAAACCGTGGGACCAAGATGGGAAGGCCACACCTTTGAGTTGCATCATGAGTAACCCAATTAGAATCTGGAATTGCTAGATTAGAGGAGGTGAAAAGATGATTTTCCAGGCTGATGAGTGAGTACATGCAAAGGCATGAAACTATGAAAAGGCTTATAATTCCATCCTAATTTTTCTGTTGCCTTCACTTAAAAAAATGAAATTTCTTGTTCCCTTTGTTGTATATTTTTGTATATTTTTCTTTTGATTTCAAGGAATACCAGCACTGCTTTCACAAGACAAAACAAAAGCTTAAACAAAATCCAAATGCAAAACAATTTGATTTTAGCGAGATGTATATTTTTGGAAAATTGGAAACTTTTCACCGACGCCTTGGCAAGATAATAGACATCTTTACAACCCTCAAGACGTATTCAGGCCTGCAAGATTCCACAATCGAAGGGCTGGAAGACATGGTCACTAAATACCAGGTATTGTACTTTCAAGCTGTATTTTCTACCATAATCTACAACTAAACTTCAATATTTTATGCAAATAACAGTGTTTAGAATGATTCAAATCATCCATCTGTAATGTAAAATATAAATAATCTCATGGCCTTTTAACCATAAAGAAATTAGATTTATTTGAGAATTGTGTAATGGTGCTAATATGTTCTTTTCAGGTGTGTGGTTATAAGAATGACTTTCCAACAGTCTAAAATTAATCACCATTAAAAAAGCATTTTCATTAGTAGCACAAGAAAAATGTTTAAATGTAACTTATTATTTTATTTATTCACGCAAGAAATATTTAATGAAGACTATACTGTGTCAGGCATTGGTCGACACCAGGTACTGTGTGGCACTCAGTTGTCTCTGCATTTAAGCATTTTATTTGGACCCATATTAAAAAATATAAAGGACCTGATTTTATTCTAGATCTGACTTCCCTAATTATTTTGATTTTTAACTGCTTTATCTTGTCATGGTATCTGTGTGACTAATTTTAGTTTTGAAAGTGGGCATAGTGACCTAATAACATTTGAAGATGTTAGAAAAGCAATTTACAAACAATTTGCTTTAAATTCTTAATATGGACATAGTCAATTTTTTCTTTTTTGGGGACACTGACACTAAATCTTAATTTTTTTTGGTACTTGAATTTGAAAAGGATCATATAATTAACCACTACACACTAATTTTTTTACTCTAACAGTTTAGACCAATATAAGGACTCTTTTTCATTTCCTGAGTATACCAAGTTTTGGGAGAGAAAAAGAAAAGATTTTTATATAGTAGGAAACATTTTAAGTTTACTGACACATAGTAGATGTGCAATAAATATCTGTCAAGACAATAATTAAGTAGATCGAGTTTGAATAATTGGTGTAAAGGTCACGATAAATCATTTCCTTTATTTAACTTAATAATCTTAAGTGACCATTAAATCCCATCATACAGCGGGATTTTCTCAAGTCCCCAAATCTTTAAAATTACAACATCAAAATGTAGTAGCTTTTCCATACTTCTTTTAGAAAGCTACATGTGTATGTATATATGTGTATATATGCATACACACACACATATTTTTGATTCGTTTGATATTAAGGAATATCAGCACTGTAAATCCTAGACATTGTATCATTCCATGCATATATATATAGTGTGTATGTATATTTCATATAACATTCCATGCATATACATGTTATATAAAAAAGTATATGTATATATACACACACACACAATTTCTAAGTAGAACTAATTTTGTAGTTATGCAGCATGAAAGAGTAGGTTGTTTTATCTAGTAAACTTGATTCAAGAAGTTATGCTGTTTATACACTTTTGTCTGTTGAGAGATTTGATGTTTAAATGGAAGTGACTTTGAAGAGGAGATTGTAGAAGAAGGAGGCCCAATATTCTTCATAAAAATTATATGCTTCTGTCAACAATGTGGGCACCTGAGTTTGAGAATGGCTTAGTACCTGGTTAAGAAGAATCACAGAGCATTATAGCTCATTATTCAAAGCAAACAAAGCTTCTGATAATAGTATTTTCAAGGAGATGAACTTCCTAGTTTGTACTTCCCTAGTCACAGGCTGCAGCTTTGCAGGGTAGTGGGCAGCAATTAATTTTAGAGAGGTTTTAAGTGGTGGATTCCAGTTTGACATTTTTAAGACGTTTGGGGCTTGGAAGGTAGTAACTCATCTGTAGATATAACATAATTTATTTTCTTCCTATATTGTTTGTGTTCTGTGAAAGCCTTATTTATTTTCTGAGAAGATTTAAACTATTCAACACAAAATATTTTGGTAAATTCTACTCTGGGCTTTAAAAATTTATTTCAGATATGATTAACAATAAAATTTTAGTGAAAAAAACCTTTCCCAATTTTCAGATGTGACTTTTATTTTATTTTATATTTTCAAAAATACATAAAACTTCATGAAAATGCTGTCCAAGTGATTTCTTTGAAGGTAGCATGGCAACCTTATACTGCCTATAAAATAATAAGCATGAAACAATGTGAGTAAAAAAATGAGGCTTCCTTTAAACTTATTTTTTTTGGCAATTATTGTATAGGCTCTACATTTAAGGGTCATATTTAGTTAGGTAATTTAAGAATATTGAAATACTATCTAATTTATCTCATAATATTTCAGGGCATTGTGACAACCATAAAGAAAAAGGAATACAATTTCTTAGACCAGCGGAAAATGGATTTTGACCAAGATTATGAAGAGTTTTGCAGGCAGACTAATGACCTTCATGTAGGTTGTATAATACAATTCCTGTTGACAGTCGTGTGTTTATTTTTTCCTTTCTGTATAATACTGTTAATCATTACCCATTCAGAAGGCAGAGGTGTCTTCATCATGGAGGTGACCGATAGCAACCTCAGCCTGTGTTTCATGATTTCAGATTAATAATTGAAGGCTGTTTTTCATGGATTAAAGGGTCATAAATATAGCTTTGGCTAATGATGTGTATGAGACTTCTACATGTTTTCCATTGAAGTTCTTAGAAAGTTAACTTTCATCTTCTGTTGAACATTGCGGCATGATTAGAATATAGATGCTTATTTCCATTTGTCACTGTGTAGCAGTGATTATGACCAGAGGTAGCTCAGGCCAATGGTCAGCAATGTCTGGCAGATTCCAAGCCTGGTTGCCACTGGCCTTAGAAACGGTGGCGCCAGGACCAACTCAGCATCTGGACCCTGCTTGGTTTTGCAACCCCTTTCTCTCTTCCTTCTTTCACTGCTCACTGCAGACCAGTCATCTTGCCTTGCAGCTCACATGAGCAGTTTATGGCATCAGCAGCTTCTGAGGTCGTTTCACAGGACCAGTCCAGCTCCAGATTCCCGAGGAAGGGGTTGGGCTAGCCAGTTCTGGTGAGGTGCCTAGTACTGGGCCTCTCAATTGTGAGATCCTGTGGTAGACACAGGCAGGATGGGATCCGCTGGGTCATTGGGAATGTTTATTATCAGGAAAGGGGAGTCAGGGAGGGTAAGATGGGAAGACACACAACAGGTATCTACCATAATGAATATGCGGACATTTTCTCATCCCAGTGAGGTGCAAATGTCTATCTTTCTGACTGTAAGAGGAAAATAGCCACTCTATTTCTTTTTTCCCAGGGTTTCTGATTTGCATTAAATGTGTGCACTTCAAAGTAAAAGGAGATACCTTGGGAGGAGTGAGTTCAGTGTTAGAATGAGTCGTAACAAAGCTAGCTAATTCTATGTGCCAGGTACTGTTCTAAGCACTTTGTATGTGCTAATTCATTTAATAATCATAACAATCCTGTCAAGTGGGTGCTCTTGTTACTCTCATTTTGCAGAGGGAGAAACTGGGAAACTTCCCTGTGAGGTGAAGTGGTTTGTCCAACACAGGCATAACAAGAGGTGGAGTTGGGGTGAAACCCAGGCAATCGGCTTTAGAATTCAACTTTTTTAACCATTGTGGCATGCAGCAGTCTTCATGTGATGGGAAGGAAGAGTGCCTATAATAATTTAAGCAATGAATTCTTTTTTTTTTTTTTTGAGACGGAGTCTCGCTGTGTCGCCCAGGCTGGAGTGCAGTGGCGCGATCTCGGCTCACTGCAAGCTCCACCTCCCTGGTTCACGCCATTCTCCTGCCTCAGCCTCCCGAGTAGCTGGGACTACAGGCGCCCACCACCTCGCCGGGCTAGTTTTTTGTATTTTTAGTAGAGACGGGGTTTCACCGTGTTAGCCAGGATGGTCTTGATCTCCTGACCTCGTGATCCGCCCACCTCGGCCTCCCAAAGTGCTGGGATTACAGGCTTGAGCCACCGCGCCTGGCCATGCAATGAATTCTTTTGGGGGCAGATTTAGACATAAGGATAGTGGATCTTGGTCTGTTTTTGATGGAAATTGATGAATAATGGCAGATTCTGATATTCACCTGTGTTTCCCCAGCAGTGTCTGACCACGTGGTACTTCTGTAGCTTATATGTGGAACATAGATGGTGAGCACCTCAAATGCAGGGATCGTGTTTTATTCCCATATGTAAATAAGAAGATGTAGATTTATTGCAATGAAACAAGCATTTGCTATGCAGCAATTATGTATTACACTTCTATGCTGTAGGTTATGAATATAGAAATAAATCAAGTAGATATGCCTTCGCAGCTCATAGTCAGAAAGGAGGCAGATGGTGAAATGATTAAAATATAAGCACATACATAAGAACAGAGTAATGAATTTAGCATTTAAAAAAGGGCAAATGGGGCTAAAGTGGCTAGTTATGAAAGAATACTACTCTGATACTGTATGAAAAAGTGAGGATTCAAAAATAAAAAGGCATAGCTCAAGGCCTACAAAAATGTATTGGGAGATCAGGCCTGCAAAACATTACATAGGATTTGATAATGTGAAACTAGGAAAAGATAATCTGATACTTCTGCTTGGCTGGAGTTAGGAAAGCCTTCAGAGAGAAGGAGGCTGTGGTTGATGCTAGAAAGATGTTTTTGTGGTTGTATTTTCCATGGTTTTGACTACCCAGGGTCAACTGTGGTCTGAAAATAGGTGAGTATAGCACAATAAGATATTTTGAGAGAGAGAGAGGCCACATTCACATAACTTTTATTACAGTATATTGTTAAAAATTGTGCTATTTTATTATTAGTTATTGTTGCTCATCTCTTACTCTGCCTATTTTGTAAATTAAACGTTATTATGTTTGTATGTATGTACAGGCAAAAACATAGTATATATAGGGTTAGGTTTCAGTCACCCACTGGGGGTTTTGGAACATATTCCTGAAGATAAGAGGGGACTACTGTATTAGTCCCCATTCTACTCAGCCTTCTTAAAAGAAATTCAACACTATTATCCATCTTGTCTTCCACCTCAGAAATTGTTCACTTCTGTCTTTGGTTTGCCAATGAGTTTTTCTTTGACTTATACTTCTTTATTCCTTTGTCCGTTCTCTTTCTCTTAACTAATTGTTCTGCAATTTCTCCTTTAAATACTCACCCATTCATGAATTCAGCCCTCACCTTTATAAAACTGGGGCAAAAATACCTTCCCACAACTCTGGATGGAGTAAAGGTGGTGATGCATCCTGGAGTCTTGGAGAGACTCAGCAACAGTGGCATCTCGAGTGTAAGACTTCATGAGTGATTTGGATCAGGGTAGTGTCCAGGGCTCCCCTGCCAAAGGGATGACAGCCTGGAATCCTCTCTAGATTTAGGGTTCGTGCTGGTACTAACAGGTCAAAGAGGGCAGTGTGTTGGAACCAAGTGGGCTATTGGAAGTCTAGAAGCATGCTGATCCCAGCAAATGGAGAAGGCACTACTTAGTAAAGGATGGGTGTTGAGGTGGCAAGCTGAGTTAAAAGAAAACTGAGTAGGAGCTGAGACCCAAAAACTAATGGGAAGACGAATATGAAGATTCCACAACCCAGATCCCACAAATTGTAAGGATGGACCAAGGCTCAGAACAAGAAAATTAAGTCTGGGTCTTACATGTTGACAGAGTTCAACCCAGGCCTTTGCGAAGCCATAGGGTAGAAAGGCAAGGAAAAACCAGAAAAACTGTTAGGGCTTAGTAGAGATTTGCTGTTTTCTGAAGGAGAGGGAGGCAGTGGAAGGATTATAAATGCTCTAGTTTTCATAATTTATAAATAGAGTTTTTTTATATAGTGAAAAAATGTAGATGTTTATTTAGGTAGGCTAACTAATTTTTTTTAATGCAAGAACATTTTTTCATCCTAGGATGTGGACTTACCAGAAGAAATAATGTCACTTAAAAAATACATATACTTCCAGTAGAAGTAGCTGAAACTATTGAGGGCAAGGAAGTATTGTAATAGGCTTCCAGATCTTTCTGTTTTGGAGCTTTGCTGTATCAGGCAGGAGATTTGCAGCTTACCCATTCCCCACCCCGCCAATAGCTCTGTCTCCTCCACAGGTAGTGTCTCCTGCGGTGGTCTGGATATTGCCAACTGGTTGTCTTACTGTATTACTTCTGACCTAACATTACTGAAATCAAACCCCTTTAGGTACTAATTCTTATTGCATATCAAACTAGTCTCCTCATTTTAATACTACATCAATTAATGTCTCTTCAAGATTACAAGGACTTAATTAAAACTTCTGACTGGTAAGTTGAAAAAAAGTTGTTCGCTTTGTCTTGAAGCATGAAATATAAAATAAGGAAAGAATTTTTCTATGTTTTATTTAACTACATTTAGATTTTAATTATAGCTCTGCACTAAAGCTTAGGATACACAAAGAATAAATTGTGCTTAGTTTTTTGGTGCAATTTTTTTTGGGGGAGGGTCACAGTTACATAATAGTGTAAGATGTGTGACGTTCTCAGAAGAATCCCTAACGACCACCCATACAGGCATGCTCCACCACACCCAGCTAATTTTTTGTATTTTTAGTAGAGATGGGGTTTCACCATGTTGGCCAGACAGGTCTCAAACTCCTGACCTCAAGTGATCCACCTGCCTTGGCCTCCCAGAGTGCTGGGATTACTGTCGTGAGCCACCGTGTCTGGCCTCGTTTTGCTAGATTCTGGTTTGACAGACGCTTTCGGTGTGAAATTGCATTCACTCCACTGCTCTTGCTTAATTTTGCCAAAGGATAGTCTGTATTATTATTTTTCCCAAAGAGCAGCTTTGGAGATGTTAATCTTGCCTCGTGTTTCTTTGTTTTTAAATTTATTACATTTTGCTTTAAAACACTTTTTTCTTCTTTCTTTGGATTTATTATTTTTACCTTTCTTCAACTGACAGCGTAGCTCATTAATTTCAATTTCTTTTCTTTTTCTCTTTAAAGTAGGTGCATGAAAGTCTGTATCTTTTCCACAAAGTGTCACTATTGCTGTTTCTTACAAATTTTAATATGTAGTACATATGTTGTTGTTGAGTTTAAAGTATCACATCATTTTCATTATGATTTGTTATTTTGCTCATGGATTATTTAAAAGCATTTTTAGCTTTTTATTATACTCTATTGGCTCTTATTTTATTTTGACTTAGATTATTATATTTTGATGTGAGAACATGGAATACTTTATGTCAGTATATTGGTATTTACTGAGATGTCCTCCGTGGCCTAGTTCGTAGTTAAGATTTGCAGATGTTCCATGTGTACTTGAAAAGAGTAGTGTTTTCTGTCGGGATTTGGGGTCTTCCAATGTCACTATATCACACTTTTAATTGGGTTATTCAAATATTTTAGGCCCTCATTAAATATTTTTTAAAGAGAAGTTTTAGATTCGCAGCAAAATTGAGAGGAAGTACAGAGATTTCCTATATTCCCCCTACACTCCCCCAGAATGCATAGACTCCCCCATTATGAACATCCCCCAATAGGGTGGTTCATTTGTTACAACTGATGAACCTAAATTGACACATCATTATTGTCTAAAGTCCACAGTTTACATTAGGGCTCACTCTTGGTGTTATACATTCTATGGGTTTGGACAAATATATAAGGATGTGCATCCACCGTGATAATATCCTGCAAAGTGTTTTCCTACCCGAAAAGTCCCCTGTGCTCCACCCGTTCATCCTTCCCTCTCCCAGCAGCTACTATCTTTTTACTGTCTTTGTAGTTTTGCCTTTTCCATCTAGTCGGAAGCATACAGAATATGCCCTTTTAGATTGGCTTATTTTAATTAGTAATATGTGTTTGTATTTTCTTCATGCCTTTTCATGGCTGGATAGCTCATTTCTTTTTAGCATGGAATAATATTCCATTATTCAGTTGTGATGTACCACAGTTTATCCAGTCACACACTGAAAGACATCTTGGTTGCTTCCAAGTTTTGACAACTATGAATAAAGCTGCTATAAACATTGGTGTGTAGATTTTTGTGTGGATATAAGTTTTTAACTTCTTTGGGTGAGTACCAAGAAGTATGATTGCTGGATCATATAGTATGAGCGTTTTTAGTTTTGTAAGAAACCACCAAACTGTCTTCCAACATGGCCATACCATTTTGCATTCCCACTGGCAATGAGTTAGAGTAGAGTTCTTGTTGCTCCACAGCCTCACCAGCATTTGGTGTTTTCAGTGTACTAGATTTTGACCATTCTAATATTTGTAGTGGTATACTGAATATCTTTTGATCTTCTTTGTCTGAGTTCTTTTTGTGTTGCTATAACAGAACTGCAGACTGGGTGATTTATAAAGAAAAGAAATTTATTTCTTACAGTTCGGGAGACTGAGAAGTCCAAAGTTGAGGAGGCTACATCTGGTGAAGGCCTTCTTGCTGCATGGCAGAAGGGTGAAGAGCAAGAGCCTGAGAAAGCAAGAGAGGGTTGAGCTCGTTTTTATAACAACCCACTCCTGCGATAACATTAATCCACCAATGGGAGCAGAGCCCTCAAGGCCTAATAACCTCTTAGCAGTGCCACCTCTTAATATCATCATGATGGCAATTAAATTTCAGCAGGAGTTTTGGAGAGGACATTCAAACCATAGCATGCTTGATCCATGGGTTTCTAAGAATCTGTGCATATATTTTGATTCAATTGGTTAAACACTGACTTGAAATTGGCATATGTGCCACAGAAATTGTTCCCATTAACACTAAATTATGACCATATTTATCTTCAGTGAGGCTTTTTGTCTTACAAGCAATTTTGTGAATTATTTATATGGCTACTTCAACTTTCTTTTGGTTATTATTTACCTGAAATAAACATTTTTTCTGTTCTTTTACTTCCTACTATTTCTTTCTTTCTTTCATTTTATGTTTTTTTTGAAACAGAGTCTTGCTCTGTCACCCAGGCTGGAGCACAGTGGTGTGATCTTGGCTATGGCAGCCCCGATCTGCTGGGCTCAAATGATCATCCCACCTCAGCCTCCTGAGTAGTTGAGACTACAGGTGCACGCCACCATGCCCAGCTAGTTTTTGTATTTTTTTGTAGAGTTAGGGTTTTGCCATGTTGCCCAGGCTGGTTTCAAACTTCTGGGGTCAAGGGATCTGCCCACCTTGGCCTCCCAATGTTCTGGGATTAAAGGTGTGAGCCACTGTACCTGGCCTACTATTTCTTAATTATTATATTTTAAACATGTCTCTTTAAAAGTGCAATGGTTGGATTATATACATATAATACACACACACACACACGCAATCCACATACATAGAATCCATATATATATAAAATCCATATATCTGTAATTTATATATAGTATCCTTATATATAATTCAACACATGCACATATATAATCCCCATATATATAAAATCCATGTATCTATAATACATATATCTATAATTTTTATATATAATACCCATATATAATCCATATCGCTCTATATAATTTATATATGTATATATATAAAATAGCTGAGACCCTTTCCTTTAATTGCAAGTTTAAGCCATTTACATTGAGTGTTGTTTCTAGTGTAGTTAGAATTACTTCTACAATCTATTTTGAATTTTCAATGAGGTGAGCTTTTTTTCTTTGACTTCTTTCTTTTTATATTTTGTTGATTACATTTTGTTATTCTCTTTATTCCTCTTCTATTTATATTTCTATTTATATTTTTAATGCTGTATGTATATTTTTAGTGGTTTTAGCATATATACCTGACTTTAAAAAGTTTAATTGTTTTATCACCCTACCTCTCAGTCATGCTATGGTTTTCTTGAATTTTAGTTTTACCTTTGCTGCTCAACTTTTCAAACTTGTTGTTACTAATAGCTAATTAAATTTAGCAACATATTTACAGATTGCTTTGCTTATTCTTACACCTCATTAGTAATCTAATTGTATCTCTCCCTCTTTTTGGGTTCATTATTGTTCTTAAAGAAGTGTATCCTTTAGTTTTAACAAGAGTCTGTTAGTGGTAAACTCTTCCAGTCTTTACACCCAAATGCCTATAAAGTTTCCCTCAATCTTGAACTTTATTCTCGTTTTATATGTGATTTTAGTTTGGGTGTTATTTTCCTTCAGCCCTTAGAAGATCTTTTTTCATTGATTTTTGTCAGCTATTGTTCTCAACAAGGTATTTGCTATCAAATAGTTATTTCTTTATAGATAATTTGATTTCTCCCTTTTGTGATTTTAATATTTTTCTCTTTTAGTATTAATATTATTTTCTTTTAATTTTGTTTTTCTCTTTACCTTTGGCATCTTTATGTGAGTTTTAGGTGTGATTAAAATATATTTCTGTTGTTCAGAATTTGATGTGCTTCCTCCATTTGTGGACTAAGTCTTTTTTTAATTGTGGAAAATACTCAGCCTTTATCATTTTAAATACTTCAGATTCTTCTTCCAAGATTTCCAATAGACATATGTTACACCTTCTTTTTCTAACGTCCATGTTTGTTAACATCTTTTTTTGTATTTTTCCATTTCTTTATTTCTCGGCTATACTTTGGGTGATTTTATTTGAAAACAGTCTTGTAGTTCATCATTTTTCTTTTCAGGTGTTTACAATTTGCATCTATTGTATTTTGAATTGTAATTATGTTCCCCTTTATATGTCTAAATTTTGTTTTTAAAAATCTGAGTGCTCTTATTTTATTCTGTTCTGTTCTTTTTATGATTTCTGTTTCCTCTTTACTCTTTAATCACTTTAAATATACTTATTTCATAGTCTCTTTTAGACTGCTCTGTCATTTCTAGTTCTTGGTTACTAATTCTGTTTGTGCATTCTGTTCCTTTTCTCTCAAAGATCATTTTCTCGTGGGGTTTTCAGAAACTTTGTGAGCTTCTTTAGAAGTTATGTATTTATTTATTTTTCCCTGTAGCAATTTTTTGGTCCTGGGCTTTGAAAGTATTTCTATAGAGTGACTTTTCCTGAATTCTGCTGTGGTCCTAGTGGTTTTACCTTCCCAGACTAGCTTTTATGTTAATATCTTGGGTTATATCCCTTTCATTTCATGTGTAGTTTAAACCTGGACCCCTTATCTAGGTGTGGCACACATGTGGGATTTCAGTTCCTCTAGGGCAGGGGTCAGCAAACTATGTCCAAGAGCCAAACAGTGCCCTGCCCATTTGTTTGTGCACTGTCTATGGGTGCTTTGGCATTCCAGTGGTAGAAGTGAGTAGCTGTGATGAGAAAGTATGGGAACCCTATTGTAGGGTGACTTTTTCCCCAACTATCCAAGGGTTTGGGCAGATGTCAAGCCTCTTTGCAGCTTTCCCAACTTGTGAATCAACTCCCTTTGCATGTACTGGGCAGCACGTCAAGGATCCCATCTTTCTGCAGGATCTGTTGAGAGTGTTAGGACCCCACAGCCCTTCTCCCCATATTCTGATAAGGCCCCAATGCCACCCCCCAGGCTCTGTGTCTGGCCCAATACCCATGGAACCTGACGTGGTGCCAACTCCCATGGCTGCCCTGGCTTTCAAGTCTCTTTGTTTCTGGCTTCTGGGCATTTATGTTTCTTTTAAGCTCATTCAATTTTCGGTTCCATTTTGTTCCTATTATATGTGTTTGCAGAGAATGGAAAGCTCTTTTATCTTGTGGCTAAACAGTAAATTCCCAATTCTATTGTTCATCACCAGATTTTATTCTATTTTAGAATGAGTTGCAGAAGTTCATGGATGTTACATTTGAGAAGATTCAAAACACAAATCAAGCTCTAAGAATGTTGAAGAAATTTGAAAGGTAAAAGTTTCAAGAAATTGTCTATTTTCTAAAATTGGGATAGTTTAACCTTTATTGTTGTTATTCCTATTATTATTTCATATTCCGATGGAAAGGAAAAACTCTCTTGGCAATTTGGGTCACAAGGTCATAGTTTTTAAGTTTTTCAGAGGATTAATCCTTTTAAGGATTCAGGATTTATTTTATTTCTGCAAATAGAGAATACTCTTAGCTTTGAAGTACCTTGTGACTGCCTGTAAGAATATTTCCTAATGTATAGATAATTTGAAAAAAGTCTTCCCAAGTTAGTAGTTTTGCCAACATTTTATGGATGAGTTTTATTTTTGTTCTTTTAATATTCCACATAAATATCTCATTCTTTTCCATTAGCATTAAAAAAAATATTAATAAATGAGGTTACTAGATATTTTTATTGTGTATTTTACTTATTTTATTTTATTCCGTTAATTCAAACTTTTAACTTTTTTTAAAAAAAATCAGGTTGAATATACCTAATCTTGGTATTGATGACAAATATCGACTTATCTTTGAGAACTATGGGGCTGACATTGATATGATTTCAAAGCTGTATACAAAGCAGAAATACGACCCTCCTCTGGCTCGAAACCAGCCTCCCATCGCTGGAAAGATTTTGTGGGCCCGCCAGCTCTTTCACAGGATTCAGCAGCCCATGCAGCTTTTCCAGCAGCACCCAACTGTACTAAGCACGGCAGAAGCCAAACCTATAATTCGCAGTTACAACAGGATGGCCAAGGTCCTCCTGGAGTTTGAGGTCCTCTTCCACAGGGCGTGGCTTCGGCAAGTGAGTCCCTAAATTTATACTCTTCCCATTGCTGGAATCATGGGAACCCCTCCTCTAGCATTTGACAATGTTGTTTCTGTAGAAAGTTGGATTTGTAGGTATTTTGTAAGGCAGATGGGTAGAATCTAAGCATTCAGAGTGTAATATATGTCCACAAAGAAAAATAATTATTAGGTTTGAAAAAAAATCACAAGCCAGGTAACAGAACCCCATTTTTAATTTAATTTACAAACTCCAAAGTGAGAAGGTCTTGTCTATTGGTTGCTATACCCAATCTATTAGGATATCTTCCTTTTTAAAATTCGTTCAGATCCTAAATGTGTCAGTAAACACCAGTACATCTGTTAAACAAAGTCTCACATTTTCTTTGGTTGTACAACTGGTTAATCATAGCATATCCTACCAATACCTGTATTTCTTTGTAGGTTGTCAGGATGCGTTGGCTCCATAGCTGTGTTCACTGGTTTTCTAGATAAGTAAAACCTGAGTTTAGGAGGTTTTATGAAACTTTTATTAGGAAGAATAATAGAGTAGGCATGAAGGTATCAAGTAGCTAAATGGCTTTTGAGACGTCACTACTGTTGCTGTGTCCACTTATTTATCAGTGTGAGAGTCATTGAAAGGTTTTATTGAATTGACTGCCCAACGTCACCACCAAGAACTTGAAGGCTATTTTATGAGACTGGATTTAGGAGAAGAGTGAGTGATCTTACTGCCCTTAATTTAGGAAACTCAAATCCATGGAACAATACTTAATGATCCTTATTCCCAGAGATAGCTGAGCCAGATACTCTGTATGAATTGAACTTTCTAATAGTAGTGATGTTGGTTTCTTCCCACAGATTGAAGAAATTCATGTAGGTCTTAAGGCTTCATTATTGGTGAAGGCCCCAGGCACAGGGGAATTGTTTGTAAACTTTGACCCTCAGATATTAATCTTATTTAGAGAAACAGAGTGCATGGCCCAGATGGGTCTGGAAGTCTCTCCATTGGCAGCTTCCCTCTTCCAGAAACGAGATAGATACAAAAGGAACTTCAGTAACATGAAGGTATATTACTTTTATTTTTTTCCCCTTTCTTGGCTAGCTCTGGAATGTATTGTAAAAAAATATGGCGATGTATCATATTCAAGGAGCAGAAAGTGGCCAGGATGAATGGAGTGAATGAGGGGACAGTGCCATGGGGTGCGGATGCAGAGTTGGCTGGGGCCCGGCCGTTTCAGGTCTTGCAGGCCAAGTTGAGAAGCTTGGGTTTTATTTTGAGTGTACCAGGAAACCATTGGAGGATTTCGAGCCACTGAAAAAGGCACAATCGCTTTTTATAATAAAAGTTATTCTTACTGCTGGGTGGAAAATGGATGTTAATGGGGACAAAGGTATCAGTGGGAAGCCAGTTTGTGAAATGTTGCACTGGCCCTGGATGAAGATGAGAGCTTGAACTAGGATGGCAGCAGAGTTGTTCGGAGAATTTAGAGTTATGTCAACAGTCAGGTTAGGAGAGAACTTGGGAATAATTCCTGTGCTTTTGGTGTGAGCAATTCAATGAATTAAAGTAGGAGTGCCATAGAGTGCTGTGTAGGTTGTGTTCTTTATAACTTGCACAATACCATGCAGGGGCCCTGACTGTAAGTCCAATTTATGGAGATGGCAAGAACCGGAACTAGTGTATTTGAGGCAGCAGGAGGGAATCAGTAGTTCCCAACTGAGTACAAGATAGTTTCTAGACAGCCAAGTGGCAATGTTGTCCATGCAGTTGGATATGTAAGTCTCGAGTTCAGTGGAGAAGCCAAAGTTGGAGGCATACTTCTGAGAGTTATCAGAATATCATTTTTATTTAGTGTCATTGTCCTGGATGAGATCTCTTAGGGGAGAGAATACAGACAGAGAAGAATGGAGGGCCACTGGACCAAGCATTGGGTTGTTCCAATATTAACAGATCTGAAAGAAGAAGACAGATGTGCACATAAAACAGAGGATTGACCTTTGAGCTGGGAATAAACCAAGTGTCAAGGAAACCAAGGATGGCAGGGTGCGGTGGCTCACACCTGTAATCCCAGCATTTTGAGAGGCTGAGACCGGCAGATCACCTGAGGTCAGGAGTTCGAGACCAGCCTGGCCAACATGGTGAAACTCCGTCTCTATTAAAAATACAAAAATTAGCCAAACATGGTGGCATGTGCCTGTAATTTCAGCTACATGGGAGGCCGAGGCAGGAGAATCTCTTGAATCAGGAGGCGGAGGTTGCAGTGAGCTGAGATTGCGCCACTGCACTCCAGCCTGGATGACAGAGCGAGATCTGTCTCAAAAAACAAACAAACAAAAAACAAACAAAGGAAACCAAGGGTATGAAAAGGCTACAGAGAGAGGGACTGGTCACCAGTGACTAATGCTGCTACCCAGGGGATGAAAAAGGTGAGATCAGAGATGCAGCCATGGACTCTGACAACATGGAAACGGTTGTTAAAATTTCATAGTGGTTAACATCACATGACAATATTAAGTCCATGGACTTGCATTGTATTTTACATTTAAAACCACCTTCATGCTCATTATCTCATTTGATCTTTTCTACCACCATGTTAGGTAAGTAGGACAGAATGCTATTATTTTATTTCACAGATGAAAAAACTGTGGCTGAGAGAAGTTAAAAGATTTAGCAAAGGTCTGATAGCTAGAAAGTAGCAGAAGTAAGACCAGAACCCAGACCTGTAGTGCACTGTCTTCCCACCACTTCATGTCATATTAAAAAATTGTATTGGCAATAGACAGATGTCCCTCAAATGTAGACTCATAAAATACCAGTCAGCATGTTGGGAGATATCCTTTTTGACCGTTTCACATTTGGAAACTCACTTAGTCAATTTACATATTCATAAAGAAAATCATATTTTTACTAAGAAACCATAATTATACGATTATGAAATTACTGATAATTTAGTTTTATTTGCAGAGTTATTGTTTTGGTTGTCGGTTTCAGGCAACAAACACTTGTAAGCACGTTGAAGGGTTTGCAATAACCATATCATGACTTTATGGGTAAACAACTTGAGCGGGGCTTGGCTAGATGATTCTTCTGTTCCATGTATTGTTGACAAAGGTTGTTTATTGGTATTCATCTGGCAGATGTTCAATATTTAAGGTCCAAGAAGGGCTCTTCTAGTGTCTGTTTCTTTCCTGTGAACAGGCACATCTATACGTGGCCTTCCAGTATGGAGGCCTCTGGCTAGTAGAATTTCTTATATGGCAGCTCAGGGTTTCAAGAACAAGCACTACAGTGAACAATAAAGAAGCCACATGGTCTTTATAATAGCCTCAGGTGTCTGATAGCATCATCTCTGTTGTACTCTGTTGGACTGTAAACCTACCCAGATTCAAAGAAAGGGGATATGGTCCCCACCCCCTGAAGGGAGGAGGATCAAAGAATGTTTTAAACGACAATTCAAGGGAGTAAATTATCATCTGGTTAACATTTATTATCTTGGAGGTTGAGAGTTAAAAGTTCCTGCTCAACATGAGTAGCTGGTCAAAGCAGATCTATTGGCAGGTTTAGGGGACCATCTGAAGTGTTGCAGAGTTATTGTGTTGAATATTTGATAGAGCTTTCAGGTTTCTGCAGATATGCCAAAGTAACTGAGAATTTGTTTCTTCATCTATTCCTTGGAAGACAGTTTAACTAGAAAGGAAAGACTAAGTACAGGCTGATAGTTACAAATGTAGGTTCTGAAGCCAATTTAATCTGGCTTCAAATCATTATCTTTGGGTAAATGACTTCACCTTCTAAGCCTGGGTTTCTCTTTTGTCAAAGCAGTTGAGTAATACCTTCTGGGATTAAAGGTGGGAAGTAGAATGCCTGCTAGAAGCAGATTCTAAGAACTGGCTTCAGATAGAATAACTGGTGGACATTGAAAAAAGGCAAGCAGTGGATACAAGTTTCAGGAAATGTGTAAGTAGCTGCTAATAGAACCAGAAAATTTAGACTTTTCTAAAGCGGCTTTTATGGACATTGAAAGAATCTTATAGAAATTGTGGAAAAACATTATATGAGGAAAGGATTATGAGGTCCACTTGGGAAATACTGAGTTTAACAAAATTTTCAAAGCCTTGCAAGGCTTCTTACTTCCTTAAGCAGGTTTCTAAGAATCATTAATATTAGCTGTGATCACTCAAGAGGGGAGATACTGTATGCAGCATTTTAAAAATTTATCTATCAAAGGGCCATTTTTCTTACAGAATCTCTTTGGTCTAGTACTCCAGGCAGAACAGTTTGGAAAACATTAATCTATTATCAAGGTAATACCAACATGCACATAGATGGTCTTAATACCAGCTGTATTTATGAGGCACATTAAAGTTAGTTTCTTATAATTAATGATTATTAATATTGACATGGTCACATATGAACAAAATATTGACACAGTTTGACATTCTGGAAAAAATACTGACACAGTTCTACATTATATACATTTCAATGAAAGATGAGAATCCCCATTTCAGATGAGAAGTCCTTCTGATAACAACTAATTAGTTTGATGGATATTGATTTATTATCTCCTATGTGCCAGGCACCGGTTCAGGCTCACTGGACAAAGCAGACAAAATTCTTGTCCTTGTAGAACTTATAGTCTAATTGGGTAAGACAGAAAATGAACACTGTAAGTAGGCAAATTAATATAGTCTATTGTAATAAAGTGATAGTTATTGTGGACAAAAAAGGGCGATAAAATGTGTGAGTGGGTTTGGTGGTGGTTTATAATCTTAAACAGGTAGTCAGGACGGGTATAATTGAGAAAGTATAATTTGAGTAATTATTTGAAGGAGGTGCAAAGGCCCTGAGGCTCAGGATCAGAAAGGAAGACAGTCAGGCAAGTGCAGATAAGAGAGGGAAAGAGTGTTTGGAGATGAGATCAGAGAAGTAATGGGACAAAATCGGGTAGATCTTTCTAGACCAGGCACCTATCCAAGTCCTTTGTATAAAGGTTTGTGGCCCTGAATTAAATGGGAGGCTGTGTAACCATGTGAGCAGAGGAGTAACATGATCTGAATTCTCATTTTGAAAGGATCATTTTTTGCTGCTAAATTGTACCTAGACTTATTGGGAGGGTGAGTGGAAGCAGGATCTGACTTGCTTTCCACATTTACATTACTGCCATCATTGACTCCTACCTAAATTATTGGGATGGTCTACCGTTGTCTCCCTGCTTCCACTCACCCTCCCAGTAAGTCTAGACACAGTTTAGACAGCAAACAAGGTATCCTAATGGGTTACCTGTGTGCATGAGAGTGAAAGAGGAATCAAGGATGACTCTGGCTTTTGACCTGTGGACTGGAAGGATAAAGTCAGTATCAGCTGAGTTGGAGGATGCGCTGGGAAGAGGTTTTGGGAAAAGAACAAACTTTCAGTTTGGGACTTATTGAGTTTGGAATATCTGTTACATATTGATGTGGAAACTTTGGGAGGCTGCTGCCACTTGTGAATCTAGACTTTCAGGAGTGAGATCTGGGCTGGAGATGTAAATGTGTTTGTTTCTGGCATCTGGATGAAATTCAAAGCCGTGACACTAGTTGAAATCAACACTGGTTCCCCGTGTGCTTTGGGTCTTGGCAACAAGATTTGGCCTATAATCCTAGCAAAGGGCTGAGGTAGACCTCTGGTGACCCAGATGTTTTGGGTGATGGGTGTTGGCTGCAAGAGATTCCCAGAGGAGCAACACGCGTGTCGTACCAGTGTGCAAAGAGGAACAAACAAGGCTGCTGATGAGCAGGGGAAGGCGCCATTCCCGTGTCTCTGCATGGTTTAGAAAAATTATTGGCCTTAGGTGTTCTTCCTTTTTAGGCTGTGTAGGAGGTAAGACACTCTTAGTCTTAAATTCTTGTTCATCTTCAGTTGTATTTTTTTGGATTAGGAATTTGTAATTATGGAGAGAGTCCTTGTCTTCTTTTCGTTTTATTGTTTTGGCTACTCTACCTGCCAGGCTATTAGAGCCCTACAGTTTGACCCTAAATAAAAGTAGTCATTTTGTATAAAACATGAGATATTAACAGACGTTAGAAGTGAGATATTCATTGATTACTTAACCCCCATTTCATTGCAGATGATGCTAGTGAGATATTCACTGATTACTTAACCCCCATTTCATTGCAGATGATGCTAGCTGAATATCAGAGAGTGAAGTCAAAAATCCCTTCTGCCATCGAGCAACTGATTGTCCCTCACTTGGCCAAAGTAGATGAAGCTCTTCAACCCGGCTTGGCTGCACTGACCTGGACATCACTGAATATTGAGACATATTTAGAAAACACTTTTGCAAAGATCAGTAAGTCTGCCTGAATAATTACTATCTCTGAATTCTAAAGGCTGAGTTCCTAACATGTGTTGTATAATTTCTTATAAATATGGAGATATAAATAATGAAATGGGGAGTGTTATTCTTCAGCTGTTTCATAAGGAATTGTTCCAAAGCATGTGAATTCAGTAATTTCCTGGAAACTATAAATATTCACTATTTAATTGTATCCCCAGAGATTAACCACATACTTTCATTTATTTGTATTTTTGGACATTAGGATTTAAAGTATCTTTAGAGTTATTCAGCTTTTTATATAAATAGGTTAGTATATTTTGAGAGCTTGATTTGAAAGATGTAGAGATTTGGATAGGGTACAGTGCTGAACAACAGGATAAATGGGAAACATTTAAACTAACACAATTTTCATTAAAAAGAGATATAATAGTCTAAAATATATGTAAGGTATATAAATGCGATTTTCTGGAATGTATACAGGTATGTTGCAAAGAAGGCCTCAAATATGTCTGAGAAATCCAGGAGGAGCAGTTGGACAGGTTTCTTTGCTGGATGACTTTTCAGAGCCTTTAACATGCCTGTGTCCATTAGGTCTCCAAAGGTGGCCTTTTGTGTGTGGTATTTCCCAGAATTCCTTGGTTGTCTTCCAGGAGGACACACTAACACCTTACAGATCTTCTGTGGCAGACAGTGTAGCACAGTTTGGAACATGGTAATTTTTTTTTTTTTTTTTCCTCAGAAAGACTTAGACATTGCTATTCTCCTTTCCTAGCCAGTGTCTTACACCCTCTCCTCTTCATGGCCCAATCCTCCCTGCTCTTATAGCTCAAAGTAAGTCTTGCCCCCAGCAACCTACTCTGATTACTCTGCCTCCTGTGACCGCTTCCTTCTGTGACCTCCTGTTGGATTCACATTTGGGACCACAGACTTGATATTTTGGTTGTCTTCTAATGGTTTAGTACAGTTTCATCTTTCTCCTTAAACAGACTGCAAAGGGCCTGAACATCAGGCTGTTTAATTTTTTAACTTTTTGTTGTAAATTGATAATTTATAATGGTATAGATTTGTGGATTCTGTGAAGAGGGAGTTGCGTGGGAAAAAATTGATGGGGTAGAAAATGGTATTACGATTTGTGAATGCAATGTGAAATAATTAAATCCAGGCTGTTTCATTTTCATACTTGTTTTGTGTTCTTCTCAGTTGGGTGTGTAGTAGACACCCATATACTTGCAGATTCATAATTGCAATAATTTTATGTAGTTAGTCTCTCTTCATTTTTTTATCATTGTAACCCTAATCCTACCCCTCAAGCCCATTACCTTATTTCTGGATACCTCTTCCTGGGCTTCCCTTTTAGATAGCTCTCATGATGCCTCCTTTTATTCTCTCTCTCTTTCCCCCGACTCTGCCCCTCAGGTCTTTCTCTTTTTCTGGTATTTATGGCTGTTAACATAGTACCTAGTCTATTTATAATCTAAATTGTCAAGAGCTTGTCTTTTCAGGAGGTTTTCACTGTACTTTCCTTAGGTTCCAGAAGGTCCAGCTATTTAAATAGCCAGGTGCTTTATATTTAGGAATATTTGAGAAGTACTGGGTTGGAGGGGAGTAGAGTGAGATTATGGTTGAGCCCATACCTCACCTTTGTTGTGCTTTATCGATTGGGAGCTGGACTCAAAAACAAACGATAATGGAGTTTTTGAATATGAATGAATATCAAGCCAGAGATGCTAAATGGCTTTTAATGTTACAGAGGTGTAAGAAATAACAATGAGTTTAGAACCCAATTTCCTTGCTCTAAATTAATATTTCTTCCAAAATAAATATTTCTCCCCAGGAAATAAAACGAGGAAATTGGCTAAAATTTCCTAAGGAGGAACTTATGAAATGTATAACAACTTCATAATGAGAGTCATCATAATCAAATTAGAGCAGGCGACCAACGTAGAATTTAGTAACATCCTTCCTTTAGAACGTTAGTATTAGAGTATTAACAATTTGAATGTTTTATTAGAATGTTAGCTGGAGACAAGCTAACTAGTTAGTTTCTAGAGAAACTTCTTGTTCTTGTTTTCTATTATGTTTTTCTTTTTGTAATTTAAGGAACTAAAATAGAACAAAGATTAAGTTTCTTTGTGAGAAAACTATGTAAAATCTCAAGAGCAGTTGGATTTTTATTGGATTAGTGAGCCAGTCCTACTGACAGGTCGTCATTTGCATCATGCATTTAAGAGAGTGTAGATAATCTGGGACACTCTCCACATAACATAATCCTTAACTTGATCACATCTGCAAAATCCCTTTTGCCATAAAAGGTAACATTCATAGGAGATGAGGATGTGGACATCCTTGGGGACTATTTTTTTTCAGCTTAACACAGATGTCCTTAAAGATGAAGCAGTCTGTTAGAAAGAGTAGCGAATTGTATTGCTCACACATACTTAAATGAAAGTGTTGGCTCTCTTTTGGTATTGAATCAACTTACCAGGCAGAACTATTTGGTATCTTGAGTAGCCTCTTTAATAATTAGCTTAGAAACGATAGAAAACTTTTAGGCTTTTATTCTTTAGGAAATAAAGGTATTTATTTAAGGAAGTGTTTACATCTCTGATACATCATTGGTATGTAACATTGACTTTCCTGTATTCAATTTCAACTTTATTTTCCAGGAGAAAGGAGTATTAGAAAAAGAGAAATCTTACTGTATGGCATTGTTGAAAAATGTATTACCCTGAGATGGATATCCATTAGTAATGCTTCCTACTTTTGATGTGCAGTCGTTGTTACTTTGCTTCAGAGTTGGCCTTTGCATCAATTGAACTTAGCATTCAATATTACTTCAGCATAACTAAAAAAAAATTTACAGTGAAAGAAAAATTAGGGAACTTTCACTTTAGTAAAATTTGTTGAACACTTCTTGTGGAATAGGCACTGGGTTAAATGTTGAAGATGTAAGGATAAAAAAATATGAATTCTAAAGAAGATAAGACACATGGGTAGACAATCTGCAGAGATTTAAGGCTGTTCCATCCGTGGTTTTCCAGAAGGAGGGACCACTCCAATGCACACGGATTCACCTCTATGGGGAAATGCACTTGAGCCAGATCTTCAAGTATGAGTGAGAGTTAGGCAGGCAGGGGCTGAGAAACTGGTTACAGAGAAGGAATGATGGCCCCAGGAAATAAAACAAAAGGAAATTGGCTAAAATTCCCTAAGGAGGCATTTATAAAATGTATTAAAACTTCATAATAAGAATTATCATAAATTAGAACGGGCTACCAAGATAGACTTTCTATTCTCCCTACAGAATATTAGTATTAGAGAGTTAACAATTTGGATATTTTATTAGTGACAACCAAGTGTGAAACACTGGGGATCTGGGGGACACATGTAACTGTGAATCTTTAAAGCTGATTTTACTACTGTCATTTATCAAGTGTTGATTTTTTTAAAAAACAAAATGCTTTACTTAATCCCTTTTATTTACTTTTATTTTTTCCCGAAGAGGACCTGGAGTTGCTGCTTGACAGGGTCAATGATTTGATTGAGTTCCGCATTGATGCCATTCTAGAAGAAATGAGCAGCACGCCTCTTTGTCAGCTTCCCCAGGCAGAGCCGCTTACCTGTGAAGAGTTTCTCCAAATGACAAAGGTCATTAAAGTCTTGATTTTTTTGTTTAAAGTGTTTTGGTGATTCATTTTCCTATAAAGGTCGCTTTTTTGAAATTTAAATTAGATTTTTCTCTCTATTTGCAATGCTCTGTGATAGATGTGATTCAAACATGAAATCTTCTGACAATAATTAGCCAATGAAGAGAAATGTATGTAAGTAAACAGTCACTTAGCTATGAGGAGCACATCATTTCAGATCAGTAGGAAAGAAATTGCCATAGAACACACTTGGAATTTTTCCTTTTTTTTTTTTTTGAGACAGAGTCTTGCTCTGTCTCCCAGGCTGGAGTGCAGTGGCCGGATCTCAGCTCACTGCAAGCTCCACCTCCCGGGTTCACGCCATTCTCCTGCCTCAGCCTCCCAAGTAGCTGGGACTACAGGCGCCCGCCACCGCGCCCGGCTAATTTTTTGTATTTTTAGTAGAGATGGGGTTTCACCATGTTTGCCAGGATGGTCTCGATCTCCTGACCTCGTGATCTGCCCACCTCGGCCTCCCAAAGTGCTGGGATTACAGGCGTGAGCCACTGTGCCCGCCCCCATTTTTCCATTTTTTAATGAAGGATAGAGCTGTCTTGCAGAAGTGCTTCTCATTAGCTAGGGTTAATTAACAAAAGAATTGTTTTGAACAGCTTCTAGACAAAATTTCTCCTTTAAACATTTTTGGTGAGGGGGGTTTCCCAAACTGGTGTTCTATAGCACACAATTCTGGAACCATTGCTAGGAATCCTGAGAGAGGCAGGGAGTGAGTGCAAACTACTTAGGGTGAAGGCTGTGCTTACAGATCCACTACACATTAACAGATTAAGATAAAGGCCCGCAGAAGATCTCCGTTTAACTTTTTTTTGAGAGACGGAGTCTTGTTCTGTTGCCCAGGCTGCAGTGCAGTGACATGAACTCGGCTCACTGAAACCTCTGACTCCCGGGTTCAAGCAATTCTCCTGCCTCAGCTTCCAGAGTAGCTGGGACTACAGGTACATGCTTCCATGCCTGCATAATTTTTTGTATTTTAGCAGAGATGGGTTTTCACTGTATTGCCCAGGCTGGTCTCGAACTCCTGAGCTCAGGCAACCTGCCCACCTTGGCCTCCGAAAGTTCTTGGATTACAGTCGTGAGCCACTGTGCCTCGCCCTTCATTTAACTTTTCGTAGCTCATTATTTCTCCAACACATTTGCAAATGGGACACTTTCTTCCCTGTGCCAGGAGTAAGCTCCTGGGAGCAGCACTCCACGAAGTGCCCCTTCAGGCATGTCACGTTAGCATCATTTGCAATATTCCCAGTGGGTATCCTGAGGATAAGGACTCCTCGATCATGATTCTAATACGGTGTGTCGGGGTCTCTAAGACCACCCCCACTAGGATGACTCACGGAACTCAGCACCTAGTTGCACTGCCCTGGCATAGTTAAGAGACATAGCCGGATCATAAGGAACAAAGACAGGTGGTGTCTGGGGAGTCCCTGTCCAGGCTTCCTCATGCTTTCTCCCTCCTGTGAGGCTTGCCTGGAGCTCACTGTCCCCTCTGTGCAATGTTTCTGCCCAGGGAAACCTATTAGAGACTCAGGGCCCAAGGTTCTTACTGGGTCTGGTCACACGCTGTGCTTAGCATGGACCAGAATTCCAGACTTCCAGAAGGAATCCGGTGTTCAGCATAAGCTACATTTTGTGCACAAGCAGTTTAGGCACAGCAAACTATCTTTATCAGCAGGGCAATGGGGGGAACTCTCCCAAAATCCAAGCTTACAGACACCGGCCAAGGTACCACCTCCCAAGCAGGACTTCCTAAGGAGAACAGTTTCAGGCCTGCTGTGTTCACCCCTTTCTGCATGAATGGCAGGTTATATTAAGTCATTTTATACTCAATACTTACTGTCTACATGTTAGAAATTTTTAGTCCCTCCTCCTCACATTCACTAAATGTGGGTACACTTAACCCTCCCCTTGTTCTTCCGGATCATTTAAGAAACGATCTCTTCCTCTGAGAAATTGCTTGCCTCCATGGTTTTACTCTCACCCCTTTTCTGATGATTATTTTATAAAAATACACTTGTTTTAAATTTAAAAGAAAATCTTACAATATTTTAAAAATGGAAAGAAACTAGTATTTTAATCAATTATGCCATCATTATTATAATATTAATGCATTTTAAGCTTTTTAATAAAGTTGTGATCTCTACTCCATATATATCAGGTTTTGAATAGTACTTTTTTCTCCCAGTTAGCATTTCCTCACAAAATATTCTTCATGTTGCTACATGGCTTTCATAGGCAGCCTTTTAATGGTGCCTTCAGAATATTCTACTGTGTTGATATACTGTAATTTACTTACCAGGTTCTTATTGCTGAACCTTTAGATGGCTTCCAAAGTTTTGCTAATTCATCAAGAGCTGCAGTGAATATATGCATGTATCATGTATTTTCTCTTTTAATATTATTCCCTCCCCCAAAATAAAATTATTGTGTCAGAGAGTATGGCCTTATTGGATGGCTGTTGATATTGGTAGCCAAATTGCTTTTCAAAAGGATGTTATCAACTTACAATGCCACCAGCAATGCATTAGTACCAATTTCACTTCCAACAAACACTGTTTCATTATAGTTTCCTACTTTTAGTTTAAGTAGCAAAATCGTGGAACCCAATTTGAATTTGCATTTTTGATTACCAACATAGGTATTAGTAAATCATTTCTCTTGAATTTGTTTATTTTTCATAATTCAATTATGGAGAAAAATGAAAAGGATGATGGAGAAAAATGAAAAGGATGATGGAGAAAAGGAGTTACCTGACAGAAAGTTGTGATTTTATGTTCATGGTCAGTGATGACTTCTGTGGTTAGATTTGAAGGGAGGGAGTGAGAATGCAAGCCATGTGAACATTTTAGGGGAAGAACATGCCAGGCAGAGAGAATACAATGTGCAAAGGCTCCGAGATGGAAGCATGTTGCAGCTGGAGAAAGGTGTTGAGTTGAAGTACACTGGGTGTTCATATGCTCAGGTGGAAAATCAATAGAGAGGAAGAAAGGGGTAGGCTTGGTTTCTGAGGAAGCCAGAGAAGCTGTGATTCAGAACTCAGGTTGTGGAGTTAGCCTTGAATGAAAGGAGAATGATTGCATTCACTGAAACAAGAGGAAAAGGGGCTCCTGATGGAGGCCGATTTGTCTTCTGCATGAGGGCAATGGGAGTTGTTTGAGTCCCTGTGTCATGACCTCCATTTGCTTTGTGCTGTAGAAATCAGGGTCATTTTTTGAGTATGATAAGGAAGGATGGTATAACGACTTAAGGACATGGGGGTTTGAAGACACAGCTATTATGGAGCTTGGTAGAGGGAAGTGGCTATAGTCATGTAGAATGATTCCCAAGTAGCATTAGGGGCCAGTTTGAGTTCGGGGACCATGAATTCCCAGTGCCAACCATCTGCATCACCATGACCTATGCATGCCGGTGGAAAGGGTAGGTCACCTGGTTCATTTGGGTTGGGCTTCTCCTGGGTGGGGCAGTGGAAGGTTCAGAGAGTGATGGAGTGAAGGATATTAGCAAAATAATCATTGAAGTGTGAAATCATGTTAGGAGAGGGCATGAACCAGGGAGTAAGGGTGAAGAGACCTGGAGAAGACGTGGCATCTAGTGGATTCCTGGTTTGCCAAAGCTGAAGCATCATGGGAATGAGGAAATGGTGGAGCTCCACGCTGATTATTCAAGGAGGACACCATTCAGGATTCAAAGACAGGCCGTTTTAGTGGGTTTCAGCTTTTGGGTGTCATCATGGAGGTTAGTTGTTGAAATGAAGCAGGATAAGTAGAGCCAGCATCTTTCATTTATTTTATTTGTCCTAGGGGATATTTTAATGAGTCTATTTATTACTTCTTTTTCCTTATTGTGTTTATATTCCGCTTTGTTAATTTCTATGTTGTTTACATTTTTCTGGTTATGCCTTCTCGCAGAGAGAGTTAAGAGATGTAAACAATGTTGTTGGAACTATGTTAGTCTTTGAGAGGTTATCCATCTCATCTTCTAGAACCCTCAGTGCAAAGGAATTTTATGATTTCAAACACGTGTTTGTGTTACTGAGAGGACTGAAAGAGCTGCAAGTTACTTGAGGATTCCCTGTGAGAGCTGGCCCTGAGAATGGAGACCACATGTGTGTTTCTCTCCAAGGTAGAGTCAGAGGACTTAAGATTCAGACTTTAAAAAAATTAGTGTTCTCTCAGAGAACTGAGGAGTTAGTTTACATAGAATGAGATGATTAACCTTTGCAAATATTTAGGTCCTGTGGATGCTTGTGGTTTTACAACGAATAATAATAATGAGGACTTCTTGTGTGCTTACTTTATGCCAGGCACTGCTCTTAGTGTTTTACTTGCATTTGTTTTATGGAATACTTGCAAAAACTACAGTGAGTTCTACTATTATCACCATTATATATATGAGGGAACTGAGACTGAGAAGGTTTTTCAGGATCATGCAGAGCGAGGATTTGTATCCTAGTTTCAAGCCATATAAGTTTAAAGATGTATAATGCTAGAACTTAGAATGGAGCTGGACACTGTGCCTAACTGACAGTCTGTTGTTTCATGGGCTTACTTTCCGACTAGGTGGTAAATCACTGATTCTGTCTGTATCATCCATCTATAAGTATCTGTCTACCTAATCTCCTCCAGAATTGATCACCATGCCCCAAATCATGTTAGTTTATATTTATTAAATCCATTCTTGAGAAATGTACAATATAGTTAGAGGGCTGGGTAGTGTCTTTGAAATTAATGAGGGGATGACTATGGTTTGTTGGCAAAGACAAGGAGAGAAAGAAGGGTGGCTGGATCCAATTTATGTGATATGAAGGAAATGTGATGGGAAGAGAGGCTGCTGATGACTTTTGAAGGTATTTTCTCTACTGACGGAGAAGTGCCTGTAATTTTGGTCCATCTACACTGATCCAGTTGGTTCCCTTGTCCTTAACACATTCCTTTGCAGGACGCCTGGCCTGTGCTAGTGTGAAGGATGTGGCCAAGCATCACTGGGGCTAAAATCTCACCTGGAGGCTGGGCCACAGCATTCCTTCCACTGCTTCTGTGCTCTCAAGAGATAGATAAACAATATACCACTGTGCTATCTTTTTTTTTTGGTTAGGATCTTTGTGTAAATGGTGCACAAATACTACATTTTAAAAGCTCATTAGTGGAGGAGGCAGTCAATGAGCTTGTAAATATGTTGCTGGATGTGGAAGTTTTATCTAAAGAAGAAAGTGAAAAAATATCCAATGAAAATAGTGTTAATTACAAAAATGAAAATTCAGGTAAGAGATGGGGTAATGAAAGGGTCTTGTTTTTCTATGATATTTACTAAAAACTAAAACTGAATTTTCTACATAGCAATTAATTTCATACTTCTAAAAAACATCCTTTCAATTTTCTAATGATATGTATAAATCTGAAATTATGGCCCTGAACTTATTTTAGTGATTCTGTGTTGTTAATTCTTACTACTTTTGGTTAAACTGGGCAAACATGCACTTTTCATTGGCCCTTGTTAGCTTTCTTTGCATTTATGTATGGGTGGGTGTTTTATTTTACCTTATCAATAGAGTTGGATGGATGATTGATTGGAATTCCCCTCAGAGAGCATCTAGACTGAGCAAACCTTTTGCAGGACAGAGGACAACACTGAGATATGAAGAAGGGAAATTATCCCCCCAAAGTTTTAGGGCTATTGGTGGGAGGTAGCACCAGAACCCAGGCCCTTGGGGGCCAGTGTAGCTTTTTCAGTTTTTGCCTCTCTTGTTGGCTGTTTTCTCATACTGAGAAGGAGATGCCTCCATCAATCCATCTGATTCCTGATTTCCTCCTCCTACTTTTTGATGTCCTCACTTCCTAAGAAGTGTGAGGTTTAAGTAATATTAAACTTGCATGTAATTTATCCTTTAGTTGCAACAGATGATTCTATCTATCTATCTATCTATCTATCTATCTATCTATCCATCTAACTTATCGCTATCTCTTTCATCTTGTAACAGCAAAAAGAGAAGAAGGAAATTTTGACACCTTGACATCATTCACTAATGCCAGAGCCGATGCCCTGTTTTTGACGACAGTCATGAGGAAAAAGAAAGAAACTGAGATATTAGAGGAAGAAGCCCGCGAGTTGCTCTCGCATTTCAACCATCAGAACATGGATGCTCTTCTGAAAGTTACAAGGAATACGCTAGAGGCCATTCGCAAACACATTCATTCCTCTCACACAATTAACTTCCGGGGTAATAATCTCATATGGTTTGCTTAGTGAATGATCAGGCATAGTTGCTGGTATGTGTGTGTGTGTGCGCGCATGCATGCATACGTTCTTGTTAAAATTAAATAATTAAAAATATCCATCATTTATTTTTTTATTTTTATTTTTGAGATGGATTCTCGCCCTGTCTCCCAAGCTGGAGTGCAGTGTCACGATCTCTGCTCACTGCAACCTTCGCCTCCTGGGTTCAAGTGATTCTCTGGCTTAGCCGCCCAAGTAGCTGGGAGTAGCTGCCATGGCTGGCTAATTTTTTGTACGTTAGTAGAGACGGGGTTTCACCGTGTTGCCCAGGCTGGTTGCGAACTCCTGAGCTCAGGCAATCCACCCGCTTCAGCCTCCCAAAGATTACAGGCGTGAGTCACTGCACCTGGCCATATCCGCCGTTTATTTAGTGCCTTCTTGTAATTTTAAACATTATGAACTTGATCATCCCAACAATTCTATTAAGTAGATACTATCTTTACTCTCATGTTAAATCAGAGAACTAGAGCACAGCACAGGGAGGTTAAACAGTTTGCTTAAGCTTTTGTTAATAACATGAAAATTGGTAGTACGTTTAGTCTTTTTGTAATAAGGTGAAAATATATAAAATTATTTTAATTGGTGAAAGAAAAAGGTACATACTTTAAAAGAAGTTATATGGAAAAGATTCTTTCATTGTTAAATCATTAGGTTTGTCAGCCAGTCTTACAAAGTGGAAACATCTTACTAATGTCACACTCTTCAAAGGATATGTATGTATTTTACTATTTTTATGCTAATTTAGTACTTTCTAGCTGGTTTCCTCATTTTCAATAGCATCGTCTTTTCCTCAGCACAGTTCAGAAATAGGTGATGTATTTCTCAGGTGGGCCACAAAAATCCGTCAAATCTAGAGGCACCCTGAAATTAAATTCTAAGTTAAAAATGGTAAAAAGAAAACAAATAATAGTAATTAATGAAAACTCGAATAATAGGATAATAAAATCTGTTTATGTATCTTGAATATTGGCATTTGAAGGAAAACATCTTTAATATTTAATTAAAAGTGGGTAAATAAAAGTGGAAAGTCTGAAAGATTTTTGTTTGTTTGTTTGGTGCCATGGAGTATTATGTTTTACTTCATTCAGGATAGAGGATAGTTCTTTCCTTTGACACAGGGTTATTATTAGAACTTAATAAGTGTTGGCTGATAGGCTAAATATTCAATCACAATTATTTATCAGCTTTTGTATTACAGATATTTGCCACTACATAAAGTTATGTATGATGTAAAGTTATGTATGATACATACATGTCTATATCTACATACCTGTACCTGTGTTCCACCTTTAAAGCTCCTTCAATATGAATGGCAAATTGTGCTTTATTTCTTTTCCATTTTTTTTTAACTACTCCACATTTGGATTTTACACACCATGGTAGGAAAGATCTATGTTTTATCTGAAATTCCGAAGTGGTTATTTGTTCTAACTTTGGCTTATGCCGATAGTCTTGTTCTTCATTCCTGGCTTACTTAGTTACATTTAACTAATTTGTTGGCATCCTGTTATTTGGAAGAATCATCTTTAATATTTTAGAGAAGCGTTTATAATTTAGCCTGATCCCACACAGTGGGTTTCTTTGTGGAGAGTATTCTAAGAAGCTATAAACAGCAAAAAATGCCTTGGGTTCCTCTGAACTGCTTTGTTATATTGAGCAATACCAGATCCTCCATGAGTTTTAATTGACTCATTCATTCAACGAGTATTTATTGGATTTTATACCTATTATGTATTGTTTTAATTCTTATGGTTACAAAGGAAGCAAATCTTATTTTAAATTAAAAATGTGAATTATTCCTTGTTTTGGGTTAACTCAGACAGTAACAGTGCCTCTAACATGAAGCAGAATAGTCTGCCCATTTTCCGGGCAAGCGTCACTCTGGCCATTCCCAACATCGTCATAGCCCCTGGCCTGGAAGATGTGCAGCAGACCCTGAACAAAGCCGTGGAGTGCATCATCAGTGTCCCTAAGGGGGTCAGACAGTGGAGCAGCGAACTGCTGTCCAAGGTGGGTGTGGAGTGCAGGAATGGTTTCATATGGAAACCACTTCTTTTACAAATGGGACAGAGCTGAAAAATAACCTTTTACTTTGTAGAAAAAGATACAAGAAAGAAAAATGGCTGCTTTGCAGAGTAATGAAGACAGTGATTCTGATGTTGAAATAGGAGAAAATGAACTTCAAGGTAAATGTTCTTTTAGTCTTTTAAAAGAGGCATTGTAAATCAACATTCATTGAGCTTAAATGTGTTTTAACCCCTCCATGTAATTCTCAATTTATTTTAGATCAGAATATTAATCTATGAGCCAATTTGAAGTTGACAAAGTATCAAGGTCCATGTATTTTAATATCATACTTTTAGTTGGCTCCTGTTAATATGGTGAATCACATTTATTGATTTGCATATATTGAACAAATCTTGCATCCAGGGGATAAATTTCACTTAATCATGACGAATGATCTTTTAAATGTACTGTTGAATATAGTTTGCTAGGATTTTGTTGAGGATTTTTGCATTTATGTCCACCAGTGATATTGGCCTGTAGATTTTAAAAATTGTAGTGTATGTGACTAGCTTTGGTATCAGAGTAATGCTGGCCTTGTAAAATGAGTTTGGAAGTATTCCCTTCTCTTTAATTTTTGAAGTGCTAGAGAAATATTGGTATTAGTTCTTTAAATGTTTGGTAGAGTTTAGCTGTGCAACCATCTGGTGGTAGGCTTTCTTTTGATGGTAGACTTTAAATTACTGATTTGATCTTTTTTCTTACTATTGATCTGTTCAGATTTTCAATGTCTTCTTGATTCCATCTTGGTAGATTAATTATATGTTTCTAGGAATGTATTCATTTCTTCTAGGTTGGCACAAAGTTGTTCTTAGCATTCTCATGATAATTTGTATTTTTGGGTTATCAGTAGTAAGATCTCCTTTCATTTGTAATTTTATTTACTTGAGTCCTCTTTTTTACTTAGTCTAGCTAAGGATTTGTCAATTTTGTGTAGCTTTTCAGAAAAATAACTTTTCGCTTCATTGATCTTTTCTGTTGTTTTTCTAGTCTCTATTTCATTTGTTTATGCTCTTATCTTTATCTCCTCCCTTCTGCTAACTTTGGGCTTGTTTGTTCTTCTTTCTCTAGTTCTTTGAGTTGTAACGTTAGGTTATGTATTTGAGATCTTTCTCCTTTTTTGACTTAGCTGTTCGTTTTGCTATACTGTTTCCTCTTAGAACTGCTTTTGCTGAATCCAGTAAGTTTTGATATGTTGTGTTTCCATTCTCATTTGTCTCAGGATGTTTAAAAATTTCTCATTTAATTACTTCTTTGATCTGATTTGAGAAGTTTTTTTTCAGAAGCATATTGTTTTATTTTCACATATTTAAAACATTTGCATGATTTTTCCTGTTTGATTTTTTTTCCTGATTGATTTCTAGTTTCATACGATTGGTTTGGAAAAGATACTTGTTATAATTTGATCTTAAGTTTGTTAAGGAAGACTCGTTTTGTGGTCTAACATATGATCCATCATAGAGAGTGTTCTGTATGCACTCTAGAAGAATGTATATTCTGTTTCTGTTAGATGGAATATTCTGTCTGTTAGGTATATTTGGTCTAAAGTGTAGTTTAAGTCTAGTATTTCTTTATTGATTTTCTGTTTAGATGATCTGTTCAATCGTGAAAGTAGGGTATTAAAATCCCCTACTGTTATTCTGTTCTAGTCTGTGTCTCTCTTCAGATCTCTTATTATTTGCTTTATATAGTTAGATGCTCCAATGTTGGGTGTATATGTATTTACAATTATAATATCATTTTGAAGAATTCATTCCCTTATTGTTATATAATGATCTTTGTCTCTTTTTACACTTTTTGATCTGAAGTCTATTTTGTGTTTTCATTTATATGAACTATATTTTTTCATCCCTTCACTTTCAGTCTATGAGTGAACTTTAAGGTGGAATGAGTCTCTTGTAAGCAGCGTATAGTTGGGTCTTTTTGTGATCTTTTAATCCATTTGGCTACTCTATGCTTTTTGATTGTTGTATTTAATACATTTACATTCAAAGTAATTGTTGATAGGTACAGACTTACTCTTGCCTTTTTGTTAATTGTTTTCTGGTTGTTTTGTAGATCCTTTGTTTCTTTTTTCCTTTGCAGTTTGATAGCTTTCTATAGTGATATATTAGGATCTTTTCTTTTTTTTTCTTTTGTGTATCTGTTGTAGCCTTTTGTTTTGTGTTTACTCTGAGGCTTACATAAAACATGTTATACTTATTATAGGCTATTTTAAGTTGGTAACAACTTAATTTTGATTGCATATACAAATTATATACTTTTACTCCCCACCTTATACATTTTAAGTTTTTTGATGTCACACTTTACACATTTTTATAATTTGTATCCCTTAATAAATTTGTGTAGCTCTAGTTGTTTTTAGTAGTTTTGCCTCTTAACTTTTTTACTGGAAATATTAATGATTTACCCACCACCATTACAGTATTGGAGTGTTTTGGATTTGCCAATATACTTACTTTTATCAGTGAGTATTATATTTTCATATGTTTTCATGTTACTAATAAATATCTTCTTCCTTCAGCTTAATCTCCATTTAGCATTTCCTGTAAGGTGGGTCTTGTGGTGATAAACTCTCAGCTTTTGTTTGTATGAGAAAGTTTATACCATCCCTTTGTTTTTGAAAGATATTATTGCTGGATATAGTATTCTTAGCAGTTATTTTATTTCAGTATTTTGAATATATCACTTCACTCCCTTCTAACCTGCAAGGCTTCTGTTAAGAAATCTACTGATAGTCTTATGAATGTTCTCTTACATATAATGAAACACTTTTCCCTTGCTACTTTCAACATGAACTCTTTCTTTATCTTTAGCTATTGACAATTTCATTATAATGTGTCTTGGTGTGAGTGTTTTTGAATTAATCTTATTTAATGTCCTTTGAGCTTCCTGGAGCTGGCTTTCTATTTCCTCCCTCAGGCCTGGAAATTTTTGCCATTATTTCACTGAGTATGTTTCCTCTCTCTTTCTTTTCTCTTTCTGGCCAGCCAATAATTCATAAGTTGTTCCTCTTGATGGTGTCCCATAAGTCTGTTAAGATACCTTCATTCTTTTTATTTTTTGCTCCTCAGATTGGATGATTTTTCAGTGACCTCTCTTTGAATTCACTGATTTTTTTTCTCCTTCTGCTTGATCTAGTCTTCTGTGGAAACTATTAAATTTTTGTGTTCAGTTATAGCATTGTTCAGTTCTATATTTGCTGTTTGGTGCTTTTTTAACTTTCTGTCTTCGTTGAAGTTCTCAGTTTGTTTTTGTATTTCTGTCTTGATATTGGTGAGGATCTTTATGAATATTACAGATGGTGCCTGACTTGCAATGGTTTGGCTTCACATTCTTTTTGACTTTAATGGGGTTATCAGGATGTAACTTTATAGTAAGTCAAGGAGCATCTGTACTTAGAATAGTTGGACTTATAATTTTTTAACTTTATAATAGGCTTACTAGGGTATTAAGTGCATTTTTGACTTATGATGGATTTATTGGGATGTAACCTCATCACAGGTCAAGGAGCATCTGTATTTTTAATTCCATGTCAGATAAATCACATATGTCCACTTCACTCAGAACAGTTTCTGGAGATTTATTTTGTTATTTTATTTTAACTGAATTTCCCTGTTTTTGTTCATTTTCTTTGACCCTCTGTGTTGGTTTCTGTGTATTATAAAAGATAGCTACCTCTTTCAGTCTTGTCAGACTGACTTCATGTGGGAGGATCTCACTACTTTGACTAGCCAGAGATTTCAAGATGCCTCTGTAATCTTAGTGTTTGTCCAGACTGCTTTCTCTGTTTTTTGTCCCCCCTACCCTGGAGGTTCGGATATGATATGTCCTGTCAGTACCCCTAAGATTGGTAAGGTAGGAGCCAGATTCTCTAGATGTAGCTGGAAATGTTGGCATGTTGAATGCATGCTCCAATTTTTCCTGTCTTCACTGTGAAGCTGAGCACAGGCATTTATCTTCAGTTCTCTGCATTAAGCCAGAGAGAGGATCTGTGGCAAATGCCTGCAGTCATGTTCAGGCTGCATCATCTGATTCTGGGGAGATAAGGGATGGAAATTGGCCCGTTGTACATCCACCTCTTTGTTTTCCATGGTCTATGGCTACTCAAAAGTGCAAAGACCCACTGACTCCCAGGGCTAGCTAGATCATTAAAGAGACAGTCCTTTGGGTAGGAGCTATAGAAGTTATGGCACTTGGTGCATGTCATAACTCCTTCCAGAAAGAATGGCTAGGCCTAGGCTTATCACTAGGTGAGCCAGAGGGAAAACTCATGAAGTGCTGAGCTCTGGCTCCAGCCGCTAGAGGGGTCCTGTTTGTTTGCCTCATTAATTCTCTGATGTAAGGTTTTTAGAAGCCAGGCCATCAAGTAGCCACTAGGGGGTGTTCCAGAAGCCCCTTCCCAGAAAGAAAATGGAAGCTGCACATTCTTGATCCTTTTCTGCATTGTTCTGAGGGGTTGTAGCCCCTGGTAGCGTTTCCATGTCCATTTAAACTTCCTTTCTGTTTTGTGATCTAGGGAAATTCACATATGCCTAATGCCCTTTCTTCAAGTAGCTAAGAGGTTTAGGATTGAGTTCTTTGGGAGGTGGCTACAGAAGTTGGGATACTCAGTGCCTAGCATTAACCCCTTCTGAACAGAAGCAGAAACCTGTGTTTTTTATGCCCCTTCTCCGCACTGCTCCTGTGGGATAAAGCCTGTTGAAGTGCTTATATGCTCATATTAAATGGCTGCTTCTTCCTGTGGTCTAGAGAGACACACAAGTGCTGGTCCCGTCTGCTCCCAGAGATGGGAGTTTTAGAATGTAGTCCCTTGGGTGGAAGCTGTAAATGTTGGAGCACTTGGTGTGAGGGAGAAACAAGGGGCCATGGTTTTAAAGCCCCATTTCTGCACAACTTCCACGGAATGAAGCCTCTGTAAGTGCTTCATGCCTGTGTGAAGCCCTCACTGTTTTCTTGTGGTCTAGAGAGACTCTTGTGTGTCTAATCTACTTCACTCTCAGAGCTGGTGAATTAAGAGCCTTGGGGAACCTTAAGAGTTATGGTGATACATGTGAGGTCCAAAGTCTCATTTCCACAGAGAGAAGCTGTGTGTTGCAGATTCCTTTCCCAATTCTCTGGTTCAGTGTCCAGGGCAGGATCCGTGTCCAAGTGTGTCTCCACTCTTCCTGCCCATTTGATGTGGATGTGTTTTTGGTTATAACATAAGTAGGAATCTCTCCCTAGGTCTCTGACTTTCTCTCAGATGGAACTGATCTGAGAATAGATGTGTATTGGGTGTGTCCATGGGTGGAAGGAGAGCCAGGACCTTCTTATTCAGCCATGTTACTGACTTCATTCTTCTCATTTCCCAGATTTTTAACTTCTTTGGCCAATCTCTTATTTGCCCCCAACTAGTATCATTGCCTTAGGCAGCTGTGAAGTTAAGCAATTGTTGCTGATAGTCTTTTGACAAATGCTTTGGGGGTAGGACTTTTTTTCTCAGAGAATTCTGAATTAGGTCAAATAAAAATTAACTATTTGAACAAGGCTTTTCCAGGGAGCTCCCAGACAGCTCAAAGAGTGAGAATTCTGTGGAGCTCCCTAAGGAGCTCCAAGCCCAGGCTGGCCCTTCCAGGGACTGCTAGGCTACTGGTGGGGTTTTTTTTTTCCCTCCAGTAATGGTTGTAAGGCTGCTGTTTTTCAAGGCTACCTGGCTACCCTATAGCCAGAGAGCGGCAGTGGGACTAGAGCAAGTCAAAACACCACAAAACTTGCTGTTGTTACCAAGATTCAGCATTGTTCTTGAATAAACACTTTCTGGATTATTGCAAGCTTTGATTAATTTAGAGAGTCCTGAAAAGTTGACATTGACAATTCTTTCCATTATTTTCATTGCTTTTATAAAGGAGAAGATTTTCAGAAGTCCTTGCTTTACTATTATAGAAATATCCTCATCTTCTAAAAGTACATCTTTTGCTAGTAGTGTAAAGTTTTCTCTTCTTTTTTTCTTTTTAGATACCTTGGAGATAGCATCTGTAAATGTACCCATTCCCGTGCAAACCAAGAACTATTATAAGAATGTTTCTGAAAACAAAGAGATTGTAAAATTAGTTTCTGTGCTTAGCACAATGATCAACTCCACCAAAAAGGTATGTCACGAGGGTCTGGCAGCCGGACCTTTTACTTTGCAACATGCACTTGTGTGAAGGTGATCATCACAAGGTTGTTCTGTATGTAGCCTGGGTCTCACCCACTGTACTTTTTGGGGGCAGCTAATGGCATCTTGTGTGTGCTCAGCAAATGTTTATCTAACTGAAGATCTTTCATTCTAGATTGCAAGGTGAAAGAAAATTATTCCTACTCTCATACTGTGTTTTGTTTAATGCCTTTAATATCTTCTTTTAATACAAATGAATCTAACTTAAAAAAATCTAAAATGTTCCAAACTAGAAGTCAGACTGTTGTTATAATTCACCTTCGAAGAACCAATGATACTAACATATTTGAAACAGAATAAGGTTTGTAGTCATTTTTTCATATTTGAGTAGTCAGGCAAATGTTATAAAATATCAGATAAAAATTTATTTATATTGCCACATAGAAATTAGATGAAACTGAGAATAAAGAAGATATTAGTACTATCAATACAAACTTGAACTGGAAATGAATGTACATTCAAGGCAGTTTTTTCTTTCAACATAATCTCCTCTCAACTTCCCCTTTTTTGTTCATGCAAATCTATTTTACAGACAAAAGGATTTAAAACCCTGAAGTCATCTTTTTTTTTTTTTTTTTTTTTTTTTTTTAAAAAAAAAAACCTCTTCTAATTCACATGGCCAGTAAGACTTGTTGACTTATTAATAATGTTTTCCGGTGTTTGAGGAATAGTTATTGTTCATTAAGTGCATTTTTTCTATTACTCAGTTTTGATACAATGAGTTACATTCATTTGAAAGCACTCTGAAAAGCTACCATTGCTGTAACAATGTGGGGAAATATTAAGTTTATTTTTAATGTGTTCCCAAGGGAACTGGAAATCTTTTGCATTTATTCACTTTTAATTTTCCTTTCTTAATATATCGAAGGTCCTGTATTTAATTTTCCCCTAGGGACAGTATTCATATAACTCAATAAATATTTATCTAGTACTTAGATTATTAGGCTCTATACTGAATGATAAGCAAAGTATTCCATGATAACAATAAACATTCAGAAATATTTTCAAGTGTCTCTATTCCTAGAAAATAAAATAAAATAAATCAGCAATAAGATCCACTAGTTTCTCTAGTATGATCAACCGCTATTATGAAAATCTAAGAGTAAGAAATCATAGTTAAAATTAACACACAGTGCTGGCAACAAAATACTTATCTCTGTGTCTTTTTTTTGAGAAGAAGTTTCACTCTTGTTGCCTAGGCTGGAGTGCAATGGTACAGTCTTGGCTCACTGCAACCTCTGCATCCCAGGTTCAAGCGATTCTCCTGTCTCAGCCTCCTGAGTAGCTGGGATTAGAGGCATGTGCCACCACACTCTGCTAATTTTGTATTTTTAGTAGAGACAGGGTTTTGCCATGTTAGTCAAGCTGGTCTCGAACTCCTGACTTCAGGTGATCCGCCTGCCTTGGACTCCCAAAGTACTGGGATTACGGGCATGAGCCACTGCGCCCGGCCTCTGTGCCACTTTTATTGCATTTGCTTTTACATTATATGAAGGAAATTATTATTTTGCTTCTACGCTCCACAACCTCAACTGTTCCTTTTCCCACTTCTACCAACCTTCTTTCATCTTTTATAGTAAAGTTCTGTAATTACTATAGCGTCATAGTGGCCAAGTCTGGGATTTTAGGGTATCCATCACCCAAATAATGTACATTGCATCTATTAGCGAATTTCTCATCACCCTCCCTTCTGAAGCTGATGAGAAATCTGACTCTTCTGAGTCTCTATTATCTATCATTCTGCTCTCTATGTCCATGAGAAAACATTTTTTAAGCACTAACTTATGAGTGAAAACAATATGCAAAGATATTCTTAAGACAGGTGGTAGCAAAATCAGTCCAAAAGGAAGAAGTGATGGAGGGGGCGTAGCACACTCCTCTGTGGCTTGCTGCTTTCGCTGGTACAAAGCAGTAGCATTTGTTTTGCTGGGAAAAATAGCATTTGAAAACGTGACCTCTGCATTAGATCAATACTATCCCTATTTACCAATTGCCAGAGAGTCATTTCATCTTTACAGATGCATACTTGGTTAGCAAATTAGACTGTTCATTTACAAATCAATTTTTAAAAATGTATATGCCATTCATAGCCAGTTATAATAATAGTGGAAAAGATCTTGTTTACAGTGACAACATCATTGGAAAATACCTAGAAACATGTGTAATAAGAAGTATCTGGGGTCTCTATGAAGATTACCCTAAAACTTAATAAGAAATTTTTGAAAAAGATGACAAGATATGGAAACATGCACTGTGTTCCTGGTTGGTAAGATGCAGTATTGTTCAGATGTCAATTTTTGTTGTATGAATTTATACAGTTTATGTGATTCCAGGCAATCTTTCATTGGAGTGATGTTGGCTATGTTCTCTTTGTCCTTCATGCCCCTAAGATCTAATCTCCACCCCCTCCACCTATCTGACCTTAGGCAACATGTCAGTAGATTCCCATTGAGGCTTCCAGTGGGTTCAGTCAATGAAGAAGCTTTGAGGAGATCTGAGGGGAGCGGGGACAGAGGAGAATGACCTCAGAGGATGTTTTCCATGGCACCCTCCCTGTAGTGGGACCTTGAGCTGTGGTTTTTGACCTAAGGCCCAGCTCCAAGCAAGAGGGTCCTGTGCACAGCATCTTCAAGGACTCTCTTCTAGTTTCTAGAAACCGCTCCTCTCCCATTTGGCTAGGGATGACAACAGTGAAACTGCTGCTAGCCCTGGGCCACTGTCCACACTATTGTATATAGTCCCAGTTCAGTTCTTTGGCATTTCCAGATAATCACACAGTTCACTCAACATTTTAATAAATCCATAGGAACCATCAGCAGTTGGCAAATATTCACTTATATCATCGTGCCATTCCAGATTCTTCCTTCTTAACATAAATCTGTTGTTATTTGCATTCAGGAAGTTATTGCATCCATGGATTGCTTCAAACGCTACAATCACATTTGGCAAAAGGGGAAAGAAGAAGCCATTAAAACATTTATTACACAGAGCCCCTTGCTCTCTGAATTTGAGTCCCAGATCCTCTATTTCCAAAACCTAGAGCAGGAAATTAATGCTGAGCCTGAATATATCTGTGTGGGTCCCATTGCTCTGTACACAGGTTGGTTCATTTTCTTTCATGTAGTTATATCAATTAGCCAGCATTGTTCTGTCCCTTTACCTAGGTTAGTATTCCAGAGAGTTCTACCTGTCTTAAAGACTGACTTCATGGGCCTCAAGCTTTAAGACCAATTTGTAGATTTTTTAAAAATTTCCTTCTGCATAATTATTGATTCTGGACTATTTTGAACACTTTGCTGCTAAACCTTGAAAAAAAAGGCTAAGTCAGAGAAAGATGTGTGTTATATTTTGAATTAGAATTTACCCTTTATTTAATAAGTAACAATAACAAACATTTGAGGATTATCTCAGAGGGTTCTGATATGTGCTTTTAAAAAAAAAGCATTTTGACATGTGTATTGAATTGTTGTAAAAACAAACTTTATAAAACGAATGAATATATAATGACTAGGAAAAATTACGATTTTTTTTCTAGTTCAATTTTTTATGGGTTAGAGGGTTATACACTGTTTTGTATTTACTACTGGAGAACAGCGACACTTTGACTTTTTGTACCGGTTTGAGTTTTTAAAACTGAACTGTAGACATTTGGGTTTTTACAGCTGACTTGAAGTTCACCCTGACTGCTGAGACAAAGGCCTGGATGGTTGTCATTGGACGCCACTGTAACAAAAAATACCGGAGTGAGATGGAAAACATTTTTATGCTTATTGAAGAATTCAATAAGAAACTAAATCGTCCAATTAAGGACCTAGATGATATTCGGATTGCAATGGCAGCATTGAAAGAAATAAGGGAGCAGCAAATCTCCATTGACTTTCAAGTAGGACCTATTGAGGTAACCAATGATCATTTGTTCATTATGGAAATATTTCTACATGTTCGATGCTATTAGCTGAAATATTGACTGGGTCTGGAGTGAAGTTACTAAATGGTTGCTAAACTGAGACAATACTTTCAATATTGTTGATGATACCAAACCCCTATAGTGTGCCTTCCATGGACCAGTTCTCACCTTCACATATCACCTAAGGTCCTTCAAAGCAGAGCCTAAGATAAAGATTTCTGTGCAAGTGATTTATTGATGAGTATTCACTAAAGAAGGGGAGCCAGGGAATCAGGAAAGGAAGCCAATCAGCTATGGACTAACTTCAGAATGATCCCATGGGCGCTCTACAACATCTATTGAGTTGGGCCCTCCTTCATGCAAAGGAGACTACCCTTTCTACTCCTAAGTCAGTGGGAAATTGGCTATAACCTCCCCATGAGAAGGCTCACATTCAGCTGAGGAAAATCTTCCAGGGAAGCGGACAGCTGCAGTCCTGATAGCCAGCATTCTCAGTAGTCGGGGATGGGAATAGCAGCTGGTAATCAGGACCTGGATGGGGCACTAACAGTGTCCATATATGCATTAACTCATTTCAACCTTACTATGGCTCCTACTCACATAAGGACACTGAGGGTCAAAGAAGTTACATAATTTGATCAGTGTTGCACATCACTTTTATTTGTATACCATATCATACTATCTTTTCCAGATGAAAATGTCTTTTTTTTTCCAATGAAGTCTGCTTTTATTGACTTATTAATTATAATATTATCAACATACATAGTGTAATTTAAGCCGTGGCAAAAAAGACAGTTAATTGCTTTACAAGCAGACATCCTTAAATAGATTCACTTGAGAAACATCATCTCTTTCTAAGGAATCTCCTTAGAAATCTCATGTTAAGCCACCAGCAAAGTCACTCTTAGCAACAGCCTTTTTTTTTTTTTAAAAAAAAACCCCATTTTTCCCTAATTAAAAAATAGCATTGCAGAAAAATCAGAAAACACAAAACAAAAGTATAAAGTAAAATTTCAAAATTACCATAATCTTATCAATCAAGTACATACCAAAGTGTTGGCATATTTCTTTCCAGCTTCTTTTCATGTCTGTGTATGTGTGTGCAATTTTGAAGTCCATTTTTTATTCATCTTGTAATACTTATATTATTGGAGATGACATAAGAGTGTGAATTATTAACGTCATTAATAACTTTTCATAATCAGAATTAATGGTGCATGTCTTTCAATCGTATTTGCCACTTGTGATTGTTGGCAAAGACCCAAGAGTGGAGACATTAAGGAAAAGAACTTCTCAGCCATGGTGGCTCTGTGGGGTTGGAGGGCGGTGTTAACCTCCAGATGAAAATGTCTTATCAGAAATGCGTCACTATATTTGTTATTTTTAAATGAGACTAGTATAATTGTAGAATTAAAAAATCTCCAGTTGTAAAAGCATCATCTTTTCATCACACCATAATTGGAATGTCTGTACTTATACTCTGATGGTCCAGATCAGACTCTAGTCTCCCATTTTCTGCATCCCTGTTTGAATTTTGAAAAATTTCACATTACTCTGAAAATGGTACACACTACTACACATTTTCACTTCTGCTGTGCTGGGCCAGGGGGATCACATGGTCCATCCTGCTCTCCTTGGATTGAAACATCAAGGCATAGAGACCTTTCCTTGTGCAGGATCAGGTGAGACCCTTGAGTATGAAGAAGAGGTACAGTAACTGACAATCCTGTTTTCTCCCACCTGGGAATTAAGAATAAAAGTAGAATCAAGTAGACAAGATCAAAACATCACCTTTATACCTGATGGAAGTTATTTGGAAGACATAATTTAGTGTATTACTCCAGTTATTCCCCTCCCTTCCATACCCGCAAACACACACACGTTATAAGATAGTGAATACTAAATTCCATGATTATTATACATCCTCATCCATCAGAGACAGTGTTGGAAAGCTGTAGGGCTTTTCATTGCCCTGATCCAGTTTATGGAACTGAGGTGCAGATTACGGGCATGCCTCCACGGAGAGGGAGGGAAGAGAGAGAAAGGCACTGGGCTATGCTTGCTCAAATCAACAATTCTTTTTGCCTCAAATTGACAATCAGGCACTCATTCCACCTCTGTGGGGATGAGTAATGGTGGGAGAAGAGACTAGGGATATTTAGAGAAAATTCTTTCTTCTGAAAACCAACCTTAGCCTCATTTTAATCTTTAAGCGAAGAAAGCCATCCAGGATTTTACATGCTGAAGGCTCTGATTCAAGAACCCTCCCTTGTGTCTTACTATTGGAACCTCTTATCAATCATGTGAAATAAGACAGAGTTAAAACCCTGATTTATTTTGTTATTCCAACATTAGAAGTTAAATTATTTTGTTTTTCATTTACTTGCTATAATTTTGTAGTCATCCAATACAATTTGGGGACCTAAGTCAAAATATCTTTTATGTGTCTAATGGTATATCGTTTTCAAAAAGCATTTAAAATGATATTTTTCAATACTCTCAAAGATCCTCTGAAGCAGCCAGAAGATTTTCCCATTTTATAGATGAGGAAACTGAAGCTGAATGGCTCAGTTGCTCAGTTAACCTCTTGCAGTTTAAGGTAGAGTAACTAGAACTCTCAGGGTGGTTTCACTATTATTCTGGTATTTTCCATTCTTATCGTTTAACAAATGACTGTGTGTACATTTATGCATCTGACTGGCCAAAATTAAGTTTTTCTTCTTCTTTTTTTTTTTTTTAAGGAATCTTATGCCCTGCTTAACAGATACAGACTTCTAATAGCAAGGGAAGAGATGGACAAAGTTGATACACTGCACTATGCTTGGGAGAAGCTGCTGACACGTGCTGGCGAAGTCCAGAATGAATTAGTGTCACTGCAGCCCAGTTTCAAGAAAGAGCTTATTAGTGCTGTGGAGGTATTCCTTCAAGATTGTCACCAGTTTTATCTGGACTATGATTTGGTATGTCTCTGGCTTTCTCTGTTTGCATTTTTTGGGATGAGTGAATAGAGCATGTGAAATGTAGTTGTCTAAAAATTATGGGTAAAACTCTATGAAACTTCCTAGGAATTCCCAGGGAATGGGAATTTTATTTGCATGAGAGAGAAAAACATTTTCTTTTCACAATCCTTTCCCCTTAGAGTTTGTATTAGTCTGTTTTCACACTGCCGTAAAGAACTGCTCGAGACTGGGTAATTTATAAAGGAGAGGTTTAATTGACTCACAGTTTTGCATGGCTGAGGAGGCTTCAGGAAACTTACAGTCATGGCAGAAGGTGAAGGGGAAGCAAGGCACATTCTTCACAAGACAACAGGAAGGAGAATGCCGAGTGAAGGGGGAAGAGCCCCTTATAAAACCATCAGATCTCATGAGAATCCACTCACTATCAAGAGAACAGCATGGGAAAAACCGCTCCCATGATTCAGTTACCTCCACCTAGTCTCTCCCTTGAGACGTGGGGATTATGGAGATTATGGGGATTACAATTCAAGATGAGATTTGGGTGGGGACACAAAGCCTAACCAAATCAGAGTTCATACATAATAATTTCAACAGAAAATGGTAAACTTAAAAGGGCGAATGCTGTATAATTTGGTCTGTTACTGAAGTTGTTTGGTAGCATTCTAAATTTGTGTAGAAAAGTACTATTCACATGTAGTTATGATTGTCCTCCTTTCCACAGCGTTCCTTGGTTCCACAAATAATATAGAGCCCAGCAAGGGCTGGGCCCTGTCCTTGGTGCTGACTACACAGTAGTGGATAAGACAGATTGAGCCCCACCCCCATGGAATCCATATTTTAGTTACCCATATATGTTTAAGTACTGAATCTTCTAATGTAAATATGTTGTGTAATGAGACCCATCTCTAGGCAATTATAATGTGCTACAGAAGGGAAATTATTATATAGAGTTTAGGGTAAAATTTGTACCAATTAACTAGTAGCACAATAAACCACAAAATTAATAAAGTTAGAAGATTGGACCCATGTACCAACTCCATGGATGGAGAAGCACAGAAATCCACATATTTAAGGTTTTCTAATGTAGGAAACTCTGATTGGAATGTTAAGATTATGGGCCACTTTACAAGTGTGTATTAGAATGATAAAAATCTATGAGTTATATGATAGCATTTAGCTCAAAAGCAGACTTTATATGTGCTTCTTTATAGAATAGGCATTGACTCCTGTTTGCCTATGTTACCTAAGAAATGAATGATACATATTTTTAATCTTAAAAGTTTCTTGACTAAGGTAAGTTCTGGCATTAATTTGCCTTTTTTAGAAAATATTTCCAAATAAATCACTTTGTAAGGCTCTTTTTTTTCTAACAAATAAAAACTAAGTTTCCTATCATGGATGAAACCTAACTTTAATATTTAAATACTTTGAGTTCATGAAATTTATATGCAAACACTTCATTCTATTTTTTCTTTTTAACTTTTTGTTCAGAATGGTCCAATGGCTAGCGGCTTGAAGCCCCAGGAAGCCAGTGACAGGCTTGTTATGTTTCAGGTAATCTTTTTAGTTTCTATGGTTTTCTAAACAATGAAACCTTGTGTTTTAAATACACTTATATTTTCTTCTTTGTAAGATAGAGAGCGCTATTGTGGAATATGGTATGTACTTGCATTAAAAATATGATTACAATTAGAAGTGGTTTCTATGAATTAATTATGCCAACTTAGTATTCCTATTTACATGTGCCCAGATATCATACATCTCTGGCTTGCTTGTTTGCCAGTCTTATATTTTCATTTGCATGTTTGTTCATGTATAAATCATCTGGATGAATTTTCACTTGTGTTTTTATTAGAACCAATTTGATAATATCTATCGGAAATACCTCACATATACTGGAGGAGAGGAGCTTTTTGGCCTGCCAGTTACACAGTATCCTCAGCTTCTTGAAATAAAGAAGCAACTAAATCTTCTACAGAAAATATACACTCTGTACAACAGTGTCATGGAAACTGTAAATAGCTATTATGATATTCTTTGGTCAGAGGTGAATATTGAAAAAATCAACAATGAACTATTGGAATTCCAGAACAGGTAAGAAATTAAATGTTTAGCATGCCCAGCAATTGAACTTCAAATGCTTTCTTCTTTGATAGGCAGCCAAGTTCTCTTTTCACCCCAGCTATTTCAAAAGCACATCTTGCTGCATTGTTGTTGTCCATTGACATCACTCTTGTCAAATGTTATTTATTAATTACTCCTGTGCATAGACAATGAGATAAGCACATTCTGTCTATCAGGATGAATCATGTTAGGGGCTTTTCTGAAGCTTGGTGGGAGCTGATTTTTATTTATATTGCACTTAGGAAGCATTTGAAGTTAATGTTAGATTATCATCTGGAACAAAAGCAGGGGCCCATGATTTTTCTGTATTGTTGTAGCTGTTGAAGTCAAAGAAAATGGAGACCTGGCTGGGCGCGGTGGCTCATGCCTGTAATCCCAGCACTTTTGGAGGCCAAGATGGGCAGATCATGAGGTCAGGAGATTGAGACCATCCTGGCCAGGTTTCATCCTAGTGGTGAAACCCCATCTCTATTAAAAATACAAAAATCAGCTGGGCATGGTGGCATGTACCTGTAATCCCAGCTACTCGGGAGCCTGAGGCAGGAGAATCACTTGAACCTGGGAGGTGGAGGTTACAGTGAGCCAAGATCGCACCACTGCACTCCACCCTGGAGATAGCGCTAGACTCCGTCTCAGAAAAAAAAAAAAAAAAAGAAAAAAAAAAGGAGAGCTATTTGTTGTGTATTTCACTTGACAGCCTGATACACTATGCTATGCTTTGTGCTTAGTAAGTTCTCAGTACATGTTTGTAGAATTGAATTAGCTTGAACAGCACCTCTACCCTCTAAAATAATGCCTCTAACTAGGTAATAGTTGTGAAGGATTGGAAAAAATCTTTTCTAACGGGGAGGACAATTTTCTGTAATATAAAAGTCATCTTTATATTATATTAGCAGATAGCCTGCAAGTCATGGGTTTTAAAAATAGGATAGGTATTCAAAGAGGCTGTTTTTGATAGAAATACTAGCAGACCATCTTGGTCCAGTGCTGTCTAAGATCATATTTCAATGGCCTTCCATGTTGGTTTCCCGTCACAGGTGTCGGAAGCTGCCCCGGGCCTTGAAGGACTGGCAGGCTTTTTTGGACCTGCAGAAGATCATTGATGATTTCAGCGAGTGTTGCCCACTGCTGGAATACATGGCCAGTAAAGCCATGATGGAGCGGCACTGGGAAAGGATCACCACCCTCACCGGGCACAGTCTGGATGTGGGGAATGAAAGTTTTAAGTTAAGAAATATCATGGAGGCACCTCTTCTGAAATACAAAGAGGAAATAGAGGTACAGTTGACAGAGAGCATGATGTGGTGGAAGATTGCAAGGTCTCGTGGGATTGATGTGATAACATTTCTATGTTATGGAATATTGAATCAGTAAACTACACTCAGACAATTGAAACTCTTCTCCTGGCATTCAGCCACTAGTTCCTTCAACAAATGTTTATTGTGCCTAAGATGGGACAGGTTTGGCATCAGGATATAACAATGCAGTCCTGCATTCGCAGATTATTAAATAATTATACAAATAAAGGCATAGTTATAAGCTGTGGCAAATACCATTGAATAAAATGTATGCTGTTCTATGAAAGCCTATGATAGATGAGTTTGGCTCATCTGGGGGTGATAAAGCTAGGGAGCGCTCGGATGCATGCATAGGACTGGCTGGGTGAAGGGAGTATGGTTGTGTGATTGGGGTGAGGGGCTTGGAAAGTGCAAAGAAGGCCATTCCAGGCAGATCGTGCATTAGGCATGGAGCATCCGAAGTGTGTTTGAGGAACCAGAAGAAGGCCCATGTGGCGGGGGTGCGGAGGCTGGGCAGAGAGGAGACAGCAGAGGCCAGGGAGGTGGAGTGGGCCTACCTGATGTTATCGAGCAATGGGCACCATCTGGGAGATGTGTTTTCAGCAGGGGCTGACATGGTTAGGTTGGCCGTTTGTAAGGATCACTGGTAGTGATCTTTGGAGAAAGAATTGAAGGAGGACAAGGGAAGAATGATGGAAAAACCAACTGAGAGTTTCTAAGAGTAGCTCAGGCAAGAAATAATGGCTGTTAGATGAGAGGGGAAGTAGTAAAGCTGGAAAGGAGAGAAAAGATCAACGTATATTTGAGGAGAATTTGGTGATGAAGGGAACATGGTAGGAGAAGGAAGGGGAGGGCTAAAGATGAACTCTAGATTTTTTTTTTTTTTGCTGAGAGAACTAAGTGGATGAAGGTGCTGACCATGGAGATGGGGAACATGGGAAGGGGGTCAGATTGGGTGACAAGGTGCAAAGATCATGGGCTTGATTAGGGACATGAGTCTGATATTTCACAGATTGTGTTTGGGGTTTCCTTGAAACATCTCAGCAGGGAAATTCAGTAGGCAAATGGATGTGGGTCTTGCCTGGAGATATGAAAGTGATTGAATTCATAGGTGTAAATGAGCTCACACAGAGGGGAACAGAGTGTGGGAAGAAATGAGGGTAAAGGAAGGGCTTGACTAATGGTCTAGGAGAAGGGTGAGGCTGCAGAGGAGACTGGGAAAGTGACCAGAGCCATGGGAGAAATCAGGTTTCTGCTACCTGTGTTCATTCACACGCTGCATTCATTTAACTTTAGAGGTAAATCAGAAATACATAGAATTTTGAGTCAGTGATTAAAGTTCCAAATTTTAAAAGTGATTTCCATCTATTTTCTGTCATCTTTCTTCCTGGACAAGTTTGCTGGGAAATTTTATAAATTAAAGTTCTGTTTTTCAGTCATATCTTTATCTCCATCTCTCCTCATGCATCAGTATCTGCATATATACATTCTATTTATTATATTGCATCTTAGGTCTGGAAATACAAAAGTTTACAGATACATATATATGCAGCAAATAGCGAAGATAGGGTCTTTCATCTGGACTGTTAAGGAAGGACATGTGACTTTCATGCAATAACATGAGAGCTTGCCATTTTGATAGGACATCTGTATCAGTGCGGTGAAAGAGAGAGACATTGAGCAAAAGCTGAAGCAAGTGATCAATGAGTGGGACAATAAAACATTCACCTTCGGCAGCTTTAAAACCCGTGGAGAGCTCCTCTTGCGAGGAGACAGTACCTCGGAAATCATCGCCAACATGGAGGACAGCTTGATGTTGCTGGGTTCCCTACTGAGCAACAGGTGGGAAACACATCTATCTTTTCCCTTAGATTTGAGAACCATGATAGCAAACATTTCAAATTAATGAAAAATCCATTACAATAATAGCCTTCATACAGTCTACTCAATGTTGAAAATACTTGTTTTCATTAAATCGATTAATTAATTAATTTTTATATCCAAAACATGTTTTTATTCAGGCACCCACTTATAGATAAATAAGAGATTATATTTCAATTATTCATGGTTTCATTTTGGCCTCAGTCACTTGTTCCAGCATGTGTAACTCTGGTTTTATTTCATTATCCTCTATTTGCAGGATATGTCTGAGACCATCCGCTGGACAAAATAATGCAACGTTATCATTAGCTACTCCGATTTTGGGGACATTTCAGCTTTTCTGCTGATAAGCCTGACTGCACAGCTTACAGCTCTATAGGCTGTAGAATCTAGAAGGAACATTATTTTGAATTCCAGAATAATCATTTTACTCGAAAAACCTTTTTTGCCAGTTTCTGTGGACTAGAAACTCTTAGTTGTTTACATACTTTATTTTTTATATTTGTATAAATTTATGGGGCACATGTGAATTTTTTTTTTTTTTTTTTGAGACGGAGTCTTGCTCCGTCACCCAGTCTGGAGTGCAATGCCGCGATCTCAGCTTACTGCAACTTCAGCCTCCCGGGTTCAAGTGATTCTGCCTCAGCTTCTTGAGTACTGGGATTACAGGCAACAGCCACCATGCCTGGCTAATTTTTGCACTTTTAGTAGAGACAGGGTTTCACCATGTTGGCCAGGCTGGTCTCAAACTCCTGGTCTCAGGTGATCTGCCCGCCTTGGCCTCCCAAAGTGCTGCGGTTACAGGCATGAGCCACCGCATCCGTCCACATGTGAACTTTTGTTACGTGTGTATAATGCATAGTGGCCACCCCTCACATTTTGGACATACAAACCATACAGTCATGAATTTACATTTCCTTGTTTCATTGCTTCCATTTGCTCTTTCTGAAATAATGTTTTTGTTCCCCAGAATCTTCTCAAATATACGGTAATTGTGCAGAATGTGGATACCATTGAGATATGAATTTGTTGTTCTATTCTCGCTTTAAAATATCACCCAATTCTCTGTATATTTGTGTATCAATACTTTTAATGTTGGAAATACCGTGTACTTCATGCTATTTCAAAAAATTTCTCTTATTTCAGTTTATTTGTTACACTAAAGTAATATGGGGATATAAAGTTAGACCATTAGTGATCTTGAGTTTGGACTTCTTGGGATTTGGTGAGTTTTAATGAACTTGGTTACTATTCATACCAAACCAGAATAAAGGATAGACAGACAATAATATACCCTAGGGAGATAGAAAAGATACACATATAAATATAAATTAAGTAAAAATTATCTAGTTGGGCTGGGAAACTTTTCTTATCAATAGCATCTAATCCACAGATAGAGTTATTGGGAGGAATATTTTTTCAATATATACTTATTGAACCTTTGCTATGTGAGCAATGTACTCTTCTAGGTGCTGTGGATAGAACAACAAATAAAAGAAAGATCTCTGTTTCTATGGACCTATATTCCAGTGAAGAGCACACAAATATTCAGAAAGATGCGTGGAATATTAAAACAATTTGGTTAACAATTAAGAATATGGAAATTAAACTTTTATGCAATAATACGACTTCAAGTCCATATTATGTAGGGCTAGAGAGATCCATGAAGGGATAAGAAAGAGAAGAAGAAACATAACATAAAGATAGGCTGTACAATCATTTAGGATTAAGTTTGTCTGTAAATAACAGAAACACCACATACAAAATGGCTAACATAACACTGATGCTTATATTGCTCATGTGTAAAAGAATTCTTAACATAGATGGTTCAGGTTGGAATGGGGACTTCACCACATCATCAGGGACCCAAGTTTGGTCTGGCTCACTCATCTGTTTTTCCCAGGTGTGACCTTATTCCCCATGCTACCCATTACATCCAATGCCGCTACTCAACATTTCGTGTAGAAATGCAACATGCCAGATACACCGAAGGAACTTAAAAAAAAATCCCAATGTCAGGGCCACGTCCCAGACTCATTGAATCAGAGTCTCTGTAGGTAGGACCCAGGCAGGCATCAGTAATTTTTAATGCTGGCGAGATGATTCCAGTGTTCAGCTATGAGATCATTCCAGTGTTCAGCTAAATTAAGCACTGTTGATGTGGAACTTAGTCTTCTGACTGCACATTATTGCAAAGGGAAGCCGGGAAATTCAGTAATTTAGCTGAGTAGTTATGAGCCCACATGGAAAAGCAGAAGGAGAAAAGGACATTGGGAGGCTACCCGCAGGCAGTCTGTCTTAAAGAGGAAAAGGGGAAGACAGATTAACTATGGAAGAGGCAGTAACCTTGCACACATGTATATCAGACATGAGTGGGTTGGACACAGGTACGTGGGAAGTTAGGAAGAGACTCAGAAAAGGGGAGGCTAATGAGAGAGTCCAGGTGTTATCATATTTGAATATTGAATTAGTTGTCTGGTCCCCACTGATGATTCTATAAAGGCTCCATATTATATGAAAAACCAGAGACTCCATGAAATAGGCACAGAAGTTCAGTAGAGCACATATGATTCTCATAGCCTTAGCAGCACTGAGGGTAATTATATCACCCTGGAAGCTTGGTGGAATCAAGTCTAATGCCTGACCTACTCCTTAGATTATAAATCTCCCACCCTTCTCTATACTCTGGATCAAAAGGGAAAAAGCTAGACTAACAATGCACAATAAATGGGGATGAATTAATCACTTGGTTGCATCACTTTAAAAGCCAGCAACATAATGAAGGTTGTAAAGAAAGAGGTTAAAAATTAAGACTTTTAAAAACCTTTTTAGTTCGAAAACCACAGCACAACAAAAACCAAAACCAAATCCTAAACCTATTTCTTATTTTAGGTACAATATGCCATTCAAAGCCCAGATTCAAAAATGGGTGCAGTACCTTTCCAACTCAACAGACATCATCGAGAGCTGGATGACAGTGCAAAACCTGTGGATTTATTTAGAAGCCGTCTTTGTGGGAGGAGACATTGCCAAGCAGTTGCCCAAGGTTTCCTAATCTTCTTTATGATTTCATCATATTTTTTCAGAGAAAGATCTCAGAACGAATACCCCCTTAAATAATGCAGTAATATTCCACTTCCATTGAACCCCTTCCTTCAATATTTTGTTGTCACTGTTAATACTGTTATTCTGCAACAGGAGTGAGGAATTGTGGAAAGGAAAGGGGTGACAATCAGAGTAAGAATGCTGCAAAACTGTGGAGGTTTGATAGATAATAGACCGTTAAAAAACAAAGAATAAGTGGTTGCATAATTGATATGCTTCTTTAGATAATTTCAAGGTAGAACTTGGAACTGTAGAATTATGGTGCAGTTATCTTGACAATGGTAGGCTAATTTGTTCTTCTACTACTGACATTTTAAAGTAATCCATACTATACAATGTACCCAATTATATCTGTACAGTACACTTGAGGGGTGGAAATTTGCAGAAAAAATCCCCAAAACAAAAAGACCTTCTTTTCGAGATGTCGACTATTTATCATCAAATCATAACCTTCTTACTAGGTATATATGGAATATATTTTGAGATTTTTAAATGAACACTTTAACCAATTCTTAAGGATTCTTATTCAATTACCTTAAGCTGTATGCAAGATTATAACATTTTAACAATATATTTGAGTTTTAGAAGCATGATTATATTAAATGTTTTCATGACATAGGTTTCCGAACTTCTTTGGTTAGTTTTCAGCTTAATTACAGATGACAGATCAAATTAGACTGCAGACCATTTATTTTGGAGGCAGTAGTGAAATGTATTCACTCACTAAATTTTACTTTATTTTTGATTTGTATTTGTGCATGTTTTTAATCTTCTTTTTTTTTTTAAAGGTTTTAAGTAGGAGGTTTGGTTTTTTTTTTTTTTTTTTTTAATTATACGTTAAGTTCTGAGATACATGTGCAGAACGTGCAGGTTTGTCACATAGGTATACATGTGCCATGGTGGTTTGCTGCACCCAGCAACCCGTCATCTACATTAGGCATTTCTCTTAATGCCATCCCTACCCTTTCCCCACACCCCCGACAGGCCCCAGTGTGTGATGTTCCCTTCCCTGTGCCCATATGTTCTCATTGTTTAATTCCCACTTATGAATGAGAACATGCAGTATTTGGTTTTCTGTTCCTGTGCTAGCTTGCTGAGAATGATGGTTTCCAGCTGCATCCATGTCACTGCAAAGGACATGAACTCCTTCTTTTTTATGGCTGCATAGTATTCCATGGTGTATATGTGCTACATTTTCTTTATCCAGTATAACATTGGTGGGCATTTGAGTTGGTTCCAAGTCTCTCCTTTTGTGAACAGTGCTGCAATAAACATATGTGTGCATGTGTCTTTATAGTAGATTGATTTATAATCCTTTGGGTATATACCCAGTAATGGGATTGCTGGGTCAAGTTGTGTTTCTAGTTCTAGCTCCTTGAGGAATTGCCACACTGTTTTGGCTTTTGTTGCAATTGCTTTTGGTGTTTTAGTCATTAAGTCTTTGCCCATTCCTATGTCCTGAATGGTATTGCCTAGGTTATCTTCTAGGGTTTTTAATGGTTTTAGGTCTTATGTTTAGATCTTTACTCCATTGTGAGTTAATTTTTGTATAAGGTGTAAGGAAGGAGTCCAGTTTCAGTTTTCTGCATATGGCTAGCCAGTTTTCCCAACATCATTTAATAAATAGGGAATCCTTTCCCCATTGCTTGTTTTGTTGGGTTTGTCAAAGATCAGATGGTTGTAGATGTGTGGTGTTATTTCTGAGGCTTCTGTTCTGTTCCCTTGGTCTATATGTCTGTTTTGGTACCAGTACCATGCTGTTTTGGTTACTGTAGCCTTGAAGTTTAGTTTGAAGTCAGGTAGCATGATGCCTCCAGCTTTGTTCTTTTTGCTTAGGATTGTCTTGGCTATATGGGTTCTTTCTTGGTTCCATATGAAATTTAAAGTATTTTTTTTCTAGTTATTTGAAGGAAGTCAATGGTAGCTTGATGGGAATAGCATTGAATCTATAAATTACTTTGGACAGTATAGCCATTTTTATGATATTGATTCTTCCTATCCATGAGCATGGAATGTTCTTCCATTTATTTGTGTCCTCTGTTATTCCCTTGAGCAGTGGTTTGTAGTTCTCCTTGAAGAGGTCCTTCACATCCCTTGTAAGTTGTATTTCTAGGTATTTTATTCTCTTTGTAGCAATTGTGAATGGGAGTTCACTCATGATTTGGCTCTCTGTTTATCTATTATTGGTGTATAGGAATGCTTGTGATTTTTGCACATTGATTTTGTATCATGAGACTTTGCTGAAGTTGCTCATCAGCTTTAGGAGTTTTTGGGCTAAGACGATGGGGTTTTCTAAATATACAATCATGTCATCTGCAAAAGAGATAATTTGACTTCCTTTTTTCCTATTTGAATACCTTTATTTCTTTCTCTTGCCTGATTGCCCTGGACAGAACTTCCAATACTATGTTGAATAGGAGTGGTGAGAGAGGGCATCCTTGTCTTGTGCTGGTTTTCAAAAGGAATGCTTCTGGCTGTTGCCTATTCAGTATGATATTGGCTGTGGATTTGTCATAAATAGCTCTTATTATTTTGAGATACGTTCCATCAATACCTAGTTTATTGAGAGTTTTTAGCATGAAGGGGTGTTCAATTTTTTTGAAGGCCTTTTCTGCATCTATTGAGATAATCATGTGGTTTTTTTCATTGGTTCTGTTTATGTGATGGATTATGTTTATTGATTTGCATATGTTGAACCAGCCTTGCATCCCAGGGATGAAGTTGACTTCATCGTGGTGGATAAGCTTTTTAATGTGCTTTTTGATTCAGTTTGCCTGTATTCTATTGAGGATTTTTGCATTGATGTTCATCAGAGATATTGGCCTGAAATTCTTTTTTTATTGTGTCTCTGCCAGGTTTGGGTATCAGGATGATGCTGGCCTCATAAAATGAGTTAGGGAGGAGTCCCTCTTTTTCTATTGTTTGGAGTAGTTTTAAGAGGAATGGTACCAGCTGCTCTTTGAACCTCTGGTAGAATTTCTAGAAGAAACTTATCCATTTCTTCTAGATTTTTCTAGTTTATTTGCGTAGAGGTGTTTATAGTATTCTCTGATGGTAGTTTGTATTTCTGTGGAATCAGTGGTGATATTCCCTTTATCATTTTTTATTGTGTCTATTTGATTCTTCTCCCTTTTCTTCTTTAGTAGTCTGGCTAGCAGTCTGTTTTGTTGATCTTTTCAAAAAACCGGCTCCTGAATTCATTGATTTTTTTGAAGGGTTTTTCATGTCTCTATCTCCTTCAGTTCTGCTCTGATGTTAGTTATTTCTTGTCTTCTGCTAGCTTTTGGATTTGTTTGCTCTTGATTCTGTAGTTCTTTTAATTGTGATGTTAACATGTCGATTTTAAATCTTTCCCACTTTCTCCTGTGGGTATTTAGTGCTATAAATTTCCCTCTAAACAGTGCTTTAGCTATGTCCCAGAAATTCTCGTATGCTATGTCTTTGTTCTCATTGGTTTCAAATAACTTATTTATTTCTGCCTTAATTTCGTTATTTACCCAGTAGTCATTCAGGAGCAGGTTGTTCAGTTTCCATGTAGTTGTGCGATTTTGAGTGAGTTTCTTAATCCTGAGTTCTAACTTGATTGCACTGTGGTCTGAGACTGTTTTCTATGATTTCTGTTCTTTTGCATTTGCTGAGGAGTGTTTTACTTCCAATTATGTGGTCGATATAAGAATAAGTATGATGCAGTGTTGAGAAGAATGTATATTCTGTTGATTTGGGGTGGAGAATTCTGTAGATGTCTATTAGGTCCGCTTGGTCCGGAGCTGAGTTCAAGTCCTGAATATCCTTGTTAATGATCTCATTCATCTGTCTAATATTGAGAGTGTGGTGTTAAAGTCTCCCACTGTTGAAGAGTATGGGTATTAAAATGTAAGATTTATGACGAAAATCTAAGTGGAGTGGCTCTTGGTTTACTTTTCATATTGAGTGATGCATGAGGTAGGTGTTCAGAGTAATATTCTGCATCATAGTGAGAGAGAAGCATTTTTAATTTTACTTAAAATTAAATTAAATGTAATTAAATTACTAGTGAATCATTTTACTAATTGTACTTTTATGCTATAAAAGACAGTACGTTTGAAAATTTTTAGATTATGTGTAAGCTTAATTTTGTAATTAAATATTTCTTTAACATGTTAAAAAAAAAAAGGCTCCTACTATTATTGTGTGAGACCTTAGAGACCTTTGTAGGTCTCTAAGAACTTGCTTTATGAACCTGGGTGCTCCTGTATCAGGTGCATATATATTTAGGATAGTTAGCTCTTCTCATTGCATTGATCCCTTTACCATTATGTAATGCTCTTCTTTGTCTTTTTTTATCTTTGTTGGTTTAAAGTCTGTTTTATCAGAGAGTAGGATTGCAACCCCTGCTTTTTTTTGCTTTCCATTTGCTTGGTAAATATTCTTCCATCCCTTTATTCTGAGCCTATGTGTGTCTTTGCATGTGAGATGGGTCTTCTCAATATAGCACACTGATGAATCTTGACTCTATTAAATTTGCCAGTCTGTGTCTTTTAATTGGGGCATTTAGCCCACTTACATTTAAGGTTAATATTGTTATGTATGAATTTGATCCTGTCATTATGATGCTAGCTAGTTATTTTGTCCATTAGTTGATGCAGTTTCTTCATAATATCGATGGTCTTTACATTTTGGTTTGTTTTTGCAGTGGCTGGTACTGGTTTTTCCTTTCCATATTTAGTGCTTCCTTCAGGAGCTCTTGTAGGGCAGGCCTATTGGTGACAAAATCCCTCATCACTTGCTTGTCTGTAAAGGATTTTATTTCTCCTTCGCTTATGAAGCTTAGTTTGGTTGGATATGAAATTCTGGATTGAAAATTCTTTTAAGAATGTTGAATATTGGTCCCCACTCTCTTATGGCTTGTAGGGTTTTTGCAGAGAGATCTGCTGTTAATCTGATGGGCTTCCCTTTGTGGGTAACCCGACCTTTCTTTCTGGCTGCCTTTAACATTTTTTCCTCATTTCAACCTTGGTGAATCTGATGATTATGTGTTTTGGGGTGGCTCTTCTTGAGGAGAATCTTCATGGTGTTCTCTGTATTTCCTGAATTTTAATGTTGGCCTGTCTTGCTAGGTTGGGGATGTTCTCCTGGATAATATCCTGAAGAGTGTTTTTTAACGTGGATCCATTCTCCCCATCACTTTTAGGTACACCAATCAAATGTAGGTTTGGTCTTTTCACATAGTCTCATATTTCTTGGAAGCTTTGTTCATTCCTTTTCATTATTTTTTGTCTAATCTTGTGTTCACGCTTTATTTCATTACGTTGATCTTCAGTCTCTGATATCCTTTCTTCTGCTTGGTTGATTTGGGTATTGATACTTGTGTATGCTTCACAAAGTTCTTGTGCTGTGTTTTTCAGCTCCGTCAGGTCATTTATATTCTTCTCTAAATTGGTTATTCTAGTTAGCAATTTCTCTAACTTTTATAAAGGTTCTTAGCTTCCTTATGTTGGGTTAGAACATGCTCTTTTAGCTCGGAGGAGTTTGTTATCATCCACCTTCTGAAGCCTACTTCTGTCAATTTGTCAAACTCATTCTCTGTCCAGTTTTGTTCCCTTGCTGGTGAGGAGTTTTTTTCCTTTGGAGGAGAAGAGGCATTCTGGTTTTGGAATTTTCAGCCTTTTTGTGCTGGTTTTTCCTCATCTTCGTGGATTTATCTACCATTGCTTTTTGCTGTTGGTGACCTTCCGATGGAGTGTTTGTTTGGTTGTCCTTTTTGTTGATGTTGATGTTACTGCTTCCTGTTTGTTAGATTTCCTTCTAACAGACAGGCCCTTCTTCTCCAGGTCTTCTGGAGTTTGCTGGGGGTCCAATCCAGACCCTGTTTGCCTAGGCATCACCAGCAGAAGCTGCAGAACAGCAAAGATTGCTGCCTGCTCCTTCCTCTGGAAGCTTTGTCTGAGAGGGACACCTGCCAGATGCCAGCCGAAGCTCTCGTGTATGAGATGTCTGTTGGCCCCTGCTGGGAAGTGTCTCCCTGTCAGGAAGCATGGGGTCAGGGGCCCACTTGAGGAGGCAGTCTGCCCCTTAGCAGAGCTCGGGCCCTGTGCTGGGAGATCTGCTGCTCTCTTCAGAGCTGGCAGGCAGGAACGTTTAAGTCTTCTGTAGCTGCACCCCACAGCTGCCCCTTCCCCCAGTTGCTCTGTCCCAGGAAGATGAGAGTTTTATCTATAAGCGCGCGACTGGGATTGCTGCCTTTTTTTCAGAGATGCCCTGCACAGAGAGGAGGACTCTAGAGAGGCAGTCTGGCTACAGCAGCTGTGTGGTGTTGTGGTGGGCTCTGCCCAGTCTGAACTTCCTTATGACCTTGTTTACACTGTGAGGGAAAAACTACCTACTCAAGCCTCAGTAGTGGTGGACCCCCATACCCCCACCAAGCTCAAGCATTCCAGGTTGACTTCGGACTGCTGTGCTGTCAGTGAGAATTTCAAGTCAGTGGATCTTATCTTGCTGGGTTCCATGGGGATGGCATCCACTGAGCAAGACCACTTGGCTCCCTGGCTTCAGCCCCCTTTCCAGGGGAGTGAACAGTTCTGCCTCACTGGTGTTTCAAGTGCCACTGGGGTATGAAAAAAATCGCTGGGTGTGATGGCTCACACCTGTAATCCCAGCACTTTGGGAGGCCAAGGCAGGTGGATTACCTGAGGTCGGGAGTTCGAGACCAGCCTGGCCAATGTGGAGAAACTCCGTCTCTACTAAAAATACAAAATTAGCTGGGTGTGGTGGCACATGCCTGTAATCCCAGCTACTTGGGAGGTTGAGGCATGAGAATCGCTTGAACCCAGGAGGCGGAGGTTGCAGTGAGCCGAGATTGCACCATTGCACTCCAGCCTGGGCAAAAAGAGCAAAACTCCATGTAAAAAAAAAAATAAAAAACAAAACTGCAGCTAGCTCAGTGTCTGCCCAAATGGCCACTCAGTTTTGTGCTTGAAACCCAGGGCCCTTGTGGTGTAGGCACCCGAGGGAATCTCCCGGTCTGCGGATTGCGAAGACCTTGGGAAAAGCATAGTAACTGGGCCGGATAGCAGTGTCCCTCACGGCATGGTACCTCATGGTTTCCCTTGGCTGGGGTGGGGAGTTCCCCAAACCCTTGCACTTCCTGGATGAGGCAATACCCCACCCTGCTTCTTCTTGCCCTCCGTGGGCTGCATCCACTATCTAACCAATCCCAATGAGATGAGCCAGGTGCCTCAGTTGGAAATGCAGAAATCACCTGCCTTCTGCGTTGATCTCGCTGGGAGCTGCAGAGTGGAGCTATTCCTATTTGGCCATCATGCCCAGGATTCCCATGTTTTTCTTTTTAATGAGTGAAGAAGAATCTAAAATTGGACTTAGAAATTTTCATGCAGAGTATTTAAGGTGCTAGGTGTAGTTTCTTCCTTTCATATTTGGTAGTATATACTCATTGGTACATACAGAAAGCTTTAAAGAAGAAATTGAAAATTTGGGGCTGGGTGTGGTGGCTCATGCTTGTAATCCCAGCACTTTGGGAGGCTGAAGTGGGAAGACTGCTTGAGCCCAGGAGTTCAAGACCAGCCTGGCCAATATGGTGAAACCTCGTTTCTACAAAAACAAAAAAACAAACAAAAAAAACAATTAACTAGGCATGGTGGCACATGCCTGTAGTCCCAGATACTGGAGAGGCTGAGGTAGGAGAATCACTTGAGCCCAGGAAATCAAGGCTGCAGTAAGCTGTGATTCAGCACCTGTACTCCAGCCTGGACAACAGAGTGAGACCCTGTCTTAAAAAAAAAAAAAGAAGAAAACTTATATGATTCCTGCCCTCTCAAGATAATCTGTGCATTTGCCATTAAATTTTTTTTACAATATTCCAGTTATACTGGAATTAATTTTGTATCTTTATTTTTAAATACTTTTTCTACATAAACAAACAATCCAGTGCTCAATATAGAAAATATAAAAATAGGAAATGTACTTCATTTAGAGATAACCCCTGAAAAGAAAGATGTGTCCTTTCTTTTCATATTTTCTTGAATTGTATTATTACTTTTGTATTCATTTCTTGTTTTAACTTAACATAATGGGAGTCCCAAGGTTGAGCTAAGGATACTTACTTAATACAGGGGATGATACGGCACAGAAAGCCCAATACGAACTTCAATAAAATGTGTATGACATTTGGCGTATATTGCTTGGATATCTGGACCGGTTAAAACTCTAGCCTCAACTGGAGGAATGTGAGATACTTTGTCTTTGAGATCACAGACGTGTCCAAATCTAAGTGTGCTTTGTTACCTTGTTCTCATAGGAAGCCAAGCGCTTTTCTAACATAGATAAATCTTGGGTGAAGATCATGACTCGGGCACATGAAGTGCCCAATGTAGTTCAGTGCTGTGTTGGAGATGAGACCCTGGGGCAGCTGTTACCGCACTTGCTGGACCAGTTGGAGATATGCCAGAAATCCCTTACTGGGTGAGTTCCCTGGCTCTTTGAAAGCTCTCAGTATCCTTGAGACAAAAGGATATAGGGAGACTAGATAGCATTAGCCAAATTTGTTTTCGTTTGCTAAGGCTTAATTCATGTATAAAGCTGTTGCACAGATGAAACTGATATTTTGAAGCCTTATGTTCTCATCAAACACTTGCTAGATTTGTCCTGATGTTGGACTCATGGGACTTAACGTTGCTTCCATCACTGGGATAAGACTGTATGAACATTCTCATACAGTGCCTGCCTTTAAAAATTAATACACCTGTTTTTCTGATATTCTTCTTGGATAAACATCTATAGAACCAACATATTTTATTATGCTCATTATATGAAACAGTGTTTAGTATATACATACAATCAGGATTATATTAAAAAGTATCTAATATAATATCTATCTACACACACATTTATGCGTATGGAGGCTTGGTGAATTCCAAGAGTCATAAAGTTTTTTTGTTTGTTTTTTTTCCCTTGGTTAATCACAATAAAATAATGTAAGTAGAAATATGTTACATAGTAATATGCTAAGTGTACATTGACAAGGAAGTTAAACTCAAGCACCTGAGCATTTAATTTAAATAATGATGTCTCCTTGGCCCACTCTGGGAGACAGTTGATCTTTCCCCATGAATTCATCCTGATGGCCTCATGACCTGTGCTAGTGTCCTGTGAATAGCCAGCTTGTCCTGTGCACTGCAGAATTCAGGTCATCGAAGCCAGGCTGCCCTCGTAGTCACGGGTGACGGCTAAAATACTGGGCTTCAAATGGTGCTTTGGCAGGATCTCGATGAAATAGATAGTTTATTAAAGTTGAGCAAAAAAAGTGACTATACTAAAAATGGAAAAAAGACCTGTATGGGGGTACTTGTAAGCAATATGGATTACTTATTTATTCTTGGCTAACTAGAAAAAATTTTGAGACGGCTGCTGAAAAATAACCATGCAATGAGAAAGTTAAGGTCAAAGGAATAAAAGGGCTAATAAGCTCAGAGGGTAAAATTGGTGCAGAGAAAAACTACAAATGGATCTTAGATTAGAGAGCAAAGATCCTTCCTGGGGCCCAAGGTAAACGGTGACAAATGATAGGTTCATGAGATTCATAGAATAAAAGTTACTTGGGGAGACATTATGTTTTCTTGTCCTCAAATTGATAATTTGGACGAATTTCTACTGTGTATCCTTTTAAAAGGGAACCCAGAGCAGAATCTTCATCTACTTTCTTATCACAGCATGAATCAAACATGATCCTCTCTAATGGAATGGCTTCATCCAGGGAACTAAGGGAATGAAATCACTGCATACACTTTAATGAATCCTCCATGAATATCACTTTCATATCCATGTTGGTGGAAGGTATTGGGCAGCATAAGACATGAGAGATGTAAACCCTGACAAGAATGTAGAGGACAGGCAGTCTGCACTGCTGGCTAAGGACAAATTCATAGGCTTCAGCATACAGCTGGGGAGATGTGGAAGTTGGTGGACTTTTAGGAAAGTTGAGGAGTCTAAACAAAACCATGCTTACATGGATGTCCACCCCACTACCTTGAAGCTAGAGGTAGGGCCAACATTTTCTGTAGCAAATATTTGCAAGTTTACTCTAATTTTGGTGATGGGTGTTTCAAAGGCCTGTGCTATAGAGCAGGAGTCCTCAAACCTCGGTACCGGTCCATGGCCTGTTAGGAACAGGGCTGCACAGCAGAAGGTGAGTAGCAGGTGAGTGAGCAAAGGTTCATCTGTATTTACAGCTGCTCCTCATCACTCTCAATATCACCTGAGCCCTGCCTCCTGTGAGATCAGCAGCAACATTACAGTCTCATAGTAGTGCAAACCCTATTGTGAATTGCGCATGTGAGGGGTCTAGGTTGCGCACTCCTTATGAGAATCTAATGCCTGATGATCTGTCAGTGTTTCCCATCATCTCCAGATGGGACCATTTAGTTGCAGGAAAACAAGGTGAGGTCTCTCACTGACTCTACTTTATGGTGAGTTGTCTAATTATTTTTACCATGTAATAATAATAGAAACATAAGTGCACAATAATAATAGAAGTAAAGTACACAGTAAATGTATTGCACTTGGATCATCCTGAAACCACCCCAACCCCAGGTCTGTAGAAAATTGAAAAATTGTCTTCCATGAAATTGGTCCCTGGTGGCACAAAGGTTGAGGACTGCTGCTATAGAGTTATCACCATACACCTAAAGAGGCTTTTTAAACACCATGGCTGTAGCCAACACCAATGTCAGTAAAGTACCCTTTAAATGTTCACTTTAAAGCAAAACCATTTGCAAGTAATTCTTCTAACATAAAGGTTTAGAAAAATTGAGTCTTAGGGATTGAGTTGATCTCCTTTATAAAATTATTAGACCAAGTCAAGTAACTGTTGAAGGACAAAAAGGTTGTTTTCTAATGATTGATGCTGCGCCATTCCATTTAGCCTAATAATTATTTAGCATGACCAAATGTGGTTCAGGCACCGCTGACAGTTCTTAGATATAGACCCAGCATGAGTGCTATGTGCCTAACACCAGAATCAGGTCAGAGAGAACGAGGAAAGGGTTTCTGAAAGTTTCCCTGCTCTGGGGGTTCTTCAACGTGGAAGGACTGAGGGGCAGGGATCACTAAGACATCATGCAGGTTCAGTCACCCCTTGCTGAGGAACTGTCTACTGGACTACCTACAGCTGAGTTTATTACTTTTTTCTCCCTTCCTCATCTTCCACCCACCACCACAGACAGACAGACAGACAGACACACACACACACACACGCACACATGCACAACCACCCCTCTATTTTTTTATCTTTTTTGTTTTTGAGATGGGGTCTCACTCTGTCACCCAGGCTGGAGTGCAATGGTGCAATCTCGGCCCACTGCAGTCTCCGTCTCCCAGGTTCAAGTGATTCTCCTACCTTAGCCTCCCGAGTAGCTGGGATTACAGGGGTGCACCACCACACCCAGCTATTTTTTGCATTTTTTTTTTTTTCAGTAGACATGAGGTTTCACCATGTTGGCCAGGTTGGTCTCAAACTCCTGACCTCAGGTCATCCACCCACCTCGGCCTCCCAAAGTGCTGGGATTACAGGCGTGAGTCATTGCGCCTGGCCTATTTTTCTCTTTTTTATTCTTTCTTTTTACTATGAACATATTGTACTCTATCACCAAACATTTGGGCATTATTTTATAACCACACAGAGAAAATGTCTACTCTAAAATTGTTCACACTTTTAAAAAATTTTTATTTTATTTATTAAGTTTTTACTGAGCTTTCCCTTTTGATTCTGTTACCGAGAAGAGGTTATGAGCAACATTTGTAAGCCTTGTGTAAACATTTGAGAAATCGTATTTATACAAAAACGACACCCTCCCAAGCTGTCGAGGATCAGCATGGACAGGAAGGGTCTTCCCACAGATCAGATCATAATTTGAGTTGGGGTCATCGGACTGTGTCCGTGAATATAAGGTATCTTCTCTATACCGTCACAGGAGTTTGGCTGTCAACAACAAACACTGGGGTCTACTCGAGGGTGGAGGTGGCAGGAGGGTGAGGATTGGAAAACTACCTATCAGGTACTATGCTTATTACCCGGGTGATGAAATAATCTGTATACCAACCTCCCGACATGCAGTTTACCTATATAACAAACCTGCACATGTACCCCTGAACCTAAAATAAAAGTTGAGGCCAGGTGTGATGGCTCATGCCTGTAATCTCAGCACTTTGGGAGGTTGAGGCGGGTGGATCATTTGAAGTCAGGAGTTTGAGACCAGCCTCGGTAACATGGTGAAACCCCATCTCTACTAAAAAAAAAAAAAGAAAAAAAAAATTAGCCGAGCATGGTGGCACAAGCCTGTAGTTGCAGCCGCTTCAGAGGCTGAAGCAGGAGAATCACTTGAACCCGGGAAGTGGAGGTTGCAGTGAGCCAAGGTCATGCCACTGCACTCCAGCCGGGGTGAAAGAGTGAGACTCTGTCTCAAATAAAAACATCGAAAAAGGGCTAAAATGAATAATAATACAAGTGATAAGAGAAGAGTAAAAATTAAAAAAGAAATTAAAACAGCTGGTAAAGTTTCAAAAAGAAGTACAATTAAAATAATCGTAACAAAATATGCTAGAAAATGAAGATAGAAAGCTATAGTTAAGAAAACAACAGAATACACATATCCATAGCATCAGGAATGACCATAACAGAAAGAAATACAGAAACAAAAGCCTGCCTGAAAGCAGGTCAGCGATCGGAACATCCAGTGAACTTTGGAAACTCCTGGAGGCAGAGACGAGTGCCACAGCTTTTCCATGGAGCTCATCACTGGGTTTTGCTTCTGCTTGGATGATGAATTCATTGGATTCTCTTTTAAGTTACAATTTCAAGTATTGTAGGGAGCGTTTAGATGACACAGTGCTGGGCTTGGAAACCCAAACCCAAAACCAAAACCTGCCTGGGTGTGTTTTTATCTTACTCTCTGCATAGAATGTACAAGATTTTCCAGACTGTGCAACAGGTGTACATTATACTTGTGAAAAAGGACAGAATTCTGCCACCAATTTTGGGAAAAAATTATTTCTCCATCAGAATATGGAATGTTATTTGACAAAATTCTTAAAAAATCGAAAGATTGTTGAGAAGTCATGTGGGAAAATCAGAATGTTACAAGTCACACAATCTTCCCCCCTTTGCCCATCCAGGTTAATTTGTTCTTTGAACGATGAGCTTTGTGTGGTTATAAAGGTTTATGTTTTTCCTCTCCTCGCAGGTACTTGGAGAAAAAGCGGCTGTGCTTTCCTCGGTTTTTCTTCGTCTCAGATCCTGCCCTTCTAGAGATTCTGGGGCAGGCATCGGACTCCCACACTATACAGGCCCATTTGCTGAACGTGTTTGACAACATTAAATCTGTCAAGTTCCATGACAAGGTTCGCCTAATTCTAATGGCAGGCCAACAGTCACCGTACCTTAGAACGTCAACTGTCTTTAAGTAGCACTTTGAAAACGGGTTTATAACAAGGGTTGCCTCCCTGTTCATTAGCTCTTGGCCAGTGACTAAAAAAAAATCTTGGGGCCCAATTTACCTTCAGAACTGTATAATTTCTTATTATCCAAAGTGTAGATTCAAATTAAAAAAATGCTAGTTTAGGATTAAGAATGCATTTTATGTAGCATTACACACCAAGTTAACTAGTCAGAAATCCAACAAGATAAAAACCAGCTGTTCACAAAATAACGTCTTAACTAAACAGACTTGCCCTTATGATTTAATTGTTTTAATCTGGTTTCGGCATACTTTATTCAAATTTTTTTTTTTTTTTTTTTTTTTAAACTTCCATGTGTCTAGAATCACGAAGCTGCATGAGACTCATGATAGGTCATTTAACTTGATGGAGACCACACCTGCACAGCTGCCAAAATCTATTGTCTAATCCATCCCTCCACCCAAATTCCCTAGGAAAGTGACTCTTGTTAGATATCATATTCAGTTTCCCTCTGGTGCTTCATACAAAACCCTAGTAACATTCATTTCTTCATCCTAGCATGCAGTGTTACATTTATTGAGCAACTACCATGTTCCAGATGTCATGCTTAACACTGGGAATACACTAGCCTTCCGTGAACTTGTGCTCGGGTCGGGGAGACAGGGAAGTAAACAAGTAACCCTCAGAGTGCAGTTAGGGGTGTTAGAGCTATTCCATTCGAAGCAATGAAAAGCCACTTGTTAAGGCCAAGCTCCTTGCTATCTGCTAGACATGATGCTGGCCTGGGGTTCCCAGGAAGAATATATTGTGATCAACAGTGAAGTCAGTTTTATGTAGTATAACACTTCAGAGAAATTGGGCAATTAAATTGCTGATAATTTGGGACTTCAGTGATTATTATTGTGCTCCATTAAGCACAAAGATCATGAGAATGCCCATCAGGGAGCCCTAACCTGGGTATATGGGGGTGTCAGGGAAGGCTTTCTGCAGGAGAATGTAAATTTGCACTAATGTTTTAAAGGTAAGTGGAATATAACCTTGCAGGTGGAGGGAAGTACGGTCAGGTCAGAAGAAGAGCATGTGCAAGGGAGTTCTGGGCGCCCTTAGGTGTGGGAAGCCTAGGATGTCAGCAGCGTGGCTGTGTGAGGGAGTGTATTCGTTTCCTAGGGCTGCTGTGGCTTAAAACAACAGAAATGTATTCTCTCAAAGTTCTGGAGGCTAGAGGTGACTGCATCTTAAATTGATCACATCTGCAAAGACGCTATTCCCAAATAACGTCACATTCACAGGTGTCAGGGCTTAGGACTTCAGTATATCTTTTTGAGAGTCACAATTGGGCCCACAACAGGGAGCCATGAGCAAAGAGTGAAGGGAGGATGGGCAAGATTCCAAAGGCCAAGCGCATCACATGATGGAATTCTGCTTCATCCCGAGCATGATAAAAAGCCATGGGAGGCATTTAAGCAGGACAGTGACCTGATCTGTGTTTCAGAAACATTCTCTGGTGCAGTGTAGGAGGCGGAATGAAAGGGGGCAAGGAAATCAATGTAAGAAGCCATTGCAAAAATCGGGATAAAAAAGGCTGAACAGCTGTAACAAGGCTTGGTTAGAGGGGACAGAGAGGAAGGAAAACAGGATGGATTTTAATGGTTCAAAAATCAGTGTTTCTTGTTGTTTTATTGGGTGTGTGGGTTGAAAGAAGGGACTTAATTCATCAGAAAAATCTTCCTAATGTTTTGCTTAAATCCTCTGCCACAGCACTAGGACATCATGGTCCAAGAGCAAAGCTTCTCACTGTCTCAAGTTGTATGGAAGATAATTTAAGTATCTTTCAGCATCTTATTTACCGTGTAGCTCCCTTTTGTTAGTTAAATGCCCACAGACTTTTAGCCTTTGTTCTTAGCAGTTGCTTCTTAAGATCGTGTTGCTTTTGTTTTTTGTTGCTCCTGCCATAAGGTTTCTACAATCAGGAGCAGATTTTGTTTGTGTGGGTGCTAAATCTTGTAAAATTATAAATACAAATTCATATTCAAGACCTTGGAAATGGTCTGTGTAAGTGAGGGGCCCTGAAACTGAAGCCCCTTAGCTTTTTGGTAGATCACTTCTGTCTACAGCTAAGGAGGACTTAGTATAACATTTTAGATTTTAGAAGCCTCATTTCATTTGGGAAACTTTAGAGATTTTAAAAATAATCATATTTGTATTAAATATTTCTTTTAGAAAATAAGTTTCCCCCCTTACAGTATAGTTTATTTAGAATTGATTTCTTTCTTTCTTTCTTTCTTTTTTGAGATGGAGTCTCACTGTTGTCCCCCAGCCTGGAGTGCAAAAGCATGGTCTCGGTTCACTGCAACCTCTGCCTCCTGGGTTAAAGTGATTCTCCTGCCTCAGCCTCTCAAATAGCTGGGATTACAGGCACCCCACCACCATGCCCAGCTAATTTTTGTATTTTTAGTAGAGCCGGGTTTCACCATATTGCCCAGGCTGTTCTTGAACTCCGGACCTCGGGTGATCCACCTGGCACGGCCTCCCAAAGTGCTGGGATTACAGGTGTGAGCCACTGCGCCCAGCCTGGAATTGATTTTGTTTTGGCTTTTAGATTCATGGCTTTTTAAAAAAAATTGTTTTTAAGTAGTTTATATTTGGCTTTTACAGTATTTTATAATCTGTAGCTTTACTTTCTATGGGAAGGACAAGTCAAAGTCAAGAATTAGTTTTTACTTTTTATATGACTATAGCTTTTTGTTTGTTTGTTTGTTTGTAACATAGATCTATGATCGAATTCTGTCAATTTCCTCTCGAGAGGGTGAGACGATTGAATTGGATAAACCTGTCATGGCAGAGGGCAATGTAGAAGTTTGGCTTAATTCTCTTTTGGAAGAATCTCAGTCCTCATTGCATCTTGTGATTCGCCAGGCAGCTGCAAATATTCAAGAAACAGGTTTCCAACTAATTGAATTTCTTTCATCCTTCCCTGCTCAGGTCAGTGTATTGAAATTGGAAAGTATGTTTTGTCAAATAGTCATTTTAAATCTCAGACATTACCTATTGTAAGCTTCACAAACGGCTATAGTTTAACTCTAGACCAGTATTAAGATTTTCATAAGGACTCATTAAATATACTTAAACCTTAAAGATTTTTAACTACAGATTTTATGGTCATATATCTGTAGACTTAAATGTATATTTGGGTTATAGGTATATTTGATGTATTGTCTTTAACTTAAAACAGTTTTCTTCCTACTCAATCTTTTGATGTAACAATGTACAAAAATCATGAAAATGTACTGATTGAACACTTTACTAAAAAAATGAAAAATAGATTTCAGCATTAAAATACAGGAAACAATGTTTTCTTCGTTACTGTGATTAATAAAAATTTGGTGAGCATCTGCTCTGTCTCAACATTATGCTAGTTTGGGTAAAGCAAGTTTCAGACATTCTTTGCCTGCAGGCAACTTAAAATCTATCTGGGGAGAAATGTGACTTCAACATAAATGACTTAAAATGGTAAGAAATAGAATTTCCACAGGTTATGAAAAAAGATATCAAAGTTGATGTAATCGTGGCTTTACACTTGCATAAGAATCACAACTATTGATCACGTTGTAATTTCTATTTAAATACATAAATACGCCATGCAAACTCATAAAGCCTTTTTTATTTCCATAAGGTTGGATTATTAGGAATTCAGATGATATGGACACGGGATTCAGAAGAAGCCCTTAGAAATGCCAAGTTTGATAAAAAAATCATGCAGAAAACTAATGAGACTTTCCTGGAGCTACTCAATACACTGATAGACATCACCACGAGGGATCTGAGTTCCATGGAACGAGTGAAATATGAGACTCTGATTACTATTCATGTGCACCAAAGGGATATCTTTGATGACCTGGTACATTCTTTATAAATGCTGTGGCATGTAGAGAAAAACAAATTCTAGACACTTTCTGTGTTTACCCGGTAGAACTAGTTTGATTGAATTCAAGGAAAAGATTAAATTCTGGCAAAGAATCATGTTCGTAATCAGAGTTTGTTTTTCAGTCTTAAAAAAAGCTTTCTTTTCAGTCTTAACTGAATGTAAATCATATTCTGATGATCTATGCTAAGATGTTATTGAGGCAATTAGACTTTATTAAAAATATTTTAACGTGATGATTTTTAATGTTAAAATTGTCATGTAGCATCTGAAAAGCCTTCATACATCTTTTTTGCTTTTTACCTATTAATTGAAGATCACTACTTTCTTGCTATGAAAATTATTAGTACTATTGCTTAGTAGAGCTGTTTAGGACTTCCCTTAAGGCTTTCGAAAAATCACGTTCTTAGCAAGTTTGGCTACATTTTATGTCATTGATTGCAAATGGCCTTTCCTAATAGAGCTTCTGACATTCAGGTGTCACACTGTTTTGCTTTTAAAGAGAGAACAGGGTGGGAAAAGAGAGTTTTGTAGCTATAGAAAATGGGAAATAAAAGGAAGTGAAATTTGTCATCTACTGTAAAATACGCTAGATAAGAGGCAAAAAGCTCTTATTTTCATAATAATTTTCTGGATTTGTCTCACCACATTATGTAAAAAAGATTATGAAAGATTGGTCCTGATGTAATGGAAGTAAAGGTAGCACATTGAAGCTATTGTGTGCTAATCTCCTGCCTTAATAATTAAGCACACTACTTGTCTCTCTGAGAAATGAAGGGCTCAGGCTAATTTTAGATTTCTTATTTGTCAAAGAAAATGATGAAAGTGGCTTAAAACTTTGGCTAAAAGATCTGGACAAAAGCATTGCCAGGCAATGGCCTGTCATTTAGATGTTAGAAATTTTGGCCCAATGTAATTCTTGGGAAAAATAATTACTGGATTAAAAAACCCCAACAATGTACTTTCTTATAGTCTTAAGAGATGTCTTTTTCCTAATGAGATTGTTTAGTTCTGTCTTTGTATGCCAAAACATACTTTTTTCATGGTTAGGACTATGGCATTAGGCATTTAAGGGTGAAATTTAAGAAATGAATATCTTATTATTAAAAGATGTAAAGCCACTTAAATTGGAGGGGCATAATTAGGGGTTTCTCTTGAGTTTTCTTACTCCCATGTCTTCCAAAGTTTCTTTTTTTACTCATCAATAGATGAATGGGTTGGCTGGTGATATAGTTGACACCTCTGAAATAGTTGGATTGTCTATGAGTTTCATTTATTTCACTTTATGATCTACATGAATGCTAATGTGTATACTTAATGAGTGATTCTCATCACAGCTCTAACATATACCTTTTGAATTTCAGTGTCATATGCATATCAAGAGTCCTATGGACTTTGAGTGGCTGAAACAGTGCAGATTTTACTTTAACGAAGATTCTGACAAGATGATGATTCACATCACAGATGTGGCTTTCATATACCAGAATGAATTTTTAGGCTGCACTGACAGGCTTGTCATAACTCCACTTACAGACAGGTGATGGAGCCCTTCTCCCCATCCCCTACCGTTTTTATTCTCTCGAGTTGCTCAGGGGATTTTTGCTTAAATTCTCTTAGGGTTTATAGACTGTTTTATACTAAAACCTTTGAAATTTAGTATTTTTAGCTTTACACCTGTGTCTTCACAGGGGATTTAGGTTTGTGACTGACACTGACCTTGCTTCCTCTGCCTTCAGTCTTCTAGAGGCAGAGTTTAAATGTATAAACACCATGTGGACGCACAATGGGCAGGAAAGGGAATTAATTGCTGTGTGTTGTCAGGTGCAAATCACAATGGATCTTGGGGGGCTGCTTGAGTATCTGTTGTTCTTACTAAAAGACAATTAAGATTTTCTTTTTTTTAAGCAGGAAAGAAATCGAGTATCAGTGCAGGTAAAAGTGGGGAGAGACCACTGGCAAGGCCTCCAGAGTGTTAACTCTTCCCTTGGCCTGCTATTTACGAGTTGCGTTAGTGACACCTGCCACTGCAACCTCCCTAGACTCAGTCTTCTCATTTGTAAGATGAGCTAAGCCAGCAGTCCCCAGTCTTTCTGGCACCAAGGACTGGTTTCATGGAAGACAATTTTTCTGCGGACAAGGGGCTGGGTGATGGTTTCGGGATGATTCAAGTGCATTCCATTTATTGTGCACTTTATTTCTATTATTACATTGTAATAGATAATGAAATAATTATACAATTCACTGTAATTTAGATTCACTGGGAGCCCTGAGTGTGTTTTTCTGCAACTGGATAGTCCCATCTGGAGGTGATGGGGGACAGTGACAGATCATCAGGCATTAGATTCTTGTAAGGAACGAGTGACCTAGGTCCCTCACACGCATAGTTCACAATAGGGTTCATGTGCAGTTCACAATAAAGGCTGTGCTCCTATGAGAATCTAATACTGCCACTGATACCACAGGAGGCAGAGCTCAGGTGGTAATGTGAGCCATAGGGAGTGGCTGTAAATACAGATGAAGCTTCTCTCACTTGCCCACCGCCCACCTCCTGCTGCGTGGCCCGGTTCCTAATGGACCATGGACCAATACTCTATCCTCATTCAGCTCTAATACTGGTCTGTGGCCTGGGGGTTGGGGACCCTTGAGCTATGTTGTCTCTAAGGGTGCTTGCAGGGCTAATATTCTGTGATTTGCTTAGTCTAATTTGAACTTTGTTGTATCAACTACAGTGTTTATTTTTGCTTCAGGGATGCCCTGAATGCTCATCATGGTCAAACGGCTTGCATTAATCATTCCATATTGTATACATATAACATAACATTACATTGTGTCCCGTAATTATATACAATGATGATTTGTCCATTAAAAATAACGTTCATTTAAAAAGTAGGCCAGGCGCGGTGGCTCACGCTTGAAATCCCAGCACTTTGGGAGGCCGAGGCAGGCGGCTCACAAGGTCAGGAGATGGGGACCATCCTGGCTAACACGGTGAAACCTCGTCTCTACTAAAAATACAAAAAATTAGCCAGGTGTGACGGCGTGTGCCCATAGTCCTGGCTACTCGGGAGGCTGAGGTAGGAGAATCGCTTGAACCTGGGAGGTAGAGGTTGCAGTGAGGCAAGATCATGCCACTGCACTCCAGCCTGGGCGACAGAGCAAAACTCAGTCTCAAAAAAAAAAAAAAAAAAAAAAAAGTGGAGTTCCCAAATACGAATTTCTTATAAAATGCTTATGTGGTTATTATTTTATGTCTCCTGCCTTTCTAGCCTCCAGCACTTCCTTGTCTTCCTCTGTCTCCACCGAAGGCCTTATTTCTTGACTTTTTTGAGAAGATAGAAGCGTTCATCTCCACCACCATGTGCATTAACCTGGGTGACTGTTCTCATGCAGCTGCTTTCTCTCCAGGTTCGCCGTCCAAAGCCAACGCCTCCACTGACCCCAGGATTTCCTCTCTGGAAGAAGCATCATCCATTTTCACTTTCTACTGAATCCTTTTCATCAACACACAAACCTGCTGTGATTGCTTCCACACAGCAAACCCTACCGTGATTGCCCCGGGTTCCTTCCCACTCCATGCTCCCTTCAAAACCCCTCAAAAACACAGTTTCTCTCCACCTTGTTTCTCTTCAACTCACTTCATTCAGGCTCTCTGCTAATTTCTATTGCTGCCGTAAAGAATTGTCACAAATTTAGAAGCCTGAACAACACAAATGTGTTCTTTTTGTAGTTCTGTCCATCAGAAGTCTGATACAGGTCTCACGGGCTTATAATCAGGTGTCAGCAGGGCTGTGTTTCTTCCCGGAGACCCCATCTGTTTCCCGCTCTTCCAGGCTGTTGGCAGAATTCCTTTCCTCCTGGTTGGAGGACCCAGGTCCCCATTGTCTTAGGTCAGCTCAGGACTGTTCCAGCATCTGAAGGCCACCAGGTTCCTTGATCCTGACTCCTTCCCTCATCTTCAAAGCCAGCAATGGTGGGTCACGTGCCTTCCATGCTTTGAATCCCCCTCCTTCTTCTGTCTCGTGTCTCTGACCCACTCTTCTGCCTATCTCTTCTGCTTCTAAGGACTCATGAGATTAGGTTGAGTCCCCTTTATTATCCAACATAATCCCCCCTTCTCAGGTCCTTGACATTAATGACATCTGCAAAGTCCCTTTAGCTGTGGAAGGTAAGATGTTTACAGGTTGCAGAGATTAGAACATGAGTATTTTAGGGAGACCATTATTTTGTCATACTTTCCCCATCACTGATAAAACAGCTCTCCTGAAAGTCACCCAGACCTGCTGCTAAATCCAGTGTTTTTTCCTGGATCTCATCTTTCTTGAACAATCAGCTGCATGGGTGCTGTTGATCATTCTCTCCTTTTTGATACACTTTTATCACATGGCTTCCAGGACATTGCACTCACCTGGTTCCTCCTAATGGTCTAGTTGTCCTTTTGTACCTCTTCCTACTGGTTCCTCTTCATCTTTTTGACCTTTAAACATAGGCCTGCCAGGCTTTTCTCTTCTCCACCTCTACTCATTCCTTAGGTGATCCCACATGACTTTAAAAACCCCAAACTCTGCCTCAAACCAGGGCTTCTCTCCTGAACTCCAGACACACATACCTGTCTGCCTGTGTGACATGTCCATTGGATGCTTACAGGATATTTAACCTTAGCATTAAATCAGCCTCACAAAAGTGTCCTCCTGTGCTCATCTTCATTTTAGCAAGTGGCTATTCCGTTTTATCAGAGTGGTGGGGGGAAGTGTGATAGTCAGAATAATGCCCCCGCAAAAGATGTCCATGTCTGAACCCCTGAAGCCTGTGAATACATCACCTTCCCACAGTGCAATCCAGCACTCCCTGGAGTCAGCTGGAAGCCCTTCCTTCTCTCTCACCTCATTATCCAACAATCTACCATCAATTTGGTCAGCACTACTTTCAGGTTCCTTCTAGAATGTGATGACAATTTTCACCCCTTTGCCTTATGACGGCTCCGATGCCTGGAGGAACACCAGGGTCCTTTGTCATGCCCCGATTAGATAAACGCCGTGGACACATGTGCCGTGGTTTCAAGGAGTGGAAAGTTTAATAGGCAAGAAAAAAGGAAAAACTTCCCCAGTACAGAGACAGAGAGGGGGTGATTGGAGCGGAGAGAAAAAAAAACCACGTAAACAGGGGAAAACAGTCGGTTATTTTAGGAGGCTTGAGGAGGTGGTGTCTGATTTGCACAGGGCTTAGGGTATTGGTTTAACCAGGTGTGTCATTCATGTAGCCCTCGAGAAAACTGGCCCTCCCACCCCAGTCTTTTAATATGCAAATGCAGGTTGCCATGATTCCTGCACACGTGGAGTTATCTGGAGGCAGCCATGATGCTTGGTGCACATGGTGACAAGGAGAAGAGGGTGGGAATTGCCATATTGGATGGACCCAGTTTCTAATCACCAGCATTTGCATTTCAAAGCTTGCTAGCCTGGCTCTTTAAGCCGCTTTTCTGTTAGAAAAGAAATGTTTCGGGAGCTGCTTTTATTAAAAGAAAAAACCCTTACCGAGGACTCCTTTTAACCCTCTCTATCTGCCTACAATTATTCTTATATCATTACTACTCTTTTTTTTTTTTCTGAGAAGAAGTCTCACTCTCTTGCCCAGCCTGGAGCACAGTGGTGCAATCTCTGCTCACCGCATCCTCCCAGGTTCAAGTGATTCTCCTGCCTTAGTCTCCTGAGTAGCTAAGACTACAGGCGCAAGCCACCATGCCTGGCTAATTTTTGTGTTTTTAGTAGAGACAGGGTTTCGCCGTGTTGGCCAGGGTGTTCTTGAACTCCTAACCTCAGGTGATCTGCCCTCCTCGGCCTCCCAAAGTGCTGGGATTACAGGAATCATACTACTTTTATCTAGACCACCATAGTCTCTGACCTGGATCCTTCTGATAATGTTTTAACTGGCTTTCCTGCCTCTATTGTTGTCCCTGTACAGTCTGTTCTCAGTTCAGACACCAGAATGTAAGTCAGATCCTTTGCTCCAAAACTTCTCCCATGGTTCCATCTCATGCAAAGTAAAAGCCAATGTCCTCACATGGGCCTGTGAGGCCTGGTACAATCTGGCCTCTGCTACTTCTCTGCTTCTCTATCCTCATTCAGCTTAGGCCACCTGCTCGAGCTGTGGTACCTGTACCAGCTGTGGCACAGTCCTGCCTCAGGGCCCTTGCACTTGTTACACACTTAGCCTGGAACCCTTTTCCTTCAATAGTGGCATATTTTGCTTCCTTCTTCCTTCAGGCCTCTGCTAGAGAGTCACTTCAGAGGGTCTCCTGACCTCCCACAATCTCCAAATCCCATAACCCTCTTACCCAGCTTTATTTTCCCTGTTTCTTATTTTTAAATAATCTTTTATTTTTATTATTTTTTTTAGAATGAAAGATCCTTGGTGCATGAGCTTCATGTGATGTGTTTGCTAGAATTGTTCTGTCACATAACAGATGCTAAATAAATGGTTCTTGAATAAATGAAAGAAGTGATTATTTCCAAAATTGCATCTTAATGGTGAAAAATGTAAATGGTACAGAAGAATGTGAAGTAGAATGTGTGGGAGGGAAAACTTTTCTATTTTTCAAAATGATCAACAGTTTATTTTCTATCCTTCTGAAAACTGTGGATGCTTAGATATCAAAATCCTTTTTCAGTTTCACATATAGGTATCATAGTTTACAGTCTTTTCTGCAACTTGATTCTTCCACTATGTTCATTATCTTGTGTATCTTTTGATGTCAAAAAACCTGAGAACTTTGAAAGCAAAATAAGGATTTTTAAATATGTAAGTGAAGGGATTCTGAAGTTTGTCTGTTTCACCCTAAATGCCCACTTGTTTATTTTTCTTTAACTTGATTGTGTGGGAAGTGAGTTATTAATTTTCGATAGTAACTGAGATTCCACTGCAAGATTTCCTTCCCTTTTGCAAGAGAAAACTCCTTGTTGAAATTAATACTTTTAAAAAGTCAAATGTTAGAGGCACTGACATGTTATCATCCCTTCACTGACTGACTTGTGAATTTAACAGCTGTGGCAGCTCCCTGGATTCGGGGAAGCTCAATGCCATGTGGACAGAGTTGCAGACATTTCAGATGATAAAATAGCTATTATAATGTGATAACATACAGTGCTTTTCTCCAAAACTCATAGTGTTTTTAATGAAGACTAGAGTTGTCTTGACTACTGCTGTCACTTAAGCAGAGGGCGGAGGAAATTGAGGGCTGATGGAGGCATCTTATCTGCTTGATAAGACATGTAGGCAAGACTTGTACCTTTCTCTGACATTCCCACAGCTTCTGTGAGTTTTGAGTGTTGACTGCTCAGCTCTGTCCCTAGCAGCTGTGTAGTCTTGGACAAGACACCTAACCTCCCTGATTGCCTTGTTTTGGAACCATTGCATGGACTAGAGGCAGCATAAGTACCCAGCACAGGGCGTGACACAGCAAATGTTTGTTGTTGTTATTATTATTGCTATCACTGTTCCTTGTCAAAACTGCTGATAACACTTTTTAAAAATTTTTTTGGGAAGGAGTCTCACTCACTCTGTTGCCCAGGCTGGAGTGCAGTGGTGTGATCTTGGCTCACTGCAACTCCGCCTCCTGGGTTCAAGCGATTCTCCTGCCTCAGCCTCCTGAGTAGCTTGGATTACAGGCATGTGCCACCACACCCAGCTAATTTTTGTATTTTTGGTAGACATGGAATTTCACCGTGTTGGCCAGGCTGGTCTTGAGCTCCTGACCTCGTGATCTGCCTGCTTTGGCCTCCCAAAGTGCTGGGATTACAGGCAGGAGCCACTACGCCTGGCCTATGATAACACATTCTTTAGCAATCTTTTCTCTGGTTTCTCCTTAAGCATGTCCTATAATCAAAGAGTCTGTAACTAAACCAAGTTCTCAAGGAAGAAATACACCCTGCTGATACATTTACCATTGTTTCTTAGGAAACTTTTCAGCAGTTTCGAACCAATAGAATTGAAACCACTTCTGGTTTACCTGTGACAAAATGCACTGACAGTGCTATGGATACTTAAGACGAATGCTGGTGATAGATTTGGTTAGTTCGAGTGCTAATGAGCCCTGGGTCACGGGGTCGGTCGCTTTTCATTTAGCATCAGTGTCACATTCTGCATCTTAATTCCTGTAGCTGTTGGGACAGGAGGGACCAGATAAGAATATATGGCTGGATCACTGCAAGCCATTTATTCAACAGATGTTGTTCATATAGTACAAGGTGTCAGGGATTAGGCAAGTAGTTGAGGGTACAAGTGTGAACCAGACCTAGTTCCTGACCGCAGAGGGTTTATAGCAGTTTAGTTGGAAGGTAGAAAACTAAAATGGAGTTGACCACAGGCAACTTAAACACGTAAAGTTCAAACCCTGTTCATGAATGGAAACGGTTTTGAAAATAGCCGATAGACTAGAAAGGAAAGTAGAGAAGGGAGGCAAGAAGGGAGGTACACCCACATATGGAATTCTCTAGACACACAGGGAGATGCGCTGACAGATCTATGCTTGTCACTGAAAGGCAGTTTAGGTGCCAGTGTAGAAGTGGGTCTGAAGGCCCACCTAGCTGAGTCAGGGAGAAGTCTCCAGGCATGCCCGCCTGCTTTTCATGTAAATAGGATTGATCTGTTTGAAGCAACTTGCTACTTCTTCAGTTTATGAATCCAGTCATCTCAGTTGAACAAAGGTCTGCACAACAGAGCAGCTGAGTGATCAGAGTTGATGGACATGGATTCCCTTTTTATGTGTTTGGTATTTTATTTAATCTTTTTTTCAGGTTTTAATTTTTAAGTTCGGGGGTGCATGTGCAGGTTTGTTACATAGGTAAACTTGTGTCACGGAGGTTTGTTGTATAGTTTATTTCATCGCCCAGGTATCAGCCTAGTGCCCATTAGTTATTTTTCTTTCCCGGATAGGGCGGGCTTGTCTCAGAGCTGGAAAGTGAGAGGACTTGGCTTGTCTCAGTTCTCCTGCCACAGTCCTGAGAAAAGTCAATCTCTGTGAGCCTTTTTCCTCCTCTCTGTACAGTGGGGGAAAGGAACAGTAGCCTCCTTCCAGGGTTCTCTGGGGATGAAACAAGATGATGTATGTGGAACACACTGTGATGTCTATTGTTGTTACAGACTCTGCTCTGGAAGGATGGCAAAAATGCAACAGGAGAAATAAGACCTTGGGTTAAAAGGCAGAATCAAAGTGAGAGCAGGTGTCCTCCTGATTTCATGCCCGGGTCTTCTCCTCTGTATCCAGGCTCTGCATACATTAAGGGCTGAGTCATTTACTTGCCTTTATAGCACTGGTTTCCAATAACATGGAGAACCTGGAACCACCCCCAGCTGGTGCACTCAGTGTTCATTTCCACTGCTCAAGCTGGATAGTCACTTCATCTCCTTGGAAGTCTTTTTCAAGTCAGATGAATGCTTTATAGTTTGGCCATAAGAAAACACTACATGGCACCACTTTATAATTTGTCTCCTTTGGTAACACCAGGTGGTGCTGGCAAACAAGTAATTCATCTGCAAGCTATCAGGTGAAAAATTTTCGTTTGCAGGCATTGTTGTATTCTCTCACCAAATCTTTTATTTTTTAATCTCATATAGTAAGATGCAATTGAAAGCATGTGCAAGTTTAGTAGTTACTCACAGAAATAGATTCAAGATGTGATTATTTAGCAATGTGTGTTTTAAATCCCAACTACATCAAATGGCCAACTCTTAGATTCAAAGGGGATTAATCTATTTAAAAGGATCCCGATCTATTTCACAGAAATATGTATATATATACTTATATATATATATTTATATATACATATTTATATATATATATATACACATATTTTTTAGATGGGGATAGATCTCTTCAAAAGTGTTGCCAAATACATTTTGGAAATGCAATGTATTATTTTTATACCTGGAGATTCTCTGTATATTATGATAAGAAAGCCTGAAAAATTCATCAGTAAAGAGAGCTGTTTAACCTTTTAAGGAGTTTTTAAACTTAGTTGATCATAGACTACCCCTTCCTTTTCCTCAACATGTGTTAACATTGATAAGGATAAGTGTGTTTTAGGATGTTGTATTCGAAATGTTAGGTAGGGACAGTAGCCTTCTGGTTTTTAATTTTGTGTGTGTTTCATGTCACTGTGAGGTCTCAGAAGTATTTCCAGGTGCCTGGGGGCTGGTTCTAGTGATGTTTCTACCCATGCAGATGTTACATCACGCTGGCTCAAGCTCTGGGAATGAGCATGGGAGGAGCCCCTGCTGGACCTGCAGGCACAGGCAAAACAGAAACCACTAAAGACATGGGACGATGCCTAGGGAAATACGTTGTGGTTTTCAATTGTTCAGACCAGATGGATTTCCGAGGACTTGGACGGATTTTTAAAGGTATGGGTTATATTTTTTAATTTGGTGAGAAATTTCAGCCAAGATGGAATATTTTGCTAAAATTTGTTTTCAACAATTGGCCACATTTTAGAATCATTTTCAACTTTGTAAAATTTTTTGGAAAATCTTCAATCCTGCCAGGTTGGGTGGACCAAATGTTACTATCTCCTGCCTTTTCTTGATGTTCCTTTATCACTGCAGCTTGGGTGTTTACAGGTAAAGTGCCAAATTGTGAGCTGCTTTGGGTCACTTGATGCATAGATCTGTTTGTTCCACTTTTCTTTTGAATGAACTTACATCTGGCTCATTTTGGCAGCTACATAATATCCTTTTTCTTGGTTTTCCAAAATTATATACTAATTGGATTTTTCATTTAATTTCCTTTTTAAGGACTGGCACAGTCTGGATCCTGGGGTTGTTTTGACGAATTTAACCGTATTGATCTACCAGTTCTCTCGGTTGCAGCCCAGCAAATTTCCATTATTCTGACATGTAAAAAGGAGCACAAAAAGTCTTTTATTTTTACTGATGGAGATAATGTGACTATGAACCCTGAATTTGGGCTTTTCTTAACCATGGTAAGGAGTGGCTAGAAAAGCTACTGATTTTCAGCCTTCTTATCACAATTTTCATGCATCTCCCTAGTCATATGTCATCTATTTATCTATTTTCCTGAATGGAAATTGGGATTGTAACTTTACCTCCTGTTGAAAACCCTTTGGTGTTAAGATCATATGAATAACTCATGATTTGGCCTGTCCAGGTAAAAGGAGAGTGAGATATGTAAATGAGTTCCCTGATTGTCATTCCAGACTTGTGTGTACATAGTGAATCTTTTAATATCATGCTGACTTGTGTTTGATTGCATCATTCATCCTTGGACTTTATTTTCTGTTTAGAATCCTGGCTATGCCGGACGGCAGGAACTCCCTGAAAACTTGAAGATTAATTTCCGCTCAGTGGCCATGATGGTGCCTGACCGTCAGATTATCATAAGGGTGAAGTTGGCTAGTTGTGGCTTCATTGACAATGTTGTTCTGGCCAGGAAGTTTTTCACGCTCTATAAACTGTGTGAGGAGCAGCTTTCTAAGCAGGTGTGTCAGCCTGGAGGTCTTATGCACTTAGGCATGTTTCATTTTTCTATTCAGCAGAATGTTCTCATTTTGAGAAATATTAGACTAGGCTTGTTGACAAAGGATTTTATTGATGCTAAGTAGAAAGGTATATTACTACAAAAATAATTTTATATGCATAGTTTTATTAAGAAATACATTAAATAAATTAATATTTACAGCATAGAAATGAAGTGAATATTATGTGCACTGGTTTAAGAACCAAAGATTTATGGATATTAACATTGGCTGTTTATACCACTTATAGATTCATTGTCATGTGTGTTATGTGTTTTCATTATTTGTAGGAACCTCTCAATGATTTATTCTTCCTAATTCAAAGCTCACTTGAGTATTTGACCAAGGTTTGCTGACTGTCTTGTTTATATGTTGCAACGTTCTTGCTAGTTTCCTCGACTGTTTAGGGTTGCAGGTTCAGGCATCATGAGGTTTCATAGTTAAAAGTCATGGAATTAAACATATACTTCTGCATTAGTTATCTATTGCTGCATAACAGTCATCTAACAATCATACCACAAACTTTGTGTCTTGTAACAATGTACATTTATTACTACATGGTGTCTGTGGGTCAGGAGTCCTGTGGTTTGTGTCTAACAAGGCTACAATCAAGGCATTGGCTGGGGCTGTGGTTTCATCTGATGCTCGAATGGGGACAATCTACTTCTGAGCTCACTCCGGGTGTTAGTGGAATTCTGTTGGTTGAGGGTGTAAGACTGAGGGCTTTGATTTCTTGCTGGCTGTTTTCTGGAGGCCACCTTTAGTTCCTACAGGCAGTGCATAGTTCCTTGCTATATGGGTTTCCCCAACATGACCACTTACTTTCTCAAAGTCAGCGAGGAAAGTGTTTTCAGCAAAACGAGTGCTACAGTCTAATGTGACCACATAATCACACACACATAATCATGTACAACCTGTTGTCTCTGCTGTATTCTATTAGTTAGAAGAAGCAAATCACAGGTCCTGCCTACTCTCAAGGTGATATCATGTAAGGATATAACCACCAGGAGGTGGGCATCATGCCACAATTTCTTAGTACATATCAGTGAAAATTACTAAAAATATATGCTAAATAATGACACAGTGCAGTAAACATAAGACTATAACATGAATAACACTTCCTAACATATATAACCTTTGTTCCATCTTATCACTTAGGCTTCTATTTCAAACTTCTTTGAATCTTTAATACTTTTTATACCCACAGGTTCAACCTAATTACATTCCTACTCAAAAGTTCTTTTCCTGTGAGTGTTCAGACACACACAGATTCTTCTGGCTGTGGCCATTGAGCCTTTCTGGTTAGTCTGACCCTAACATTTTGTCTTCAACATTCTTGGTTTCTTCTGCTTATTGGAGCCCTTACTCACTCATTCTTATTGTATTAGTCTGTTCTCATGCTGCCAATAAAGACATACCTGAGACTGGGTAATTTATAAAGGAAAGAGGTTTATTGAATCACACTTCAGTATGGCTGGGAAGGCCTCATGAAACTTACAATCATGGTGGAAGGGGAAGCAAACACATCCTCTTCACATGGTGGCAGGAAGGAGAAGTGCTGAGTGAAGAGGGGAAAAAGCCCCTTATAAAACCATCAGATCTCATGAGAACTCACTATAATGAGAGCAGCATGAGGGTAACTGCCCCCATGATTAAATTACCTTCCACTGAGATCCTCCAGTGACATGTGGGGATTATGGGAACTACAGTTCAGGATGAGATTTAGGTGGGAACAGCTAAATCATATCATTCTTCCCCTGGCCCCTTCAAGATCTCATGTCCTTACAATTCACGATACAGTCATGCCTTTCCAACAGTCTCCAAAAGTCTTAACTCATTCCAGCATTAACTCAAAAGTCTAAGTCCAAAGTCTCATCTGAGACAAGGCAAGTCCCTTCTACCTATAAGCCTGTAAAATCAAAAGCAAGTTAGTTCATTCCTAGATACAATGGGGGTACAGGCATTTGGTAAAAAATATACCTGTTCCAAATGGGAGAAATTGGCCGAAACAAAGAGGCTACAGGCTCCAACGCAAGTCCAAAATCCAATAAGGCAGTAATTAAACCTTAAATTTCCAAAATGATCTGCTTTGACTCCATGTCTCACATCCAGGTCATACTGATGCAAGAGGTGGGCTCCTAAAGTCTTGGGCAGCTCCACCTCTGTGGCTTTGCAGGGTACAGCCCTGCTCCTGGCTGCTTTCATGGCCTGATATTGAGTGTCTGTGGCTTTTCTAGGTGCACAGTACAAGCTGTCAGTAGAGCTACCATTCTGGCATCTGGAGGATGGTGGCTGCTTTCTCACAGCTCCACTAGGCAGTGTCCCAGTAGGGACTCTGTGTGGGGGCTCCAATCCCATGTTTCCCTTCTGCACTGCTCTAGCAGAGGTTCTCAATGAGGGCTCCACCCCTGCAGGAAACTTCTGCCTGGACACCTTGGTGTTTCCATACATCTTCTGAAATCTAGGCGGAGGTTCCCAAACCTCAATTTTTGTCTTCTGCACACCTGCAGGCCCAGCACCAAATGGAAGCTGCCAAAGCTTGGGGCTTGCACCCTCTCAAGCAATGGCTTGAGCTGTATGCTGGCTTCTTTTAGCCTCAGCTGGAGTGGCTGGGATGCAGTGCACCAAGTCCCATGCCTACACACTGCAGGGAGACCCTGAACCTGGCCCAGGAAACCATTTTTCCTCCTAGACCTCGGGGCCTGTGATGGGAAGGCGCTGCCATGAAAGTCTCTAACATGCTCTGGAGACATTTTCTCCATTGTCTTGGTGATTAACATTCAAATCCTCATTACTTATGCAAATTTATGCAACTGGCTTAATTTCTCCTCCAGAAAATGGGGTTTTCTTTTCCATTGCATCATCAGGCACAAATTTTCAAAACTTTTATGCTCTGCTTCCTCTTGAAAGCTTTACCATTTAGAAATTTCTTCCACCAGATACCCTAAATCATTTCTCTCAAGTTCAAAGTTTCACAGATCTCTGGGGCAGGGGCAAAATGCTGCCAGTCTCTTTATATAGTAACAGTGACCTTTACTCCTGTTCCCAACAGGTTCCCCATCTTTATCTGAGACCACCTCAGCCGGAAATCATTGTCCATATAACTCTCAGTGTTTTGCTCAAAGCCATTCAACAAATCTCTAGGAAGTTGAAAACATTTTCATATCTTCTTGTCTTCTGAGCCTTCCAAGTCTCTAGGAAGTCCCAAACTTTCCTACATTTTACTGTCTTCTTCTGAGCTATCCAAACTGTTCCAACCTCTGCCTGTTACCCAGTTCCAAAGTTGCTTCCACATTTTCAGGTATCTTGATAGTAGCACCCCACTCTATGTGGCACCAATTTAATAGTCTGTTCTCCTGTTGCTAATAAAGACATACCTGAGACTGGGTAGTTTATAAAGGAAAGAGGTTTAGTTGAATCACACTTCAGCATGGCTGGGAAGGCCTCAGGAAGCTTATAATTATGGCAGAAGGGGAAGCAAACATGTTCTTCTTCATGTGGCATCAGGAAGAAGTGCTGAGCAAAGAGGGGGAAAAGCCCCTTATAAAACCACCAGATCTTGTGAGAACTCACTTACTATTATGAGAACAGCATGATTCAATTACCTCCACCTCGTCCCTCCCACGACACATGGGGATTATGGGGACTACAATTCCAGGTGAGATTTGGGTGGGGACACAGTCAAACCATATCACTTATCTTTCAAATAAATATTTTTTCCATGCTATTTCTTGAATGGAAAAAACTTCCCACATCACTGGCTCCTGCTCTTTTCTTCACTACCACTTCACTACTTCCCTCACTCCTACCACCTATGTTCACAAGGTCATTGTGAAATGTAATAAATCAATGTGTGCAAAATAGTTGGACCCATACTGATCTCTTGGTGAACATTCTGTGACTTTCCCTTCATGCACACAGATTTAACTGAGTTCAACTCTGATAGGAAGTTTCTCATGATTAATTTTACTCACCAACACTTTTAAGTCATTGTTACTTTTATACAATTTTATTCACATTTCTATTTTATTATCTTTATTAGAATTTAAATTCCCTGAAGGTGGGAACTCAATTTGAATATTTTTATGTGCTCCATCTTCCAAATGACTAGTATTAAGTGAGGCATACTGCTCCCAATTACCTCAGCAGATAACTGTAGTTTTTTCCTATACACCTTTTTTATTGTGGTAAAAGCATATAAAATTAAATTTACTCTCTTAACCATTTTAAGTGTACATTTCAATAGTGTTAAGTATATTCACAATGTTGTGAAATAGATCTCTGTAAATTTTTCATCTTGAAAAACTGAAACTCTGTGCCCACTAAACAACAACTTCTCTTTTTCTCCTCCCTTAGCCCCTGGTAACCATCATTCTACTTTCTGTTTCTATGAATTTGACTATTGCCAAAAGTTCCTATAAATGAAATCATATAATATTTGATTTCTTGTGACTGGCATATTTTACTTAGCATAATGTCTTCAAGGTTCATTCATGTTTTAGCATGTGACAGGATGTCCTTTCCTTTTATGGCTAAATAATATTCTGTCATATGCGTATACCACATTTTGTTTATCCATTAATCTGTCAATGGACATTTGGGTTGCTTCCACCTCTTGACTATCATGAATGGTGCTGCTATGAACAGGGATATGCTGATATCTCTTTGAGACTGTGCTTTTATTTATTTATTTATTTGTTTATTTATTTATTTATTTGCGAGACAGAGTCTTGCTCTGCTGCCCAGGCTGGAGTGCAGGTGCAATCTCGGCTCACTGCAACCTCTGCTTCCTGGGTTTAAGTGATTCTCATGCCTCAGCCTCCTGAGTAGCTGGGATCACAGATGCACACCACCACGCTTGGTTAATTTTTGTAATTTTTTGGTAGAGATGGGGTTTCATCATCTTGGCCAGGCTGGTCTCGAACTCCTGGCCTTAAGTGATCTGCTCCACTTAGTCTCCCAAAATGCTGGTATTATGGGTGTGAGCCACTGTGCCTCTGGCCCATTCTTTCAATTCTTTTGGCTATATACCCAGAATTGGGAGTGCTGGATCCATATCGTTCTGTTTTTAATTTTTTGAGGAACCACCTTACTGTTTTCCACAATGATTGGATAATTAAATTTTGATTATTCATTTTATATATGGAAATTTGACATAATTGAGTTTTTATAAATATATAGTAAGGGAATGACAAAGCTGGGAGCTTGACTTTCTAATTTGTCCTTATCCTTCCTCCTCCAGGTAATCCTGAAGCGCAGCTGCTTTTTTCTCTCCGATTCTCCTGTCTTCTTACTTACCATGAAAAAGGCACATATATCTCTATGTATATGACAGTCATGAGTGCAGTCCCAGTTTAATTCTGGTTCTGAATTTTAACTTTAGAGAGATGAGCAAAATTCCTTATGTATGATTGATTAAGAATAAACCCAAAGGGATGTCTGTACTCCAAAAAGAAATTTATTCCTTTTTCCCTGTCAAGCTGTAGCAGCTAGTTCTGATCTAAGGGCTTAAACTAATGATGGCACATGGGAGGACTCTTTGGGATATTCCCTATTTGCCCAAAAAGTACATCTATATACAAATCTTCTACCCCATTGTGTGTATGCATTTTCTGAAGGGAAACCAGCGTTTATTCATTATTGTGAATATAATTTCTGTCAGATTCATGTGGCTTCTGCAAGTACTTTAATGTTGAAAATAAGCCCAATGTATCTCACATTATCTAGGTTCATTATGACTTTGGCCTGCGTAACATTCTGTCGGTTCTTCGGACCTTGGGAGCAGCAAAAAGAGCCAATCCTATGGATACGGAGTCCACGATTGTCATGCGTGTACTGCGGGACATGAATCTTTCTAAACTGGTAACACTCACAGATGGAAATGTTCCACCTACTTGAATATCAGTTCAACTAACTGCCCATATATGAGACTTCAAAATATTTATTTAAAAAGCTCATTTAAAATGCCTAATTGTCAGATAAAGTGCTGGAGAGCATCACTTTAAATTATACTTTTTCAGACTTTTTTTTGGGTAATGACTCCTATCCACTCTAAAATGTGCCTATTCCAGTAGAATTGAAATGGATTTAAAAAAATACACATGTTAAGATGCCAAATACCTTGAATCATTTTTGTGTTTTAGAACTCGGATCTCACCTTTGGAGACTGGTAGAGCCTGGTAGAAAATGATGTGTAAATTCTACAAGTGTGTGATAGTTTCACACTATTATTTCACAATAGAGACTGATAATCAATGCCCACTATCCGTGGATCTATGTAAAGGTTGACAAAACGATAGGTTTTTATTTTAAATTAAAAGTATACACCAAATTCCAATTCACAAACCTGCTATTAATTTCCAATTTGAAAATTCTTTTAAGTTTAAATTGGAAATTGTAGACTATATGGTATCCCCCAAAACTGACTATTTTATGGAAAGATTGTCACATAGACAGTATTGTCTTTCCTTCCATTTCTTTCCTTTCTCCCTGTTCTCCTCCTCTTTAATTTTTTTTTTTTAATTTATGGGAAAGATGAGGAAAATGTTACTTAACTTCAATAAAGGTGACACGTTATTTGTTAGTGGCCACATTGTAATAACCCGGACCGTGTTGGGCATTTCCAGTTTATCTGCATGTTGCTATGTTTGTGCCAGAATAATTGGTCTGATTTCCCATTCTTTTCTTTTTTAGATTGATGAGGATGAGCCCTTGTTTTTGAGTTTGATTGAAGATCTCTTTCCAAATATTCTTCTGGACAAGGCAGGTTACCCTGAACTGGAAGCAGCAATCAGTAGACAGGTAATATACTTCACAGGGCATCGAGGGCTGGTGTCTGTTTCATCTGAATTCAATGGGAATAAAGTGGGGCTGCTGTGGCTCCAACCTGTGCACTCTGAGCAGCAGAAATAACAACAGTGAGGCTAACACTGCTGTTTTAAGGGAGGCCAATGCACACCACGGGTCAAACTCCCCCTGCCCTGGGTCTCCTACCATTGCACAGCCACGTGTCAGCTAGTCATGTGTGAGTAGCCCTGTTATTGGTGGAAACCATTCCACACCAGATTCAGAAATGAAATGTGATTGGTCAGCAGGGTGTGGATGGGGCTCATCTGGCTGCCTCTCTGGAGCTTGGCTTAGCTTGGCTCCGCCCTGGTGTTTGCTGTGTTGCCTGATTGTTGGATTCCTGTCTCTGCATGTTATTTGCAGTGATCTCACGTGGCTTCTCTTTCCTCAGTACTTGTGGCTTCTTGCTCAGACTCTGGCGGTGGGATGCGGTGGGTAGGGTGGGGGAACCCACCACACTATGTATATCAGGATGTGTCTGGACTTCCCATGCTACTTGGTGCAGCTTCAACTTTTTATAGTCTTCCTGGGAATGGAAATTAATTATGTAAACCTTATGCCTCAATTTCTTTTTCTATGAAGAAGAGTTTGGAAAAAAATGTTTTATAGAAGTGGTGATTAGCTCATATTTATAAATTGCACTTCAATTCCCTGAAAATATTTGTAATAAAAATCAAATGTGACCAGGTCTGGTGGCTCATGCCTGTAATCCCTGCACGCTGGGAGGCCAAGGTGGATGGATCACTTGAGCCCAGGAGTTTGAGACCAGTCTGGGCAACATGGTGAAACCCTGTCTCTACCAAAAATCCAAAAAATTAGTCGGGCATGGTGGCGTGTGCCTATAGTCCCATCTACTCTGGATGCTGAGGTGGGAGGATCACTTGAGCCTAGGAAGCCGAGCTGCAGTGGGCAGTGCACTCCAGCCTGAGTGACAGAGGGAGACTCTGTCTCAAAAACAAACAAAACAAAACAAAACAAGGAAATCAAATGTAACAGTACTTAGTGTATATTTTGCTTTGAAAATGTGGTACGTAAATGTCTAAATTTCCTGATTAGGCAAGAGTGATATTTTGTCTGCAAGTGGTTTCTTCATTTTTTGGCTAAACTAATTTTAACACTACCTAAAAGCTAAGTATTGGGCCGGATGTGGTGGCTCATGCCGATAGTCCCAGTGCTTTGATAGGCCAATGTTGGGGGATTACTTGAAGCCAGCCTGAGAAACATAGTGAGACCTCGTCTCTACAAATAAATTAAAAAATTAGTCTGGTGCAGTGGTGCATGCCTATAGTCCCAACTACTCACGCAAATGAGGCAGGAGGATCACTTGAGCCTGGGACTTTGAGGCTGCAGTGAGCTGTGATCGCGCCACTGCACTCCAACATGGGGTGACAGAATGAGACTCTATCTCTAAAAAAAATCTAAAAATATAAAAAAGCTAAACATTAAGTAATTAATATGATGACTTACGTTAGTAATTTGCAGCATATAAAAATCTGAAGAGCAAATCGTAGCATAAAGTGATACATGATTATTATAAACAAGTATTTAAGTAAAATTGAAATCATTGTGTACTGTGAGTTCAAGCATAGCATGATGGTTAAGTGCATGGACTGTGGATTCGAACTTCTTGGGCTTAAACACGCATTCCATAGTTTCACAAGCTTAATCATCTTGGGCAAATTGCTTAGTCACTCTGCTTCAATTTCCTTATCTGTAAAATGAAGATGTTAATAGTATCCCTTCCATCATGTTATTATAAAGATTTCCATCATGTTATTATAAAGATTGATCTTAGAATAATATTTGGCACAGAGTAACTTCCATACATACATTGATAGATAGAAACTCTGCAGTGGACATATAAAGACAGCTTGAAATTTATATGGAATTTTAATCAACGTAGTATGCTATCCATTTTTCTAGTTAGAAGTATCACCTTTTAAATTAAACATTTAAAATACATTTTGCCATTTGAGTCTTTATTTTTAAGTTACTCCTCAGATGTTCATTCAATAGAATATTTATATAAATGTTTTCAATTCCCAAAGATAAATGCGGATATTTCTTATTAGTTTGGGATAACATCTTCACTACATTCAGCCAGATATTTGTCTATGTAAATATGTATTTTTCATGCAATGTATTTTTTATGGTAAAAATACAACATAAAATTTACATTTTATTCCTTTTTAAGAAGAATTAACGTTGTTGAGCAAGTATTATCACCACCATCCATCTTCAGAACCTTTTTTATCATCCCAAATTGAAACTGTGTACTCATTAAAAAGTAAATCTTCCTCCTTCCTCCCCATATCTGTGTGGGTGTTTTTTTTTTTTTTTTGGTAGCACAATGGTAAATTGAGATTGTCATTGATGTGTTTCTTTTTTTTTTTTTTTTTTTTTTTGAGAGGGAGTCTTGCTCTGTTGCCCAGGCTGGAGTGCAGTGGTGTGATCTTGGCTCACTGCAACCTCCGCCTCCTGGGTTCAAGCAGTTCTTCTGCCTCAGCCTCCTGAGTAGCTGGGATTACAGGCTCACACCACCATGCCAGGCTAATTTTTGTATTTTTTTTAGTTGAGATGGGGTTTCACCATGTTGGCCTGGCTGGTCTTGAACTCCTGACCTTGTGATCCACCCGCCTCGGCCTCCCAAAGTGCTGGGATTACAGCCATGAGCCACGGTGCCTGGCTGTCATTGTTGTGTTTCAATGTGGGGATTCTCTTATGTTTTCAGGTTGAAGAAGCTGGTTTAATCAACCATCCTCCTTGGAAACTGAAGGTCATCCAGCTATTCGAAACGCAGAAGGTGCGGCATGGGATGATGACCCTGGGGCCCAGTGGGGCTGGGAAGACCACCTGCATCCACACGTTGATGAGAGCCATGACAGGTATGGGGCAGCCAAGGTCAGTGCCTGGGGTGGCCCATTGAAATAGTGGTGACACATTTGAATGCCCACGAGGTATGCAAAGGCAGATACAATAATATATTTTTATAGGAGGAAATACTGCTTTATTAATTATTGGGAACATTTTAGAGATAACATATTACATTAATGGACCAGAGAGGAAAAAAAAAACATTTTTAGGTGACGTTATGCACTGCACTGTATGTTTTACATATGTTATGTAATTTGACTTTCACAATGATCTTGAGAGGTGGTTATTATTATCTGTGTTTTGTATGAAAATCAAGGCTCAAATTCAAGAATGTCCAAGGTCACGAAGATGGCAAGTAATGGGACTCAGAGTTAAGGTCAGGGCGTGCTTCAAAAAAGCCCAATTTTCCCAACATACCATGCCATTTCCCGGTAAATACAAAATACAGTACACTCTCTCCCAATAAATAGAAAATAATTCCAAACCCAACTCTTATGTTCTTATGTTCTATGTGCCGAAGTCATCCCAATCCCAATCATAAATTACCTTCCCATTTGGAATCAGATTTGTTTTAGTGAAGTTAAATAAATGCATTTCATTTCCAGATGTCCCTAAGCCTTACATCTAAAGTCATCTAAGGATAATGGACATTACCATGTTCATGATTATTCTTGTATTCTCTAGTTCCGATCAGACATTGATGACTCTCTTTCTGAAAACACTGGCATCCCGTAGACATTCCAAAATGTCACAGAGCCTTGGCTGTTGGAATGCAAAATACATAGCAGTGCATTGAGATTCCAGGAGCTGCCTGAAAGCCCACCCAACAAAGAGGTACCTGGGTGGGCTTTCAGGCAGTTCCTGGAACCTCAGTGCACTGCTACTGATGCAACACTGGTACATTGTTGGTGGTTGCTGAGGATTGCCAGTATTTACTGTGGGCCCCTGTACGTGTTGGATTTGGTCTTTGTTTCCTCAGTTATTGAAGGAAGTGAATTCTGTCTCTCAGGACTCTACCAGGCAGTCCTTAGACTGAGATACAGTGTGTTCTCAGCTAACACCTACCTCTACCAAAACTGACCACTCCAACCTGCAGGACTTATCACGTGGTCTTTCATGTATGCTATTAAGATTCTGTTTTGGGATTTTTATGTTTTTAAATGATTGTGTTCTTTCTCTCAGATTTTTCTCAGTAATATTTTTGTTGCAGTTACGAAGCTGCCTTTTGTTAACAATAAACTATAAATGCACATGATACAATGACTTGAACAAAAGGAGCACTAAATATTAAACAATATAGATACATTATGTATGGTATGTCTAAATTATGTAATCTGTATGGCATCACTGATTCTGGAGAAGTTCCTTGCAAAGATGAATTAATCATTGGACTATTTGCTGTTTAACTTGGTTTCGGTTTTAGTAGTAGAGGAGACATTCATCTTACTTAAGGAACACGTTGTTTCTAACTGAAAATGTTAATACTCCAAAAGAGTGAGAAGATAATTGAACTTCTGCTGAAGAAGTGCAAGGCCGATGCTTATTATTTGTTCCCTGATTTAGCATATATCTCATCATGTGTCTTTAACATTCCATAATTTGAAGATCTGTTGGGTTCTATATTAGAAGCAGGGCATAAACATAGAGATAATTATAACTCAATGGGGAATTGCTATAAGGAAGGTGTGGACAAGTATCCTGTGAGTAGAGGCCAAGGAGATCAGAAAATCCTCTAAGGAATTATAGAAAGGCATACAGACCAGGTGCTACTTCATCCTAGGCTTGAAGGTTGAGTACCAGATTGATAAAAAATGTTTCCAGCAGAAAAAAGAGCCTGTGCCAGTAGGAGGGATTGGAGAGAAAATGATATACCCACGGAAGTGCTTTGGCACTTCCACCACGCCCGGCTAATTTTTGTATTTTTAGTAGAGATGGGGTTTCACCATGTTGGCTAGGCTGGTCTCGAACTCCCGACCTTGTGATCTGCCTGCCTCGGCCCCCCAAAGTGCTGGGATTACAGGCGTGAGCCACAGCACCCAGCCCATTTTTATAATTTTGTACTTTAAACCTTATGATTCACTCTTCTGCTCATTAACCACAGTCCCTTATGCACAGAAGGCCAGCCCATTGAAGAGTAGTCGGCTTAGGGTTTGAAAGATTTGGATACATTTCTTCTTGAAAACATTTCCTGGCCACAAAAGAAAGTCCTTGATTCATGCAAATTTCATTTAACTTATCGTTTTCAAGGTGAGCAAGAAAACATATCACAAATCAAAGCTGATAACGGACAGAATGAGGCAGGTTCTAGGTGGTATTTCAGGCACAAGATTTAATCTAGTGTAGCTTAAACCACGGATTTTTTTTTGAGCCATGGAATTAGAGAGCTTCCAGATTATGTTAGTACCTTCATAAATTCCAGCATGGTATCCTTTTTCGCCCCTAAACAATATGCAATTTTCTCTAAAGAAGATAAAAAAGTGCTTTAGTCAATATGATATAATGAAGCTAATTACGGTAACTTAGAATGCAGTAAGACATATTTTCAATGTAGTTCTGCAGTTTTCATATTTTGAGCACCTGCTGACAGTACACCACAAATTAGTGCAATGTTGCTTAATGATGGTTCACTTCCCATCTGAGATGTCTAAAATTTGGATTTACTTGGTATAGATTGTGGAAAACCACACCGGGAAATGAGGATGAATCCCAAAGCGATTACTGCCCCACAGATGTTTGGTCGGCTGGACGTTGCCACAAATGACTGGACTGATGGGATATTTTCTACGCTTTGGAGGAAAACATTAAGAGCAAAGAAAGGTAGAAGATAAATTACAAGGATTATTTTAGATATATACTTCTAGATAAAATCCTTGGAGGCTATACAGAATTAGTAGAACAACTGTATTCACCGTATAATATCTTAGCCAAGACTAAGAAGTCATAAATCAGTATGATATTTGTGAATGTTGAAATAATGAAATTATTGATTACAGTATTTAAAATGCTCCCTTTTTTGAAATAATATTTTCTAAAAAAAAGTCCACATCCCTGTGATGTCTTAGAATAAAATAGATGGAAAAAGCTGTTAAGGAAAATTGATAGTATTGAATAAAGTGATTTTACCATAACTATTTTCACTGAATATTTTACCAGTGTTACTCTCATTTAAGTACAACCTATTTTTAAAGAATTGATTTCTCTATAAAGTCACAGGGAAAATGGGTTATTTGGGAGAGAAAATTGTGTATAGCAAAAATGAAGTCTCCATTGAACTAATAAATTATTCTGTGTAGATGGACATTGGTGTTCAGTTGTTGAAACAAACTCATTAAGGGCTAGCAGTTCAGTCTGAATAGTCCTTCACTTATGGACTTTGTAAATTGAACCCAATGTTCTCAGAATATAAACTAGGAGGGAAGAGGTGATATCAGATGTCTTCTCATTTGATTTCCTCACTGCTGAGTGAGTAGGCAAAAGGCACAGTGAATACAACTGCAGAGAGAAAGAAGCAGGGGAAGGAGGAGATATTTGGGCTTCCTGGGTTTACCCTTTGGGCAACAGTGTCCTTCTGAAAAATGTTTAAAGTAGTACCATTGAAGTTCTCATTTAAGGATTGTAGCTGATAATGCTAATACTAATTGTCCAAAGATCAATGAAAATGCTTCATTTAAAAAATGTGCTCATATTAGAAATTGTTTTTCTTCTACTAGAAATAAATCAAATTTTATTTCTGATTTGTTCCAGTAATCCATTGTAAACACAGACCCAGTGACCAAATGTGACTTAAAAGAACAAGAGCTCAGAGGAGTTTTTTTTCCCCCCCTTCTTTCCACATTAAAAAAAGGCAACATATGCTTTTTCTTTCAAAGTGACTCTGGTGATTAGATCACCATTTTATTTTACTTGAATTGCTAGTTGAATAAACTTGATTAGGATTTTCAAAGCATTTTATTTGAAATAGACAATTCCACAGTTGTTACATAACAAAGAAAATGTAGAAACACAAGACAGGTCGTGGTGTTGGTGAGTAAGAGAAGGTAGTAGTTGAGAAAGTAAGAGGAATGCTACTGTTAAATCAGAAACCTAAATTTACAATGACATTCTTGCCGAGCATTCTGCCGATGTTTGTCATTTTCTCTACCTCCGAGTATCTCCTTGTGTGACTGCTGTCAGGTTTTGTGCCCAGCGCTCCTCTGAAATTGCGGTATCAAAGACACCCCTGACCTCCAGCTTGTCAAATACAAATTGCCAGTTCTCAGTCTGGTACTGCCCTCAGTAGCATTTGGCACAGTCGATCGCCTGCCTTCTTGAATCCCTTCCTTCCCTGGGCTGCAGGGATTCCTCATCCTGATAGCTCTTTTTCCACTTCTGCTTCCTTGCGAAGTCTGGAAGAAAGGGGAACAAACACAGGAGACCGTGCCAGAAGCCTAAGGGTTACAGAGCCTCTGTCTTCAGCCCTCTTCTCTCTCTACACTTATCAAGAAGAAACTTACCCAGGCCCATAGCTTTAAATCCCATCTCTAAACTGGTGGCGTTCACAGTTTAATCTCCAGCCCTGACCTCTCTCCTGAATTCCCAACTCGACAACTCTATGAGGATCTCTACTGGATGCCTTAGACTTAGGTGCAAACCAGAATGGGTTCCATAGCTCTGTCTTTCCCACTGCCCTCATGTACCTCTCCCCCTCCTCCTCTTTTTGCCATTCAGGTTCTACTTCTTATTGTTCCTAGAATGTGATCACCTTAGTTTGGGATGCTAGAGACTGGGTGGCTTATGAATAATAGACATTCACTTCTCATAGTTCCAGAGGCTGGAAGTCTGAGATCAGGGAGCCAGCGTGGTCGGGTTCTGGCGAAGGCTTTCTTCATGGTTGCAGTCTGCCGATTTCTTGCTGTACCCCATGTTGCAGAAGGGCAAGGGGGTTCTCTGAGGTCTCTTTATAAGGACACTAATCTCGTTCATGAGGATATTTTGGGGGAACACAAACATTCAGTCCATTGTATTACACTAAGCCTGTACCTGCTTCAGGGGCTTAGCACTTTCTGTTCTTGCTGTCTGGAATATTCTACCTCTAGATCTTTACATCACTTCATTCTCTTCCTGGAATATCTTATTGACCACCTTATCTAAAACATGCCCCATGCCCTCATTCTACTTAATTTTTCGTATGTTAAACTTTTCTTTATTTGTTTGCTTGTCATCTCTACTCCTTAGAATGTAAGCTCTGCAAAAGCAGAATATTGTCTCACTTACCGCAATATCCCCAGCCCCTAGAACAGTGACATGTGCAAGGTGCTCAATGAATATTTGTCCAATAAACAAATGACTTTTTGATTTAATTATGGGCCTTGACTGCGATATAAAGATCTTTGAAGATCCTTTGTGATAAAACAAGGTACTCATTTAGAGCAAAACTGTATTTAAAAATTAATGAAAATTACATCGAATATAGTACTTCTTCAAACTCTTTAAAACTTATGTGTACATGTGCTGCATGTGTGTATGTATTTTTTTTTTCTCCCTTTGGTGGGGTATTCTAGGGGAACATATCTGGATAATTCTTGATGGTCCAGTAGATGCCATCTGGATTGAAAATCTGAATTCTGTTTTGGATGATAACAAAACTCTAACCCTTGCCAATGGTGATCGGATTCCCATGGCTCCAAACTGCAAGATCGTTTTCGAGCCTCATAACATTGACAATGCTTCTCCTGCCACCGTCTCAAGAAATGGAATGGTTTTCATGAGCTCTTCTATCCTTGATTGGAGTCCTATTCTTGAGGTATAATTGAATCCTTCTTTTGTATAATTAAAAAGGAAAACAGACCCGTTAGCATTCTTTTAGTGTGTGTGCCAATTTTTCTGCAGATGGCAGTGTAATTGCATTTTTATGCTAATGTTTATGGAAGATCCCTTGAATGCACTGGGACATTCAAACGCTGATTGCTCCTAACATGTTTCTTCATTACTCTTCTAATCACTTTTGAACTGGGATTTCCAGCCTCTGGGTTGTAGAGTAATTGCCAGGCCTGTATGAACCAACGGTCTTGCCAAACTGTGTCTGAGGATGGAATAAGTAAAATTTAATTGGATCACTTTGGGGATTCATGATATTTTTGTTTTATTTATTTATTTATTTATTATTATACTTTAAATCAAAACCACAATGAGATACCATCTCACACCAGTTAGAATGGTGATCATTAAAAAGTCAGGAAACAACAGGTGCTGGAGAGGATGTGGAGAAATAGGAACACTTTTACACTGTTGGTGGGATTGTAAACTAGTTCAACCATTATGGAAAACAGTATGGCGATTCCTCAAGGATCTAGAACTAGATGTACCATATGACCCAGCCATCCCATTACTGGGGATATATTCATGATATTTTTGAAAGGTACACACTCACATAAAGTTTAGGAGGACCATCTTAGAACATTAACTTGAAGTCAGTTTGTTAAAATTGCATAAAAGGAATTTTTATGAGATTCATTAGTTATAACATTAGCTCTAAATTTGAACTTGGCAATAATATTTCAGATCACATCTCATCAATTCATAATCAGGTATATTATTTTATTACCAGCAATATGCCCTAGAATATATTGATCAGAATGATATTATAAATAAGGCCTTGCAAACTTAGATATTTTGCTATATAAATATTATAATGTAAAGCAGAATGTTTATTAGATAAGCCACATGAAAAATCTTGTTTTACATAGTTGGTTGTATTATTTTCATCACCTAAGGTTTTTGAAGATGATTTTGATTGAAAACATTTGAATTCCTAATTTAAATAAAGTAGATGTTTATTTTACATTATATCATTACATCTTAAAACTTTTATTTCTATATGGTTATATCCTAACGTTTTACTAATGTCTTTCCATAATTTACTCAACTCTGTTGCAAAAGGCTTTAGATTTGGTATGAAGCTGTGAAGAAGAAGGGAATCATACAGCAAAATGATGTTGACATATAGTTGAATGTGTCACTAAAAATAGTTGTAAAGGTTTCAGATTTCACAATTAACTTATCCATCCATTAAGGAGAATAAAAGCAGAGGGTTGCAACCCTGTCTTTGCAAAAGTAATCACTAATGACAATTCTTTAAAATACAGATGATTGGGTTACACTTCAATCTTACCAAATTAGAATCTCTGGGAGGCAACTCAGGATTGTTCTCTTTTTTTTTTTTCTTTTAAGTGCCACAACATTTTTTTTTCCCCACATAGCCAGGCTTGGAAACCACAGTTACAGCAAAGTACAAGTGAAAATGTATATATGTGATTTTTCCGAAATAGTTCGATTTCGAAAAGATTTTTGAAAAATACTTTTATACAACTAGCTAAGGAATACTAGCTAATGCATGAGTTTGATATTTATAAAATAAGCTTTTGCTATAGTCTGTCCATACTGACTGAATAAGCCCTTTACGTTAATGCTACACCCACCTCATAATATCCTATATGTTTTAAATAATGCATTTTCTTTTTTGGGAATTGTTAGGAAGAGCAAGACTCATGAAGAATCAGATTGGAAATGTTTAGAGCAGGAAAGCCAGCTCTGAGAGTTGTTAGAGGGCAGAGCAATCGAAAAGTTGTGTTGCTGGCAGGCTGTTAGCTTCAGGGAGCCAAGCTGGTTACCTGCCCTGGTGAATGTCATCTTTCGGTTCCATCAACTCAAAAGTAATGTGTTGTGTTCTTGTCGAGGTAGAATCATGGTAAATTCATGAACTAATGAATAATTCAAAATCAACATTTTATTGCCTCTGTTCAGAGTCTCTAATTGTTTCTTGAAATATTGAGGTGAAGAATGAGCTGATCTCTTGACCTTAAGAGAACTTGCCTCATCGTAAGGAAACAATGTGTGTTAAGTGGTATGTTGTTCTGAATGAGGTGCAGATTCTTAATACCAGGTTTCCCAAATGACTAAATTCTCCATTTTCATGAATATCCTTGATATTTTTCTACATCGTTTATTAATTAAATTAGAAGAAATAAAAAGAAACAACTAATTGTAGTACATCTTTGTTTTCTATTAAAAAAAATCTGGGGGCCAGGCACAGTGGCTCATGCCTGTAATCCCAGCACTTTGGGAGGCCAATGCAGGCAGATTGCTTGAGGCAAGGAGTTTGAGACTAGCCTGGGCAATATGGCAAAACCCTGTCTCGACAAAAATTACAAAAATTAGCTGGGTGTAGTGGCATGCACCTGTGGTCCCAGCTACTTGGGGGGCTGAGGCTAGAGGATCACCTGAGCCTGGGAGGCGGAGGTTGTAGTGAACCGAGATCATGCCACTGTACTCCAGCCTGAGTGATAGAGTAAGATCCTATCTCAAAAAAGGAAAAAAAATCTGGGTATGTATTTCCTTTGTTCATCTTTTATTCTTTACTTTCCCCGCTGAGTTATTTCCATAGATGTGCCTTGTCATTTTCTCCCAGCATATTTTAATCAAGAATTGAAGACTATTTCTCCATCTATGAGCATATGAATAGTGTAGTAGCTGAACATGTGGGCCCAGCCTTTCTGGGTCTGACTTCTGCCCTTGCCACCTGCTTGCAGTGGGCTCCTGAGCAGGCTATCTACACTTCCTGGGCCTCTGGTTCCTCATGTGTAAAAGGAGGATAATAACAGTTCTTACCTTGTAGGGTTGTTTTGAAGATTAAATGAATTAATACGCAGAGGAGTTTGTAACAAAGCCTGGAACATCGTGTGTGGTATAATCATTAAACATTATCGTTACTAACAGATACTTTTAAAATTTTTGTCCCCAAATGACCATTTTCCTAGTGTGCTAGTAAGTTTCATGAATACACTTATCTGTGAACTGACAGGGTTTTCTTAAGAAACGCTCGCCTCAAGAAGCAGAAATTCTTCGTCAGCTGTACACCGAGTCTTTCCCGGACTTGTATCGCTTCTGTGTCCAGAACTTAGAATTCAAGATGGAGGTGCTGGAGGCCTTTGTCATCACGCAGAGCATTAACATGCTCCAAGGCCTGATTCCTCTCAAGGTAAATTGCTCAGCTTTCTAGAGAAATTCTCTCTTATCAACTTAGCCACGCTGCGCAGAGAGTACTGTGTTTTCTTTTTTATTGATGTAGCCATGCTGCGCAGAGAGTACTGTATTTTCTCTTTTATTAACGTAGCCATGCTGTGCAGAGAGTACTATGTTTGAAACTAGATTTGGTTAGAGCTCTTGGGGAGGGGGAATATTTCAAACATGGATCCCACATATTTTGGTATTTTTTCATATCCCTTTAACAAAAAATAAAGCTAACCATGGATTTGGAATTTAGTTGCAGGTTAACAAAGTCATGCAACAGGTATCCCAAAATTATTATTGTGTGTGTTGTAATTTTTGATTTTTGTGGGTGCATAGTAGGTATGTATATTTATGGGTTGCATGAGATGTTTTGATACCGGTAAGCAATGTGTAATAACTACATCAAGGTGAATGGGGTATCTGTCACCTCATTCTTCATTTTCTTTGTGTTATGAACATTACAATTGTACTCCCTCAGTTACTCTAAAGTGCGCAACGAATTATTGCTGACTGCAGTCAAGTCACTCTGTATTTTTGTACCCATTAATCATCCCCACTTCCTCCCCACTCCCTACTCCCCTTCCTAGCCTCTGGTAACCATCCTTCTACTCTATCTCCATGACTTCAATTGTTTTAATTTTTAGCTCCCACAAATGCTTGAGAATATACCAAGTTTGTCTTTCTGTGCCTGGCTTATTTCACTTAACATGATAACCTCCAGTTCCATTCATGTTGTTCAAATGACAGGCTCTCATTCTTTTTTTATGGCTGAATAGTACTCCCTTGTGTATATGTAGCACTTTTCTTTATCCATTCATCTGTTGATGGACACTTAGGTTGTCTCCAACTTGGCTGTGGTGAACAGTGCTGCGATAAACTCTGTTTTTTTAAAAAATTTATTTTTATTTTATTATTATTATTATTATCATTATTGATTTATTGATTGATTTATTTATTTTTTGGAGACAGAGTCTTGCTCTGTTGCCCAGGCTGGAGTGCAGTGGCGGGATCTCCGCTCACTGCAAGCTCCGCCTCCCGGGTTCAGGTCATTCTCCTGCCTCAGCCTCCCGAGTAGCTGGGACTACAGGCGCCCACCACCTCGCCTGGCTAGTTTTTTGTATTTTTAGTAGAGACGGGGTTTCACCGTGTTAGCCAGGATGGTCTCGATCTCCTGACCTCGTGATCCGCCCACCTCGGCCTCCCAAAGTGCTGGGATTACAGGCTTGAGCCATCGCGACCGGCCAACCCTGTTACTTTTAAAGGCAGTTTGGTATTTCCAGAGATCAGTTCTTCATTTGTTCTCCAGTTTTATTCATCCTTTCCCTTGTTCTTGGAGGAAAACTAGTGTTTTGTTTCTATGTTTACTGTTTTCATTGAAACCCTAGAGCAATGTTTGGGTTTGAGAATCAAGTAATTAAAAAAAAAGTGTCTTTCCTTCTCAGGAGCAAGGCGGGGAGGTGAGCCGGGCGCACCTGGGGCGGCTGTTCGTGTTCGCGCTGCTGTGGAGCGCGGGGGCAGCGCTGGAGCTGGACGGCCGGCGCCGCCTGGAGCTCTGGCTGCGCGCGCGGCCCGCGGGGACGCTGGAGCTGCCGCCGCCCGCGGGCCCCGGGGACACCGCCTTCGACTACTACGTGGCGCCCGACGGTGAGGACACCTGCCTGTCCAGACGGAACCCATGGGGGCCTTTCTTCCCTACATGGCCAATATTTACACACTGTATATATTTTTTCTAAATGAGATGTATCATTCTTGGCTGTAAGATATGAAAATGTTCGTGTGTGAAGAAAGTGGCAGTGGTTTCTGTTTAAAAAATCTGTTTTTCAAATGCACGTTTTCTTCCTTTTAAATATATTGTGCGCTAAACTTTCAATGAATTAAGAAACATTTAAAAAACCAAATCAGATCCATTTCTGTCGTTCATTCAATAGAATCAGCAATTTATATAAAAGTTACACAGTTTAAAGTATATTTTTGCCAAATACGTGGGTATATAGATACCCACAGCTGTATATCTTTATCTCTGTATGGATATATACTTTAAAGTTATTGGTGTGTGTATAAATATATAAAGTACATTTATACAAAAAATGAAGTACATATATATGGGTATATAATAATGTATTAAATATTTAATATACATATGCATACGCCTAGACTCTTTTGCCTAATGAAAAGTGTGTGAGATTAGTCTAAAGTGATTAATGATTTTAGATACACACTACTTTCACTGTGTTCTGTATTTTTATACATCATGCTATTGAAAACTAATATATTTTTTTAAAAATTCCAAAATACTTCCTAGTATTTCCTAGGTTTACACCTTGAAATTGTTCCTTGGGACATTTTGACTCAGCTAACACACACTTGTGTACTTAGATCGCTCATTTTAATGATCTTTATTTTATGGGGAGAATTTGGAAGGTGACCTCATAAGATTTCAAGGATGTCTGCTCATTACAGTTCGGACTTGAATTATTACTATGGAGATGGAAATGTCTTCTGTTCATCTCAGGTACATGGACGCACTGGAACACACGTACCGCGGAATACCTGTATCCGTCTGATACCACCCCAGAGTATGGCTCTATTCTGGTGCCAAATGTTGACAATGTGAGGACTGATTTTCTAATTCAAACCATGGCTAAACAGGGCAAGGTATGACTTTTAATTTTTATGAACAGTAGCATATTTTAAAGGAAGACATGAAACATCCTGCATTTATTATAAAATGTTTTATGTTGCAGTTTTGAATCCATGAAAATGTTACCTTATCTACTATTCTTTTATTATTCCCCACTAAAATATGAGTTGAATAGTTCTAATTCATAAGTAAGTAATTATTTCTTATGTATGAGTTGACAGTAAATTTTGACTTGCTTTTCCCCAAAGGATTCCTTCTGCTTTGATCACTGAGCTAGTTTGCTAGGGCTGCTGTAACAAAATACCACAGCCTAGGTGGCCTAAACAACAGCAGTTTCTTTTCTCCCTGTTCTGGAAGCTGAAAGTCCAGGATGAAGGTGTTGGCAGGCTTGCGTTCTTCGGTCTCTCTCCTTGACTCGTAAATGTCTGCCTTCTCACTGTGTCTTCTCATGGTGTTTCTTTGTGTATACAAATTTCCTCCTCTTTTTTTTTTTTTTGAGATGGAGTCTCTGTCACCCAGGCTAGAGTGCAATGGTATAATCTCGGCTCACTGCTACCTCTGCCTCTTGGGTTCAAGTGATTCTTCTGCCTCAGCCTCCCGAGTAGCTGGGATTATAGGTGCCCACCACCATACCTGGCTAATTTGTGTATTTTTAGTACAGACGGGATTTCACCATGTTGGCCAGGCTGGTCTCGAACTTCTGACCTCAGATGATCTGCCTGCCTCAGCCTCCCAAAGTGCTGGGATTACAGGTGTGAGCCACCATGCCTGGCCACAAATTTCCTCTTCTTATAAGGACACCAGTTAGAGTGGGCTAGGGCTCACTCCAACAGCTTTATTTTACCTTAGTCACCTCTTTAAAGACCTTATTTCCAAATAGAATCACATTTTAAGATACTAGGGGTTGAGGATTCAGCATATGAATTTTGGGGGGACAAATTCAGTCCATCACACTCATTTATTTCATTTGTTGTTTTTTCTTTTTCAATTCCCACTATTTTAGGCTGTACTATTAATTGGTGAACAAGGAACAGCCAAAACAGTCATAATTAAAGGATTTATGTCCAGATATGATCCTGAATGTCACATGATCAAGAGTCTGAATTTTTCCTCTGCAACCACCCCACTGATGTTCCAGGTACTGGCTCTTTGGTATGGCTCAGTAAGCCCAAGTTTGTGATAGACTTTGGAGGCCCAAATCTCTACTATTGTGCTTAATCTGAAATTCATCTGAACTTTCATAGCCATGATAAATCACCCACTTACATTTTTCATTCTTTCAGTTATTTAACTGCAATAGTTTCCCTAGTTAGATTATAACATCTTAAATTATGGAAGCATTAAAAGGTTATATAACGTGCTGTAGGCCTCAATGCGGTTTAAAATATCTATGTAGAAAATATTGTGAACATGCACAATCCAAAATTGAAAGAAAATCATTTATTCCCCACCTAAACCTACTTCCTCTCCCTAGAGTCTGCTTGCCTGAAGGTGTTCCTAATAGTCTTTGAGGTTAGGCACTTTGCAATCATCTTTAATGCATCCATCTTGCTCAGGTCTCAAAGGCTGTTACAGTACCAAAAGAAATACATTTCACATCTGTTTCCTTATCTTCATGCTCCTTGTTTACCTCTAGGTAATCCACTTCTGCATGATTGCATACCAGGGTATTGGCATGGAAGAATCCGCAGCTATGATTGGTTCAAGCTGAATTCTCTTTCAGTCTAGCTATTATACCTTCCAATCCCCATTTCCTAAAATGCCACTTTAATCTTGTTGTTCCATGACTTAACATTCCACCCTGGCTCCCATCCTCAGTTGCAACAAAGTATAAAATCTTAGCCCCTTAGATACGAAATATTTTACTCTATGTATCACAGAAGTGTGAGAGAAAGAAAAACCCCTCAAGTTTGCATTGTTTATTTTTTTTCCCAATGAAACCACCAGGAATGACCTAGGTTTGCAGTGGCTTAAATGGTTCTTTTTCTCCTGGTCCTAAATTGTACAAGACCTTATTGAAACTGAGGAGGAAATCCTAAATGTCAGTACATGCTTCAGTGATTTGCAAATGATTTCTCATATTTTTATTAGGACATTCATATATTACCAGATACATGTCATGAATTGCAAATGGAAGGGAAGTTTTTAGCGAACACAAATCCAAAGAACTCTGCTTTTAATGAACTTTGTTGTTCTTTAGTTGTTGGAATGAGAATATCACAACAATGAAACTTGTTGAAGGCATGGTTAAATCACAACATTTTATCACTTAATTCAATTGGTGACAGTGGAGTGCCAATACACTAAGGCCACTGATTAAACTTCTAAATAAGACTGTCAACTTCATTATACTCTTCTGGAGGAGACGAGATTTTCAGTATGGGCTGTCCTTCTGTCAAATAAATACCATTCATGTAGTGTCTGGGTGGGCAGATCTGGATGGAGGTCAACCCCAAATTGCAGTGACTCAGCAATGGCATTTTTGTGTTTGGGAAATGACACATAAATTACCCTAGGTTGGCAAGATGCTAACATTGTATGTTTTCCTTTAATACCGCTTTACGATTAAAGAGCTTTCGTTAGTTTTACCTTAGGAGGACATTCTCTTTAAAGGTTATAATTATAACGTTATTGGAGGGTAAAGGTTTTTTAAAAATCAGATCAGAGTGTGATATTTTTTCATTATGTGGGGTGATTTTCTAATGATCCACACTTTATGAGACTGTATTAACTCTTTAGGCCTACAATGTAATTCTGACGGTAACTACGGCAGAGCTAACGCAGATTTCAGAAGTTAAGGGCCAAGTCCCACAAGACTGCGCTCACTCAGTCCCCAGCCACAAGCTTGGGATTCTCAAGAGACCCATACCTCTGACCAAGTGGCTACAAATTAGGCCATTCCCTCAGCCCTCTCAGTTTCCATAATTCACTAGAATGACTTACAGAACTCAGAGAAGTGCTGTGATTATTATTACAGCTTTCTTACAAAGATACAAAGATGTATCAGTCAAAAGAAAAGATACAGAGGGCAAGGTTTGGGAGGGTCCCAAATGCAAACCTTCCCTGTCCTGAGAATGTGCTACTTTCCAGGTATATCATGTATATTACCAACCTGGACGTTCACTTGAGCCGTGGTGTCCTGGGTTTTTATTGGGGTTTTATTACATAGGCATACTTGATCACATCATTGGCCATAGGACAGGACTCAGATCTTTTTATTTGTTTTGAAACAGAGCCTCGCTCTGTCACTAGGCTGTAGCACAGTGGCACGATCTTGGCTCACTGCAACCTCCACCTCCAGAGTTCAAGTGATTCTTCTGCCTCAGCCTCCTGAGTAACTGGGACTACAGGTGTGGGCCACCACACCCTGCTAATTTTTGTATTTTTAGTAGAGATGGGGTTTCACCATGATGGCCAGGGTGGTCTAGATCTCTTGACCTTGTGATCCGCCTGCCTCAGCCTCCCAAAGTGCTGGGATTACAGGCATGAACCACTGTACTCAGCCAAGATCTTTAAGACTGAACTCAAATCTCCATCAGCTCCCCTCCCAGGTCAACTGATATCATGTGACTTAAAACCTCACCCTTCTCATCACATGGTTGGTGATGAGTGGTTGGCATGAGTGGTATGAGGGGCCCATGTGAATAAGAGTCCTTTCTATCAGGACATTTCCAGGAACAAAGGCCAGCCCAATCTTTTATTATACAACAAGGCCTTGTCACTGCATTTTTGTTACCAACTCTGTGACATCTCTGCCAGGTATTAAAGATCTGTGGTTTCTGTCTCTTTAACATGAAATACTTACTCATTTCCTGGAAAAAGCCATATGTTATCTGGAACACCTGTTGTTTGCTATACAAATTCATAAACCATATAATAAATTTCTAGAAGTGGTGCCATATTCAAATATAATAAATAGAAGAAGAAATAAGTATTCTTTAGGCTCCCATTATCTGATACACAAGGCTTTAGCCTGATTCCCCACTGTTCTTCAGTGTTAAGGTGGAGTTAACACGTCACTGTTTCTTTTTTCTGTTCAAAAGCATCACAGGATCATCCACTCTGTTTAGTGCCAGAGACTGTTTTGACTGTTGAACATCAGGGCTTTCTATTAAGCAAGACTCATTAGTTTCAGAAAGCTTTCAATTAGCCAAACTATTGTAATTAACTTTCTCACTGTAATTTTCAGTCATTCATGCTAAACAGGGCTGATGGAGCAGAGCGTTTGTCTCTGCGTCTCCCATGTATCTGGATCCCAACCAAACTGAAATCGTAGATGAGAAAATAGAAACTGTCCATTTCTCAGCTGTTACCATGATGGCACACTGTCCGATGAAGGGCATGTGCCTGTTCCTGACAGGTTGTTTTCATCATGATGTAACTTTCACATCTTTCATCAGTAGAAGGACTATTTGTCACTTTTTGCCTGGGACAATCCAGGTTATTTTCATTGTCTCAGATTAATAATTAATAGCATCCTTTGCCACTATCAAAAGTATCTGGTTTGGACAAAAATTATACAGTCATCCCATTTTTTGGCTAAGGGAATTTAGTCAGTTTCTTAAGAAAGATTCCTCATTTTTTCCCCCAAACTAATATTGTTTTAATTTTTTTATTTTTGAAAATAATTCATACATAGAAGAAGTAGAAATTTAAGCAATACAAAAAGGTGAAAAGAAGACAGCAAAAATTAAGATAAATTCTGAAAAGATTTCTAAAAATAATTATAAAGTGTTTTGAATGTAGCCGCCATTTTACAAATGGTTGCATAGCAATAGGTTTTATTTTTTTAAAAAATAAGACTCCTAGAGCCTGGATGGAAATTCTATAGTTTTTTTTTTTTGGACCCAGAACCACTTTTCCAAATGACATCTTGTGCAGTAGATTAATCTATAAAATAAGTAAACATGGATTTGCTTTGGTGGAATTGGAGCTGGGGTCCTGGAGCTCATTCCAGCCTCATCTTTTCTTCCTGCAAGGGATCCCTGTGGTTGCAGAAAATCCTTTTGGTTCCTCAGAACACAGTTTGAAGACTAGTTTCCTAAGAGATAATATGTGAAAGTATATTTGTATCATAAAGCTCTCTTAAAATGTCAGGTGTTACTGTTAAGACTGATGTACTCAGGTGGAAGGAGATTCAAGCATTGTCTGAATTCACTTAGTTGGTGGCAGAACCGAAGCTGGAAACCAGGGTCCATGGGCTGTGCTGTGCTGTGCACCCACATGCTTCCTTCCAATAGCCTTCCTTTATCTATATTAATATCTAAAGGGCTGGTTTATCACTTAGTGCACTTGTTTTATTTTTAGCTTCCAGCTATGCATTATTGTATTTTCTTGTGATTTTTGACGTAGTTTACTTTTTACAATGTACTATTGAGCATTTTAAACTTTCCTAATGTAAGACTATTTTCGTTTGGTTTTAGTGAATTACAATAAAATGGGAAGATGTTATTAGGCAGTAGATTTCTTAATAAAGACTGTAACTCTCCATTTTTATGTTTTAACTAATAGCACATATATGAAAAACTAAAATTAAGTGTATTTTATATTTCTATTTAATTGTATGTAACATGCATGAAAAATGATTTAGGTGCTAGCATATAGAGATACACAGAAATAATAAAATAGCTTTACATTTTGTACTACATTAAGCTCACAGATTGCTTTCATATATATCATTAATGCATAATACTCTAGCAAGCTCATGAATTGCTTTCATATATATTATATCATTAATGCATAATGCATATATGCATATTCATATGCATATATATGTATGTACATATGATTTATGTATCTATACACACTCTCATTTCTGGGCTGTATTATACCCAGAAATATTAAGTGGCTTACATGAAATCACAGAGTTGATCAATGTGAGAAGCAGTGGTTTAATTTGTTTTTCCTGTCTTTCAGCCTAGTCAGAGCTGTTATGTAAGGTGGTGCAGATTTCGCACTGTCTCTCTTTCACAAAGATGACTGTGTGACTTGTACCTAAGAACTAGGCAATGCACCATTGCCTCAGCTGCACATGATCCTTCCAATACCCTTTCCGATGTTGCTTTCCTCCCTTTGTCTTGTTGGGGAAACGGGCACGTGCATAACCAAATGTGGTTGGCGAGATAAGTGGTACTTACG